CAAATTATTTTGTTTCTTACACTAAATTATGTTCATGCAAGAAAATGCCTAAAACTATTTAAAGCTAATAATTTCTTCATATTAGCCTTAAAGATGTTGAACGTCCACTGAAAGAAATTTAATTGTTTATATAACTAGATTAAGACAGATTTATGTGTTCCATAGAACCTGTTCAGCCCGCAAATTTGAAGTTTTTATTACTTTAACTTCACTAGAATAAATTTTTAGAACAATTAATAGCAATGGAGCAGTATGATAAGCATAAAAAGATACATGTATGTATATTAAAATTATGATTATTGAATTTGAAGAATATGATAAAAAAAAATGAGAAAATTAAATACTGACAACTGATAACTGACAAAATACTTCTACCCTACAGTATGTGTAACGTTTGAAATAATTTGTAAATTTATCAGTCATTGTGTGATTGCCTTATATGTATGCATCCCCTAATATGACTTTTTTAGGAATAATATTAATATGTGTGACCTGCAACCTGCAACCCGCAACCCGCAACCCACAACCTGTAACCTGCAGCCCGCAACCTGCAAAATAGCACTTCCCTTTTTAATTTCAGTTTAAATAATTTCACACTGGCAAATTATATTTTCCACGTTTTCTGTTCAATCTGGATTTTACAACTTTTCGGTCTCTTTAAGAATATAATATCATATTTTGAGAGAGGCATAATGTTGAAAATTAGTTTCCCGGTAGGATAAAGAAAATATTTTCGCCACGAAAAACTACCTTCTACATATGCTAACAGAACATGGAAAACTTGAAATTTATTAGACATACGGCCTGAAATAAGCAGGAGATAAAATTCATTGTACTCTGCCCGAATATTCATGAACCATCGACCATAATTACAACATGCAGTGACGATATTTTGAATTAATTTAAAGTTTTGTAATAAACATTTGTTAAGTTCCAAAGAAACATTTTAGAGCAGTAATTGCATTCTTTAGAATTAACTTTACATTTTACACTGAAAAAAATTGTAAAAGACTAGCTTACATGTTGCACTCTCTTTTCCTGTGGGGCTTTCCCTAGTACTGGTGCGCCTACACTAAATTGTCTTTTGGGTGGCATGGTGTCGTGGAAGTGTGGTTTGAGGAGGAAATTTTTCTTTTATAGTCCGATCGAAAATGTGGAGAACGGGGAATTCATGCTGATACATGTTTTTTTTTTCAGTAAGCCATGGTCTCGAATGGGCGTAACATAACTTATTGGGGTCTGTTGAGGTTTATTCTTTTATTTTTTACCGTATTGTGTATTGCATAATATCAGAAGTCCATTACTAGTAATGGACTTCTGATAATATATACTTGGGTATTGTAAAACAATCTAAATGAAAAACTGGGTTTATTGGGGATGCTCTTGTAATAAGTTGCACGTTTAAATGGTTAATGAAAGTTGAAGGTCCCCATATGTCGACACTTGGGTGTGTTAGTTTTTTTTTATTTGACGCAGCATTGAAATTGGTAGTCTTGCAAAATTGTTTGGCTCACCTGGCTCACCTGGACAAATTAATGTGATATCCTCCACCAGTGTTTTTTAAATTTTTTCTTCAAACGAGCAAAGGAGAAGGTCCGGTAAGGGCTAATTTTGGCCTAAAATTTAAAGTACATCTGATGAAAGATTTTTGACATTTTTTAAACACTTAAGTGTCTACTTCAGTCGATTCAGTTAGTTTTTTGTAAAAGATTTGAACTGATTTGGTCATCAAAAAACGCTCAAATTCAAGCTTTAATATGAAAAATCTATCTAATATGCCATAAAACGTCACTTTTCAGATGGTTTTTGTATAAAATGAAAGTGGCCGCATTCGTGTTCAGTCTCAACCTTTATATATGTTATGTAATATCATCAAGTACAACATATATTCAAATATTAAGACTGAACACAAGTGCGGCCACTTCCATTTTAGACAAAAACCGTCTACAAATTAGTACACATGTTAAAATTGTGAAGATTTCAGTAATTTTGCACGGATTAATGATGCTAGTACCTGATGCATGTGCATTGCATTGTCAAAAACAGCCAATATTTATGTAGCAAAAGTATTCTACTTTTCAATAAATAGCTAAAAGTTTACTTTTAAACAAAGTAAAAATGCTATATTTTGGGGCCAAAAGCGGGGCTTACCGTGCTTGCCGTAATATACCGTGCTTGTACTACATTAAATCATCTTATTTAAAAAAAACAAAAGGTTGCACTACATTTAGGTCCAAAACATGGTCTTACCGGGATAAAGTTACGCTTGCATCGCCTAGTTAGGTCTACATATATGTTGTACTACATTTAGGTCCATTGCAAGCACGGTAAGACCTCCTTTTGGCCCCAAAACATGGTCTTACCGGGATAAAATTACGCTTGCATCGCCTAGTTAGGTCTATTGTAGCTCCTTCTGAGCTGTTAGTAATGCATGTAGTTGGAGTTGAATTTGTCAATAGTCTTATCGCAAACGCACATATCGTTTTTGTACGAAATTGTGTGAAGAGTCCTTCGGGTATCTCGTTTAATAAATGCATTTTTTCATGTTAAATAAGATAATTTAATGGGTACATTTTATTTTGTTATTCAAACACACCTACTATATTATGATGACACAAAGGAAATTTGTTTGCTTGTCTGATTTTGGATGTAATATCAAAATTAAGCTTTAAAATATTAAAGTAATTGAATCTGAAGCAATAAGGTATATGATTCGTTATTGTTTGAAACATTAATGACCACGCAGAAGCACGCTTAAATGTGAAAGGTGTACCCGACTTTTGTTGTCACGATGGTTTACTTTACCCATTTTCACGGTTTTTTTAATACTAAAGGAGTTTCTACGGTTTCACGATGAACTCTTTTTTTAAGTAAACGTCAAGAGTTTAACTTGCTCATTGCAATTACAAGTTGAACAATATTTTAATAATTCCATGTTTGTTATATGGAATGTCCGAGAGTGTGCTTGTCCGTAGTCTAGTAGTGTTTAGTTGGATTTGATTTCAGGTAACAGACAAATGTAATAATATATGTTGTACTACATTTAGGTCCATTGCAAACACCTAATGAGGTGTTAGCAAAAAGTAGCCTTTATCGTTGGGAGTTGATTTTTTCAGGAATCTTATCCTCAAATCGTTTTTCAACGAAATTTTGTGTGAAGGGTCCTTCGGGTATCTCGTTAAACAACTGTATGATCACCGTTGCAAAATATAGAACAAATGGTGTGCAACTAAAGGTTGAACCCAACTATTCAAAGACTGTTTGGTTTGGGTTGGGTCCATCTCAGTTTGCTAGCGTTAACCGTTTTACCAATGCTTTTCAAAAGAGATGTTGTTTCGGATGACAAAACGGAGGTTTTTGTCAATATTGACATTTTCACTTTTGCCGTTCAAAGGCAATGCATAGCTATAACTATTTTGGTGTATACAATAATTGTCAATTTCGTGTCAGTTTTTTGTCGAGCCCAAAAGTTGCAGAAAGCTCGACATAGGGATAGTGATCCGGCGGCGGCATTAACTAACTACTTAAAAGCTTTATATTTTAAAAGGTGGAAGACCTGGATGCTTCATACTTTGTATATAGATGCCTTATGTTATGAAGTTTACATCTGTCATATGTCCATTATCCTTGACCTCATTTTCATGGTTCAATGACGTACTTGAAAAAATATTTAAGACTTTTTGTAATGTTATTTTCTTAGTAAGATAACTATATTTAGTATGTGCGTACCTTGCAAGGTCCTCATTTCATGGATCAGTGAACAAGGACAAGTTTTCGTGGTCAAGTCCATATATCAGATACAATCAGTAATAGGTCTTCTTTATTTGGTGTATGGAATGATAGTAAGGTGTACATGTCCAACTGGCAGGTGTTGTCTGACCTTGTCTTAATTTTCATGGTTCAGTGGTTAAAGTTAAGTTTTTGTGTTTTGGTCTATTTATATAAATACATACAGCTAACTTGGTCTTCAGTTGTTTTTTATTAAATACTTTGTGTTTACTCTACAGTGGAAATCAAAGGAAAATGATTATCTGGTAGCAGAAATTCTTCAAACATTGATGTGACATTCAGATGGAATATTGAAGAGAAAAAACACACTAAAAGACAAATTTTGCATCATATGTTATATGGTTACCAGGTTACATAAATTTATAACCAAAAAATTTGTTGATAAAAAAATCTTCTGATTTGAGGTCTAATATCCTGACCAAAATTTCCCAAACTCCTGATCTGAGTTTCACAGTCACTCACATGTATGCGTAGCTGACATGCATGGGAAGTCTGTCATTGCTTTTCTAGACTCTACAAAAACTAGACCGGAGGACCATATGAAAGTTGAAGATTGACTGATCAACAATGGATGGGAAGAATGGAAACAAATGAAGATAAAATCAGTTTGATGGACATTCTTTAATGTAGTTTTTTATCCAACTTTTCCTGAAAATAGATACAATTAATTCAAATGATTATGTTCTATATAAATACTTATTAATTTGACGATGTCATGACTATATGTGCAAGTTTTGAATTTTTATATATTTTGGCATAGAGCATCACTGAAGAGATATTATCTGTTAGAATGCAGTAAAATTGTACAAAAATTACACAACCAATGATATTTTATGTTAGACCAGAAGTGCTGACTACTGGACTGGATGACATGCTGTTGATCTATAAATTGCCAGCTGACAAGGTAACAGTCCACAGAATGACAAATCACCGTACTCTGACACATTATTCTGACTAGGAGTAATTCTATGTTTTCTTTCTTTTATCCTAAATGCAGACTATTTAGCAGAGGAACAGTAAATACCAATTTTAAAGTATTTTATTTGCTCCAGACATTGATCTTACCAGCAAACTCCTGCACTCATATTGGGCAGGCTGCCACAAGACCACTGAGGGGGTAACAAATAACAGAATGATTCATTGTTGGTTGCTTAACATCCAGTGGAGAATATTTCATGCATGTTCAGGACAAACAAATAACAGGAACATACTAACATGCAAACATTTTATTATGTGAAAGCTTAGCACAATTCCATACAGTTCATTTTATCACATATGGACTGTATGCATACAAACATAACAACTTAATATATTCAACAAAACCTAAGCAACAAATAACTACATGATCTCAAAAACAGTAAAACAATGATTAAACATAATTATTAACTAGTTGCTTACTATCCAGAAGAAATTATTTCATTCATAATCAGGACACTATGTTATGCAAGAGAAAGCAGTGTTTTACTTATTAAACCTTTGTGTCTATTATTTTTTATCTAGATTAGTACAAAAATTGTACTGTTAATTCTAAAATTAATGTGAAGTTTTCATGCATGCTAGAAATTTCAAAGGAAGGAGAATGCAATGACAAAAAAATGTGGTCATTAATTGTTCTCACTTTCTTTTTGGTTGGCAAGAATGACTTAACACATTAAATTCTCTTATATAGAATTCAGATATATAAAATCACTGCCACAGTAACTAATAATACATAAAAAGGATAACAGGAATTAACAAAACTATTGGACCATACAACAGACCACACCCACTAACATCAGACTCCTCCCAACCCTTAACAACAGACTCCTCCCCAACCCCTAACAACTGACTCCTCTCACAAAATACTTACAAAGATAAACAACAACATACAACACATGATCCTAGGTAAGTTTGAATAAATCGGCACAAAATGTTTATACCATATATTGTATAAGTAAAACTTTCATATGCAACCAACATGTTGTTAAGGGTATTTTAATCTGAGATTTCTTAAAAGGGACGGAAACAAAGAAATAATTATTTAAGGAAGCAAAAAATACTTACAAGAAGACAGAATTAAAGATAAAATTATTTAAGAAAACAAACTTTTCTATTGCTACATTAGAATGTTTGAAAGGATGGTAGTCTAGAAGGGTATGAGACAGAAAGTTTACAAAACCATATTTTCCTTTTCATGGAATGAAAGGGAAATACCTTAACAAATAATAATATGGAATCTATTATCATATGGATAAAAACAATCATTTAAATGAAGACAGGGAAAAATAACTAAACAAGAATGTGTCCATAATACATGGATGCCCCACTCGCACTATCATTTTCTATGTTTAGTGGACCGTGAAATTGGGGTAAAAACTCTAATTTGGCATTAAAATTAGAAAGATCATATCATAGGGAACATGTGTACCAAGTTTCAAGTTGATTGGACGTCAACTTCATCAAAAACTACCTTGACCAAAAACTTTAACCTGAAGCGGGACAGACGGACAGACGAACGGTCACACAGACCGAAAAACATAATGCCCCTAGGTGGGGCATAAAAATAAATGTAAGCCTTCTATAAATAATAAGGATTATATTACTAGACTTCAACTAGATTAATTTGAAGAAACAATAGTGATTGCAATATGAATGTACAGACAAAAGTCAACATTATTTCATATTTAAATTAAAGCTACATGTATATTTTCTTTATTGCTATTCTAAAATAAAACATGAAAATGTTACAAAATGAGTCTAACTAATACAGTCTATATGTATTGCACAACTTATGAAAGACAATTACTCACTATACTGGCTGAAAAAAAATGTATGAGGCATACAAAATAAATTCTTTTATACAGACTCCAGATCAAAGCATGATAAGCCAAACTATTCCAAATTAACTAGACTACAACCCAATTTACATTTTTCACTTATCTTACAGTTTTAATGGTATTTCAATTAAACTAGTTTTACAATAAAACTTTTACACAAGGGAAAATAATAACTCTATGTCCTCTATATACATGATATACATAAAAATACTGCAAAATACATGAAAGCTGTCAGTATTCAAAATGACACCAGTAATGTTCCAAACAATATTTTGTTGTCATATATCATAATTACAACAGTGAATTTTTGAAAAATATTATGCATCTTATTTCACATTTTAGTCTCATATTTGTACACATTGTGATCCCAATATTATAAAAAGAAGTTCATACATTCCAGTTGCTAAGAAGACAATATTTAAACTTACAATTGATTACATATTTGGAATTTTTGTTTACATATCTGTGCCCATAAAAATCATTTATGTGAATCACATGAATCCAAAACATGTGCAACATATAAGACACATATATGATTGAGATATGTGCTTAAAATACATACATGTAAAAAAAAAATAATTTGACATGTGTCACATGTTTTGATTTTAACAGTATATAGGTATAACACATAACAGCTTTGTTTGAACTGATATTATTCATGATAGAATAAAATAAGTTGAAACCAGAAGGCAAGCAAAAACCACAAATCAAAGAAAGAACAACAAGGCAACACCATGGCCAAAAGATGAAAGACTAAAAGATCAACAACAGCCTACAAATCATCTTGCAGAAAAAAAAAATATAGTACAACTTAAACTTTGCATGAATGAATATTTTATTGCAAATGGATAATCAAAAATGAAAACAAGTCATGAACACACAAAAAACTGATTGTAAGTATATGGTAAAAAGGTTTTCATGATAGAAGTCAAACAGTGCAAATAGATAATTAAAGATGAAAACAAGTCTTCATGAAAATACAAAAAAAAAATCTGATTCAAAGTATATGGTAAAAAGGTCTTCATGAGAGAACTTAAACAGTTCTATGGCACACTTTTTTGTATCTTTTTCAGCAGCATGATATCTAACGTCTTTGTCTTTGTTTACTTGTAAACACTTTATTGACTAGACTCCAGACTTCTATAGACTGTGCTGCCAGTATCCTGTTGGGATCCTCTTTGTCTGATGGTAACTGACCAATGGCTGTCATTAAAGTATCGTCTATTGTTAGGTCCTCTTCTTCATATGGACAGGCATCAATATATCCAATAAGTGCATCACGTAAACTGGAAAAAACATCATGAAATTATTCCCACATTTTTTTTTTATTGAATCCATCTTTCATTTACACTTCGATCGAAATACAGATTGTACAGCAAAATTGACATTTTTAATTTATTTGGAAACCATAATTTACTGCTTAGTTTTAAAATATACAAATATTTGATTCCTAAAGAGTAGGGTCACGAAGGCCTTAATTTGGCCTTAAAAATTGAACTTTGTAATAACACATGCAAAAACCTATAATTATGATCTTAAATATGCAATTTGAATACACAAGAACCATTTTCTGTCGGCTGTTTCTTTTAACAGCTTCAAAATCATGACATTACGGTGTTAACTATTATTTCTAAATTCAAATTTCACGTAATTATAGGGCAAATATTACCCCTTCGTAAACATACTCCTTTTGCAACTGATTTCTGAAAGAAAAAAAATTAGACAAGAACATATAAACTCATAAACCTTTTGATCAACTAAAAATAATATATCTTTTTCGAGTACCCCTAGATAAGTTCCAGAATCTATATATATTCAATTCCAAAACAAATGACATACCATCAATTACAGTAATAAAAAGCTGTGCCATGAGCTTGTGATACGTCAGTCACTTCTTAAACGAATAAAGTTCCATTACTCCTCAAATTTCATATCACAGATTAATAAAAATCTAAATGGAACTTATTCTAATAGATATAAAGCAGTCACCAATGAAAACTGCTCAAAGCATTTTTTAGTTATTGTCTGAAAACTGGAATATCCCCCTTTTTATGAATAAAATCCCTTAACTCAGAAACATATAATCTAAAATTTATAAAAATTTAAAGGGAGCTTACATCAATATATATAAACAATGCAACAAAGTTTCATGAAAATTGGTTATAGTGTTTTTGAGTTATTGTCCGACATGTTGATGACCGAGGGACAACGGTATACCATAATACATCCAGTAAATGGGCATTTTAAAATGAACTCTTACCATATTTTAGACATATCAACATAATCTTCATCATCCATATTCTGAGGGAAATCTATTTTTAGAACAATACACTCAAAAAGTAACTCCACCAAAACATCAATCTGTTCTAGAGGCAGTTTGTTTAAAATGTCTTCCATGATGTTGATTTGTTCTTCTGTTAATGCATTCTTGAAATTCTGTGATATGCCTTCAAAAGCTTTCTGAAATTAAAATATATTGATATAAATAAAAGAAGATGTGGGTTAAACGTCAATGACTGATTGATTGTTTGTTGCTTAACATCCAGTGGCAAATATTTCATGCATGTTCAGGAAGAGAACAAATTATATGGGTCAATGAAAAAGAAACCACACGACAAAAATAAACTAGACATCTAAGCAGCAACATCGAACTTCAACAATAACAGGTACCTATACAATAAGTCAAGTTCTAAATTGTCCCAAGTATAAAATTTGTGAATAAATGTAACAGAAACAATCAAAGATCAGCCATTAATTTCTAAATTATTGTTATTATCAATCAATTCTCTGTAACAATAGCATTCAATTTCAACATCTCATTTTGCTTTGTAATCTTGAATCTGGTATAAATATCTTATAACTGTGTAATACTTATTCTTTGCTAATTCCTACTTTTTTCTAATTTTTTTATACAAACAAAATTATTTTTAAATGCATTGAATATTCAGGAAAATTAAAAAGAGGGACTGATTTAAATTTAATTTTCATTTTTTTATACAGTTAACTCTCATTGACTAGAATTTCAGATTTTTACACCCACTTAGGTTAACAAAAGCATTCAAATTGCATTATTTATCTCCAACTAATACACATATGTAAACATTCCTCTGGCATTTAAATGGATTGAAGAGATCATCTGACAATACACATGTTATTAAATTTCTAGTCACTGACTACTGTATTCAGATTTAAAACATTCTTTTTTCCAGGAATATATACCTAAGATTATCTTTGATCACCATGATAAATAATTAGTGATACATTGCTATAGTTTATGAAAAATTATTTTTGTATTTTCTCTTGCAGAAAAAGATTGAAATAAAATAAAATTAAAAGAAATCTCATTTTTTTAAATCTTTTGTATACGAGAATGAACAATTTTGTCAACTTGAAATCACACTATGATCGATTGGAAATTACTCTCTCGGCTAAAAACAACAGGAAAAAATTGTAACTGTACAAAGAAATAAATAAGAGTCAAAAATCATATAATTCTATTATAATAATACAAAAACCATTACATACAAATACCTTGATCTCAGATCAGAAAATTGATCCCCTACCCATGTTCATCTGGATTTATTTTAGACCTACCAAGCTAAGCAAGATGTGTATCTTTTGGTCTGTCAAACTTCGTTCTTTTGGGTTGAACTGCGGATATCTAAAATTCTTCTCTAGTCCGACTGACTTCAAGATAATGAGACTCCACTGTAATTTGAATCAGTCTTTTTTCTTTAGACATTTTCACTCCAGGTCATGAAATTTACAAGTAACAAATAATGATACTAACCCTATCATATCTAGCCAGGTATTTAGCTCTTTCCATGGCAAATGTTATCCACAGTGACATAGTATTCTTACATCTGCTGGCTTGCTGTGCCTAAAAAGGTAAGTTAATGGTAGAAATCAACTTTACAATTGATACTAGTACTGTTACTTGCAGCTTCCTAAATATCCATGCGAGTAATTAAAAATAATTTTAATTTAGAGGACAAAATGCTTTTAGAAATTCAGCATTTGGTATCTCTGATAAAAAGATATAATTCTGATTCAATTTGTCAGAACTTAACCTGGATATTGTATTATACGTTTTCTTTCATAAGAATAAAATCTGCATATTCCTCGTATCTTTTATACTCCCATAACAAGAAATTGCACTAGTAGTCCTCAGCAAACTCCTGTCTTAATTCAAAGTATTGGAAAACAGGATGTAACACGATAACAAATCAAATCAAATCAAATATTTTATTGTTGTATAAACTTTACAGTTTGTGACCAACATGTATAAACACAATAAACATATATACATACATATCAAACATACACAATAAAAACAGCATCAAAAGGAGTAGGTCCGGTAAGGGCTGATTTTGGCCTCAAATTTCAGCTTCATCTGACGAAAGATTTTGGACACTTTTTAAACACTTATTAAGTGTCTATTTTAGTTGATTCTATTAGTTTAAGTGAAAGATTTTAACAGATTTACTCATTAAAAACGCTCTGATTCAAGCTTAAATATGAAAAATCTATCAAATATGCCAAAAAATGTCACTTTTCAGATGGTTTTTGCCAAAAATGAAAATGGCCGCATCCGTGTTCATCCTCAACCTTTATATATGTTATGTGTTATCATAAAATACAACTTACATTTCAATATTAAGAATGAACACAAATGCGGCCACTTTCATTTGAGACGGAAACCGTCTAAAATTTAACTAAAATGCTAAAATTGTGAAGATTTCAGTAACTTAGCATGACTTAATGATGCTAGTTCCCGATATATGTGCATTGTATTGTCAAAAACAGCCCATATTTATGTAGCAGACGCATTCTACTTTCCAATAAATAACTAAAAGTTTACATTTTAACAATTTTGTAAAACTGCTTTTTTTTTGGGGCCAAAAAGGAGTCTTATTGGACTTACTCCTTTATAAAAACAAACAAGCTGTTAAGAGTCCCCTGCCCTAATGACTTTTTCAAGAAGGATCCTAACTTATTTGTTTTTTAAGGCGTTGATGGATTTAGTAAATAATGATTTTTTTCTTCTATAGATAACATGTCTGGTAGTGATCCAAAAAGCACCTACATATTTCAAGTCATCAATGACAAGCTGCAGACCAGATATGAAGTTATTCAAATCAGTAGAAAAAGAGAATTGTGTTTAAAATATATTAAGTTTATTTATTTTACTGAAAATTCAAATCATGGTTAAGGATTGTTCGCTTCTCTTGTTTTTGACTTTTAGTCAGATACTGTAAATTCAGAAATTATTGCAATGTTTTTATCATTGCGAAAAATGCGACAGGGTTATAATCGCAATAATTTAAACTCGCATTTTGAAATTTTTTATATGAATTAAACATGATTTTTCTCAATATCGCAAAAATCAAAATCGCATTTGAGTCTAAAATGACAAAATCGCAATAATAAATGCACACAATAATATCTGAATTTACAGTATTCAGAATCCTCTGTTTTTTTTCAAGTAGTGCCAATAACAAATTTGCCCGCTAACCCCCACTTTTCTTTTCATAATTCAATTACATATAGTTTTAAAAAGCCATTTTTGAAAATCTTTAAAATCCTAATGGCTATTTTTTCATAGTTTTTGACAAAATAAGGTGCCAGGCTTAATTGCATGAAAAATCTAGAGAGAATCATTTTCCGTCGAATTTTCAATTGATTATCTCTTAAAAACAATGACACGGACCTAAGATATTTTTCTGCTTTTTAAGTTCTGTTATTAACATGTATACACTATCAATTTATAACAGTCTTTTAAAGGGCTTGTTACTTTGAAACAGATCTAGAGGAGAGAACATCCTTAAATAGGAAGTATGGATCTGCTGATGACATATGAAGTGATTCTATTCAGCAGTGTGTCAAAAAATAAATGCATAAAAGGACAAACAGATGAACAAAGGTGATTTAAGTATAGTCCCCACTCCTAGAATTTGGGTTTAACAAGCATTCTGAGAGTATTGCATGGAAATACATAGTCCTCTACTGGTTATAAATTCATTGGACTGGAACAAAATGCTAACTTGATCTATAATTTGTCATGATGTAAATTAAATTCTAAATTCTACATAAGAAAATGCGTGTACCAAGTCAGGAATATGACAGTTGTTATCCATTTGTTTGAGCTTTTGATTTTGCCATTTTATTAGGGACTTTCAGTTTAGAATTTTCCTCGGAGTTCGGTATTTTTGTTATTTTATTGTTTATAGAACAATTATCAAATCAATATCTTCAAGCATGAAGAAAAAAAAGTGTGGAAAACTGATTATTTGCTTGAATTTTCTTAGTCCAAGGACCGTAACTCTGTACAAAATCCTCAAACTGGAACAAAATTAAAACTTGATCTGTAACTGGTTACGATAAAACTATATACCAAATATCAAATCAATATCTTCAAGCATGAAGAAAAAAAGTGAGGAAAACTGAATTGCCGGACTGCCTGACGGACAGACAGATGTGCAAACCTAGTGTCCACTTCGACTTCGTCAGTAGGGGACTAATAAGAGTTTAAATGTCAGATATGGAATCTAATCCATTTCCTATGTTTCACACTATTCATTGCATTTAAGTTTTGAGCATCATCATTTAATATAACATTTGTTGAAATTAATGATGTAAATGTATATTACGTGGCAAAATCTAAAACACAAAATGCATCATTCTTATGCTAATATCAACTCTCTAGTCTCACTGTCCACTGACTGATATTGGATGATAAAATTCATACTATGATATAGTTTTTTGAGATGTTTTTTTTTTAAACATACCTTAGGGACATGGAATGGATTTTCCATCTTCAATGTTTTCATGAAGTTACTCAAAGAACTTTCTGGATCAGATCCAACTGACTTCAAGAAGCTGATGGCAACATCCAACTTGTCCATACTCTCATTCAATTCAGGTAAGGATTTCAGACGTAACTCTCCACAAATCTGACTCTGAACTGCTGGATTTAACCTTTCCTATTTACCAAGAAATATAAATGTCTATAATTAATTGTAACTTAAACCCACTTTTTTCATTTTATGAATATAATTAGTCTGATACGCATGTATGAAACAAATTTCACTGCACATTAGGTAACAGTGAATTTTTTCTGTCAGTGTCATCTTTCCTTTGTGAAGAAATACATTTGTGATGATGGTCACTTGTTTACTGGTTTATACTATTTATTTGGGAAAATTATTTGAAATTAGCCAGCCAAGATGTCAGACATGCGTAAGAAACAAGAAAATTTACATGGCTGTATGAATGCATAAAATCAAAATTGGCCCAAAGAGATCTAGTTCAATTCTGCATGTGGGAGTTGCAATCTTTTAGTTTTAGTATAAGTACATAATATGAAATAATAAAATGCTCTGCTGGGCGCAGCTTGATACGACCACAGAGGTCGAACCCTGAACAGTTGGGGCAAGTATGGACACAACATTCAAGCTTGATACACACTGGCTTTGGATTGTGATTAAATATTTGACACAGCATAGGTTTCTGACACAGAATGAATGTGGTCTAAGAGCTTATAAATTTTGAATTTACCTATTCAAACCATATCATTATTATTTGCTTTTATATATAAATCAGAAATAACCAATTAAAAATTTTAAAGAAAAAAAAAAGGAAAAAAAGGAAAAAAAATCCCTCCCCCAAAATTTGTTGAACCCCCTTATGATTCATCACCCAAAAACTCAATCCCAGCCGTCCCTTTTTGGTATGGTATCTTGCAGTACAATTTCAGAGAGATCCATACACTTAAACACAAGTTATTGTCTGGAAACTAGAAAAATGCTTGTTTTTTTGCCCCTTTTTGGCCCCAAATTCCTAAACGTTTAGGGCAATTACCCCCAAACTCAAACCCAGATTTCCCTTTCTGATATGGAACCTTGTAGTATAATTTCATAAAGATCCATACACTTACACACAAGTTATTGTCCTGAAACTAGAAAAATGTTTGTTTTTTGCCCCTTTTTGGCCCCTAATTCCTAAAATTTTGAGGCAATTCCCCCCAAAATCAATCTCAGCCTTCCCTTTGTGGTATGGTACCTTGCAGTACAATTTCAGAGAGATCCATACACTTGAACACAAGTTATTGTCTGGAAACTAGAAAAATGCTTATTTTTGGCCCCTTTTTGGCCCCTTATTCCTAAACTTTTTGGGCAATTACCCCCAAACTCAATTCCAGCTTTCCCTTTGTGATATGGAACCTTGTAGTACAATTTCAGAAAGATCCATACACTTACACACAAGCTATTGTCATGAAACTAGAAAAATGCTTGTTTTTTGCCCCTTTTTTGGCCCCTAATTCCTAAAATTTTGAGGCAATTACCCCCAAAATCAATCCCAGCATTCCCTTTATGATATGGAACCTTGTGGTACAATGTCAGAGAGATCCATACACTAACACACAAGTTATGTCTGGAAGTTACAAAAATGCTTATTTTTGGCCCCTAATTCCTTAACTGTTGGTACCATAACCCCCAAAATCAATCCCAACCTTCCTTTTGTGGTATTGAACCTTATGGTAAAATTTCATAGAGATCCATTAACTTAAACTAAAGTTAGAGAGCGAAAACCATTGCGTCTTCGGACGACGACGACGCCAACGTCATACCAATATACGACTGCAAAATTTTTTTGCGGTCGTATAAAAATTACCTAAAAAATTATTATTCTAATCATGTCAGTACAGAAGAATTTCCTCCAGTTTGGTTGGTGATTGGTGACTTCTTTTGATAACTCTCATTACAGTAATGGGCTCTATTCTATCAACTAAGAAACAAATAAGGGAAAACTAAAAAAAAACCAACACTTTTTTCCATATACATGTGTATACAATAACTCAATAATAGGAAGGAAAGAAAAAGAAAGATGGTTGGATGCACTGGCATTTAATATCTACTGGCCAAGATGTCATGGACTTACTGTTACTCCTAAGTGCCACATGCTTTGCAGAGAAGCAGCAAATACCAATTAGTCTTTTGTTTAATTAACCCAGTCAAGGATAAAATTCAGGACCTCCAACACATGAGGTTAGCACCCTTCCACTGAGATAGTACTTACCTGTTTAACCCTCAGACATAAACTCTTGAAAACCACAGCATTGGTAGATTCTGATCTGTATGTGATGGTCTCTATCTGTAAGATTAAAGTTCATTTAACTTGAAGTTTATCTATTATATTTAATATTTTTGTGGCAATCAGCTTAACTCTATATGCAAATTGATACATACAAAATACGGATAAAATTTTATAAAAAAAAATCCTAAAATGATCTTTATATTCTCATTTCTCAACATTGAACTTATTGATTTTTAAAAAAGATAAATATTTTTCATGAGATCTTTTCTGTTTGACCAATATAAGTAATTGTAAGGTCACCTTATTTGTTTCGATTTTTGTAAGTAGTGAGTGAGTGAAAAAAAATACTGGAAAACCTTAAAAAAAGGGGCTTAAAATGAAACCTTGTTTTTGAAAGATTTTCACTGCTGAAGATAAGGCTAAGGGCATTAATTTCTCAAAGATTTGTATTTGAGAAAAAAAATTAAATCAGATATGATTGCAAATTGAATATTTTTTTCTTCTTTTTTACTATTTTGTGAAATTTCAAGAAAACCAAAGCACATATTTCTATTTTTCTTCAATTTCCTGAAATAGAGAGATCTAAATAATCTTCTTCATTTAAACAATTGAATTTTAACCTTAAGTTCTAATCTGATTCACCAAAGTATGCTTTTCCCAAATAAAACCTATATCTACAATAGGAATTTAAAACATCATATTTCTCGAAGATAAATATGGAAGCCTATAATTTTTAAATTAAATTTTGAATGTAAAAACATATATGGCTATTCTATGAAAATGATAACGGGAGGGTTAAAAGGCTAGTTTTATTTTGAACATGTATTGCAGGTAATTTATGGTTGTATATCCAATTGATGTATGCAAAATTACTCAAAGCTTGTTGGCTTAAGGGGATTTTAGAAGTTTCTCCCAATACTCCACCATCCCCTTTCACAGAATAGGTCTTATTCTTTTCTGCAAAATTTAAGAAAAATCTAACATATTTCAATAATAGTATCAACTTAGGACCAGGTTTTTAATTTGTTGGTTTATGGATCTGCCGACCCTTTTTTCCGATTTTCATTTCATGCTTTTTTATTCCCCCCGACCCTAACAAATATATTATGCCTGGAATATAAATAAATATATTTGCTAAGCACCATTTTAATGAAATTAAATGCGTTATATTAGCATGTTAAACATTAACATAAATGATTACACATTGTCTGGGACTAACACATTGATTATAAATTAGTCCCAGACATTGTATTCTAAAAAAATAAAAAACAAAAAATAATCCATAGTTTATGTTTCTAAAAATAGACAATCAAAGCTGACCTTGAAATGTTGTTTGCACAAATAATTTTGTGGAACAAAACCCTATGTTAAAAACTCTTTACAATAAATTATAAGTTTGTTTTCCTTTTTGTCATGTTTCTGTAAGATTTTTCATCTCATGGATGAAATGGATCCGTCCAAACGTGAAAGACGTCAAGTTAAAAGTAAGAGATATCCACAAACAATTTGGAATTTTCTTGTTTCCTAGATTGAAAAAATGTTCGTCCATTTTGATAAAAAAAAAAAGGGATTGCCTGACAAATGATGAAACCGATATCCTGTGTTTCTAGTGGACAAGTCTACTTCCTTTTTGACATGGATGGTTAAGTGTTATTTTCGTGCAACGTGTTTGCAATTTTTGTTTCACATGTTTTCATGCTTGAAGCTCATTTTTCACCATGTTTCCTGAAAATTGATACAAAGCAACAAGTAGCTTTTTTTCTCCTTCATGAAATGACCATTTATTTTCCTGTTGGTCCATGGACATTTACCCCCTCTTTTTACAAAATTAAATGATGATGCATGCATTGTATGTTTATAACAGCTGAGCAATATTTGGAACTAAATTTTAAGAAATTATGATAAAATAGCATACCAAAAATACTGTTAGTAAGCTGGAATATATATTTATTTTATATATATTTATGTCTTGTAAGATTTTTTTCTTCTTTTTATTTTCCGACCGAATGATCAAACTTTTTCATATAAAAAATCTGTAAACCAACAAATTAAAAAAACCCTGGCCTTACCAAGATGAACCACACTTTTCTAAAAATAGAATACATAATGTTACCTCATTAATGTTGTTTATGATAGACTTGGAGAAAAGAAATCTATCCATGAGTTGTCTCTCTAGATTGGTGAAGTTGTATTCCACTTTGGTTCCCTGACCCACTTCAAATGAGTAGTTACAATTAGCTAATACCATTGGTAACAAATCTCTATCTGGATGATAGCTGACCAGATGTGCTGCAGATATGTCTCTCACATGAATCTTGGGCAGACTTTCCTCTCTAAAAAAAAATTATTCTTTTTATCTAAACCAAGTTGATCTACATATATACTTACTTCTTGCCAAAATAAAAACTTTTCAACCTATTTAAATTTATTCTCTTTTTATTAAATTTTGCTAGTTTTTTTAATCAAATTTTTGAATTTCCAAATGAATAAGTAGTTCCTTATTCCTAACAAAAAAATATATAAAAAAATGCCTCATGCAAATTTATGAAACTCATGCTCAATGCTAAGAACCACAACACGCAGACAGAGTTTGATTTTGGGTTGTGAGTAATTTACCGTTCTAGAGTTATGCCCTTTTTTAACATGGAAAATTGCAAAGCTTGAGCAGGCGACATTCATGTCCTCAGACACATTCGTCTTTTATTCCTTAAATATCTTTTGCTTGCAAGAAATTTTAGATAAAAACATTTAAAATATCTGTTGAAATTCACAGTACATAAGTGCAACCTAATTTCTCATCTGTTTCCAAAATTATAATAAAAAAATCATCTTATGTAATTTCTTTAAAACATAATTTTAGAAAAGGGCATAAAAAAGAAGCATGACAACTCGATCTGTAAGCAATGAATGAATATCACCAATTTTTCCCCTTTAAAATTTCTGGAAGGAATAACTGAAATAATGATGATCTTGACATATCATTTTGGTTTTTGCTTTATACAAACAGAAACTTGCCTTCTGAACAATAATAGTACACTAAGGGATGGCACAATTATTGGTTGAAATATCTTAAAGTACATGCTTTTTACATATACGCAATAAAAATGGGTTAACAGATTTGTAAATTATAATATTTTTCATTATTTTTATTCAAGCGATATGCTTGACATTCATACATACTTAAGTTTACATTGAGCACAATACTCTTGTAGGAACAAATTCTGTTTCTTCAGCAGGAAAAAGAGAAGAACATATGAACTGAGGCCAGCATCCCTGTATGTTGGTATGAGGTGTGATATAGCAGTCTTCTCTGTAATGTCTGTTCTACAGTATACTTTATCCACTTTTACTATACTCTCATTGGCTGGACATGCTGAAAACAAGAAATAAATAAAGGTGTATTTACATGAGGGTCTAGATGTGGATTGGGTTTACAGAATAGAGAATAATAGGCCAAACAAATAAAGTATAAAGAAAATAAATGGAGAATGTGTCTAGGGGTCACGTATGCCCGCACTTGTAAATATGCACGAGTCAACTTCCACATACAGATTCAGGATTCACATAGTTTAGACCGTTTTGTGATTGTAAGCATTGTGTATAAGTTTCATAACATTTGGTTGAGGCAAACAAAAGTTAGAAAACGGAAATGAAAAATTCAAGAATTTTAATGTTTATAAAGGGGCAGCATAACATATGAACGGTAAAAGTGATCTGTGTTTTGTGGTAATAAGCATTGTGTATCAGTTTTATAACATTTGTTTGAGGCAAACTAAAGTTAGAAAATGGAAACAAAAAAATCAGCAATTTTTATGTTTATAATTGGCATAACTCATGAAAAGTAAAAGTGACGCCACCCAATTTTGTACTTGATCTGCGTTTTGTGGTAGGAAGCATTGTGTATCAGTTTTATAACATTTGGTTGAGGCAAACTAAAGTGAGAGAACAGAAATGAAAAAATCAGCAATTTTTATGTTTATAAAGGGGCATAACTCATAAACGGTAAAAGTGACGCCACCTAATTTCAAACTTGATCTGTGTTTAGTGGTAATAATCTTTTGTGTATAAGTTTTATAACATTTGGTTGAGGCAAACTAAAATTAGAGAATTTAAAAAAATTTTGGGGACTACTCAACTGACGGGACAGACGGACAAGGGTAACACTTAATCCCCCCCCCCCCCGACGCTTAGCAACTGGGGCATAAAAAGGCCTAAAATATATAAGATTACAGAAATGAAGACAGCCCAGCCAGACCCACCTACATGCTGCAAAGTAAATATCCAGCAATTCATCAATATCACTCAAATTGTTTTAAATGTAGAATCTGATACCTGTTTAAACAAAATTGCTCTGAAAGATTTCAAGTAAGGTAATGTGTCTGTCTCCATTAATCGAACCTCATCATTGGTTGTCTTCCCTTACATCATCATGCTTTTTCGTCTTTTAGGAGATTTTGTGTTGTTATTGATCTTTGATTGACTCTTGTTAAATGTTCTAGACTTGAAGCAATTTAAGGTTTGATAAATATTGTTAAAAAACTTGATTATTTTTTACAACTGTATGGTGACCTATTTTTTTTAGTAATTTGGTTCTCTCATAAACATAGCCCCTTTTCTCCTTTATTTATACTATATATAAAGATTGTAGGTTTCACTTTGTGTTCAAAGTTAGTTTAAATTGATAGGATACAATCAACAAAAAGCAATATTTCAGATGTTAATCTTATTATAAGTAAAAGGATTTTTGGCAGCAAACTTTTTATTTTTATGGCAGTTTTGGCAGATTTTATTTTTGCCACCTTTGCAAATTTTTTGTCATTTTTTCAGATTTTGATTATTGCACAAATTGCATAATTGATTATTTAATCAGTTTATTGTGATTTTATGGTATTTTAAAAAAACAACCTTTATCCCAAATACTATGGATTCATTATCAATTTTTGTGGATTGAGGAAGACTTACTTTTTTCATGGATATTTATTTCGTGGTTTTATCAAAGTGTAAAATTGAGAATGGAAATGGGGAATGTGTCAAAGAGACAACAACCCGACCATAGAACAGACAACAGCAGAAGGTCACCAACAGGTCTTCAATGCAGCGAGAAATTCCCGCACCTGGAGGCGTCCTTCAGCTGGCCCCTAAACAAATATATATACTAGTTCAGTGATAATGAACGCCATACTAAACTCCAAATTGTACACAAGAAACTAAAATTAAAAATAATACAAGACTAACAAAGGCTATTCCTATAAAAAATTTGTAATATATGGACATTTTAATTTTGGGTTCCCCTGTAACCACAAAATCCACAAAAATTGGTATCCAACAAATAACAATTAATCCACATTAGTTATTTAATTTTACTGCAAATGAACTCAAACTCCTTGGAAAATCAATGTATTGTCCAGTAGTATATAAATGTAAAAGATGGTATTATGCCTGTTTGTTGTTTTAAATGTTGAAGAAAGTCCCCAAAACCTTACTTGGCTTTTGTTGTTCTTCCTTATGTCTGGTTAGAAAATTTAGGTGACAAAAAGTCATTATGTAAGAAATAGTTCATTGTTTAAATGCAGCATCAATTCAAATAAAATATTCTACAATACATTGCAATGAAGTCAGGAATTTTATTTTTTATTTTCAATTTTTACAAGGGACAGCCTCTTTTCTTTTGATCAGAAGAACCTTTTTCAAATATCTATCAAACAATTGGGTTCTATGAATTTATTCTTTAAATTTAACAAAATTATTATTTCACAAACCCCAATGAAAAAAAATGCTGTTTTAATTAACCATGCAGTTTCCCATTAAATGGATATATTGTTTAACTATTCTGATATTTCTGTGTACCGTTCATGTTTCCTTATTAAACATCTCATGTTTCACATTTAGACCTTGAAAAGTTGTATTTCTTACCATAATTTTCAAGAGATTCTCTTACACAATTCCAAGCTTTTGTAAAGTCTTCCAACAAATGATTAAATTCTTTGAGTCTTCTATCTGAAAAACAATAAATCTTACAATAGACAATACCCCAATCAACCGATTGACTTCAGATGCTATCCTCTTTCTCATTTGACACAAATCATACTGCCAAGTTGTCAAAATCCATAATTTATTAAATACAGAAGAGGTCAAAATTGGTAAAAGATGGAAATAAGAAGATGTGGTATGAGTGCCAATGAGACAACTCTCAATCCAAGTCACAATGCATAAAAAGTTAACAATTATAGGTCAAAGTACGGCCTTCAACACAGAGCCTTGGCTCACACGGAACAGCAGGCTATAAAGGGCACCAAAAATGACTAGTGTAAAACCATTCAAACAGGAAAACCAACAGTCTAATATATATAAATAAAATGCTTCGCTGGGGCGCAGCTTGATACGACCGCAGAGGTCGAACCCTGAACAGTTGGGGCAAGTATGGACACAACATTCAAGCTTGATACAGCTCTGAATTTGGATTGTTATTAAATATTTGACACAGCATAGGTTTCTGACACAGAAAGAATGTGGTCTAAGAACTTGAATTTTTTTAATTTACCTATTATGGTCCAATGTCCAAAATCAAAATTCATGGTTCGATTCAGCATATCAAAGAACCCCATATATTCAATTTTTGTTAAAATCAAACAAAGTTTAATTTTGGACCCCAACTTGGACAAACTTGAAAACTGGGCCCATAATCAAAAATCTAAACACATGTTTAGATTCAGCATATCAAAGAACCCCAAGAATTCAATTTTTGCTAAAATCAAACTAAGTATAATTTTGGACCCTTTGGACCTTAATGTAGACCAATTTAAAAAACGGGACTTAAAATTAAAAATCTAAATACACGGTTAGATTTGGAATATCAAAAAACCCCAATAATTCAATGTTTGATGAAATCAAACAAAGTTTAATTTTGGACCCTTTTGACCTCAATATGAACTAATTTGATAGCGGGGCCCACAAATAAAAAATCTAAATTCATGGTTAGATTCAGCATATCAAAGAACCCCATATATTCAATTTTTGTTGAAATCAAAAAAAGTATAATTTTGGACCCCAACTTGGACAAACTTGAAAACTGGGCCCATAATCAAAAATCTAAACACATGTTTAGATTCAGCATATCAAAGAACCCCAAGAATTCAATTTTTGTTAAAATCAAACAAAGTTTAATTTTGGACCCTTTGGACCTCAATGAAGACCAATTTAAAAAATGGGACCCAAATTAAAAATCTAAAAACACGGTTAGATTTGGCATATCAAAGAACCCCAATAATTCAATTTTCTATGAAATCAAACAAAGTTTAATTTTGGACCCTTTTGACCTCATATGAACCAATTTGATAGCGGGGCCTACAAATAAAAAATCTAAATACATGGTTAGATTCAGCATATCAAAGAACCTCATATATTCAATTTTTGTTGAAATCAAACAAAGTTTAATTTTGAACCCCAATTTGGACCAACTTGAAAACTGGGCCCATAATCAAAAATCTAAATACATGTTTAGATTCAGCATATCAAAGAACCCCATATATTCAATTTTTGTTGAAATCAAACAAAGTTTAAATACTGGACCCTATCTTGGACCAACTTGAAAACTGGGCCCATAATCAAAAATCTAAACACATGTTTAGATTCAGCAAATCAAAGAACCCCAAGAATTCAATTTTTGTTAAAATCAAACTAAGTTTAATTTGGACCCTTTGGACCTCAATGTAGACCAATTTAAAAAACAGGACCCAAAATTAAAAACCTAAATACACGGTTAGATTTGGAATATCAAAGAACCCCAATAATTCAATTTTAGATGAAATCAAACAAAGTTTAATTTTGGACCCTTTTGACCTCAATATGAACCAATTAGATAACGGGGTCCACAAATAAAAAATCTAAATACATGGTTAGATTCAGCATATCAAAGAACCCCATTTATTCAAATTTTTGTTGAAATCAAACAAAGTTTAATTTTGGACCCCAATTTGGACCAACTTGAAAACAGGGCCAAAAATCAAAAATCTAAATACATGTTTAGATTCAGCATATCAAAGAACCTCATATATTCAATTTTTGCTAAAATCAAACAAAGTTTAATTTTGGACCCTTTGGACATTAATGTAGACCAATTTGAAAACTGGACCCAAAATTAAAAATCTAAATACACTGTTAGATTCGGCATAACAAATAAATAAATGTGATCAAAGATTTTACAAATCTAATGCGCCATACTGTGCAATTAAAGATTACTTCTTGAAATTTTTCAATATTTGAAATTTGAAAAAAAAATAATATTTGAAGAATAATTCTTTTTAATTTCTGAAATCTGAAATGAGAAAAAATTGGCCCCCCACAATTTCTTTTTATCCCCCCGCCCCCCTTTCCCCCAAAAAAATTCTTTCCCTCAAGATATGGTCATAATCTCAATTCAAATTTCCAATGGAGTTGGCAACCATAATTACCCATTTAAATTTACCATAGTGCTAACTTAATCTATTTTATAATAGAATTAATAAAAATATAGTGTCAAATCTTTCATATGGATTTTTTTGTAAAAAAAAAAGATGAAAACATTTGCAGATATTTTTACTGGTCTTCCTTTATAAATATGCATTTCTTTAAACATAATTTAAAAGCAGTGTAAGGGAAGTAACCAAAACGTTGTATTTGGATTACCTCCCTTACACTGTTTTAGATTATCTTTATTGTTCATTAACCATTACTTTATACATAATTTAAAAGCAGTGTAAGGGAGATAATTTCAACACTGCTTTAAATTATGTTTTGTACTAAAGTATTTGTCCATTAACCAGGACAACCTTGTTTTTCCCCCTTTTTTGCCCCTAATTCCTAAACGGTTTGAGCCATAACCCCCCAAAGCAAATCCTAACCATCCCTTTGTGGTATGGAAACTTGTAGTATAATTTCAGAGAGATCCATACACCGTTCCACAGTTATTGTCTGGAAACTAGAAAATGCTCATGTTTGGCCCCTTTTTGGCCCCTAATTCCTTAACTGTTGGTACCATAACCCCCAAAATCAATCCCAACCTTCCTTTTGTGGTATTTAACCTTATGGTCGTATTTCAAAAAGATCCATTCACTTAAACTAAAGTTAGAGTGCGAAAACCAATATGTATTCGGACGACGACGCCGGACGACGACGACGCCAACGTCATACCAATATACGACCACAAAATTTTTTTGCGGTCGTATAAAAACGGGACCCAAAATTAAAAATCTAAATACAGTTAGATTTGGCATATCAAAGAACCCCAATAATTAAATTTTTGATGAAATCAAACAAAGTTTAATTTTGGACCCTTTTGACCTCAATATGAACCAATTTGATAGCGGGCCCACAAATAAAAAATCTAAATACATGGTAAGATTCAGCATATCAAAGAACCCCATATATTCAATTTTTGTTGAAATCAAACAAAGTTTAATTTTGGACCCCAATTTGGACCAACTTGAAAACTGGGCCAAAAATCTAAAATCTAAATACATGTTTAGATTCAGCATATCAAAGAAACCCATATATTCAATTTTTGTTGAAATCAAACAAAGTTTAATTTTGGACCCCAACTTGGACCAACTTGAAAACTGGGCCCATAATCAAAAATCTAAACACATATTTAGATTCAGCATATCAAAGAACCCCAAGAATTCAATTTTTGTTAAAATTAAACTAAGTTTAATTTTGGACCCTTTGGACCTTAATGTAGACCAATTTAAAAACGGGACCCAAAATTAAAAATCTAAATACACGGTTAGATTTGGCATATCAAAGAACCCCAATAATTAAATTTTTGATGAAATCAAACAAAGTTTAATTTTGGACCCTTTTGACCTCAATATGAATCAATTTGATAGCGGGTCCACAAATAAAAAATCTAAATACATGGTTAGATTCAGCATATCAAAGAACCCCAAGAATTCAATTTTTGATGAAATCAAACAAAGTTTAATTTTGGACCCTGTTGACCTCAATGTGGACAAAGTTGATAACGGGGCCCAAAAATCAAAAATCTAAATACATGGTTAGATTCAGCATATCAAAGAACCCCATATATTCAATTTTTGTTGAAATCAAACAAAGTTTAATTTTGGACCCCGATTTGGACCAACTTGAAAACTGGGCCCATAATCAAAAATCTAAATACATGTTTAGATTCAGCATATCAAAGAACCCTAAAAATTCATTTTTTGTTAAAATCAAACTAAGTTTAATTTTGGACCCTTTTGACCTTAGTGTAGACCAATTTGAAAACGGAACCAAAAATTAAGAATCTAAATACACGGTTAGATTCGGCATATCAAAGAACCCCAATAATTCAATTTTTGATGAAATCAAACAAAGTTAAATTTTGGACCCTTTGGACCTCAATGTGGACCAATTTAAAAACGGGGCCCAAAATCCAAAAACTTAATACACGGTTAGATTCAGCATATTAAAGAACCCCAAGAATTCAAGAATACGACCCATTGAAATTGATCAAGAAATAAGCAATTTAGACGAAGTATCTTCTTTTGCACAATACTGTGCAATTGAATATTTCTTGCTATTGCGCAATACTGTACAATTGACAATTTCTTGCTATTGCGCAATATTGTGCTATTGGATATTTCTTGCTATTGCGCAATACTGTGCAATTGAAGATTTCTTGCTATTGCGCAATACTGTGCAATTGAAGATTTCTTGCAATTGTGCAATACTGTGCAATTGAAAATTTCTTGCTATTGCACAATACTTATTATATAATAATTTACACATCCTGTTTGGTGTGTATCTCCTACCATATCATTATTATTTGCTTTTAAATATTAATCAGAAATAACCAACTTAAAATGGAAAATTTTAAAAGAAAAAAAAAAGGAAAAAAAGAAAAAAAAAGAAAAAAAAGAAATCCCCCCCCAAATTTTTTGAACCCCCTTATGATTCATCACCCCCAAACTCAATCCCAGCCTTCCCTTTGTGGTATGGTACCTTGCAGTACAATTTCAGAGAGATCCATACACTTGAACACAAGTTATTGTCTGGAAACTAGAAAAATGCTTGTTTTTTGCCCCTTTTTTGGCCCCTAATTCCTAAAATTTTGAGGCAATTACCCCCAAAATCAATTACAGCCTTCCCTTTGTGATATGGAACCTTGTGGTACAATGTCAGAGAGATCCATACACTTACACACAAGTTATTGTCTGGAAGTTACAAAAATGCTTATTTTTGGCCCCTTTTTGGCCCCTAATTCCTTAACTGTTGGTACCATAACCCCCAAAATCAATCCCAACCTTCCTTTTGTGGTATTGAACCTTATGGTAAAATTTCATGGAGATCCATTCACTTAAACTAAAGTTAGAGTGCGAAAACCAATGTGTCTTCGGACGACGCCGGACGACGCCAGACGACGACGACGACGACGACGACGACGACGACGACGCCAACGTCATACCAATATACGACCAAAAAATTTTCAATTTTTGCGGTCGTATAAAAACAAGAAACTAGAAACACTTATAAACCACATCAACAAACGACAACCACTGAACAACAGACTCCTGACTTAAGACAGGTGCATAAGAATGCAGCAGGTTTAAACACTTAAACAGGTGCCAACCTTCACCGTAACCTGAGACAGTAGTGTAATAAAAGACTTTATTCTCACCTCTTCTCATCTGTACTCTTACATCTGCAATTGTGACTGTTGTAGCTTCAGGTCTGTCTAATTTTCTGCCGTATTTCTGTATCAACATTTTCTGCAGTCTGATTATGCTTGGTACAAATCTGACAGCTCTCAAATGGTGTTCCTGAAAGGCAGAACACAATCAAATTTGATTTAATTACATACTGAGATAGATGAAAAAAGATGTCAAAAACATCAATAAAAGTACCACAAAGATCTCATGATAACTAATTAACATCTAAATATAACCCCATGGTCAGACTCTTTATTGGATTAAACAATATCTTTTCACCACAAAGCATATCTAAAATATTTTTTTCAGCATAGTAGCAATAAAAATCCATAAATGAGTCATTGGGCTGCTGTCTTCTTCAGATATACCCCATAACTACTTTAGTTCATATAATATTTTTGAATTTGTATCAAGTTATTTTCATCACAACACCCAAGACAGAAAATATCTTAATTGGTGAAGAAACTGAGAGTGGTTTCACCTTACAGCAGAAAGCCTTATTTTTGTATGGATACTGACTTAATCAAATAAGAAAATCTCCATACAAGTTTATGAAATCCTAAAACTAACTGGGATATGAACTTTCATTGGAAACAGTCTTATTTCATAGAATAGAATTAGGTCATTTCAATAAAATAGATCAGGAGTTAGAAAGGGGCTTCTTTAATCTTCATGCTTTTTTTCACATTTCTTTTGATTTTGCCATTTAATTAGGGACTTTCTGTTTTGAATTTTCCTCGGAGTTCAGTATTTTTGTGATCTAACTTTTTTCTCAATCTGTGTGGGAAAATATTTCTCGTGTCTAAAGAAAACTTTGTTCTCGGAAAATGATTGGTCAAAATTTTCTTGATTTCTTCTGAATTTCCTATTGTGACGTCATGAAAAAGGCGACCATGCTTGCTTACATCACATACTGTATAAAGAACACAACTTTCTGCAAAACTTTGAAAAGGAAGGATAAGATTTGTTGAGATAACGTCTAAAAATCATCAGAGAAACAGATTCCACCACTATAACTCGTGTATTACGATATTTCTCCACTCTCAACAGGCAAAACAAATTAACTGATGCCTAGTTTGCAGAATAATTATCCCATTCTTGACTGCAGAATAATTATTTCATTCTTGACTTGGTACATAAAATTCCCGACCGAAACAAATGGAATAACAAATACATATTTTAAAACGATCAGTTCATATCTAGAAAATCTTCCTCATATTTTTCAGGCTTTTCCCTTAAAGACTCCTGAGTCATTTTGAGCAAACTGAATTACAGTTTACAAAATGATTGAGTGCCTATCAGCAGTTCCCATACCTCTTTCAGGAAAAGTCTTAGAACTGGTAACTTTTCTTTTGTAGTATCAAGATTCTGTCTGAGATGGTTGACTGTAATCATAGCTCTATATCTCCATACAGCTGGAATATCATGTAACATAACAATGTCCTGTGCTTCTTGTGGTCTGTCCGTCTCGTACAGAATCTGTAGCAATGGATCAGCTCCTAAAAGAAACAAAATTAAATATTATTATATTCATATTTCTTTTGTAAGTGGTGCTTAGTGGCAAAATTATCTAGGTTGTCAGTCACCATTTACCTGTATAAATTATATCACAAAAATAGCAAGATCAATTTGATCTCTTACTATGAACACACTTTGCTAGTTGCCTTGAAGTTTGACAAAATTTGGTGGTTTTACCCTCCCTCTCCAGAAATTTGCTTGTTCTCACCATCTCACCAATATCAAGACCTCAATGAATAGCTCCTGATAACAAAAGAAGGCCACATATAAAATATTTCCCCACAACTGAAAAGTTTCTTCTATAGTGCAAATAACCTCACCTAGTCTTTGATCTTGCAGTATCCCATCATTACATTTTTTCAAAATATTTTCCATATCCTACAATTAAAAATCAAACCTTTTATTTTTCAGCTTAGAGATTAAATCTACAAATTTTGTTTATCAATGTTTTTATAAATTACCAAAACTAGAAAAATATTTTCGGTACTAAATGAATTCAAAGACACATTTGCTTTACATCTCAATTCTTAAAAATAAACTCCAGAATTTGAAATGTCAAATTTAAGATTAAGACTGTACACTGAACTCTAAATGTTTTTTTCTGGTTTAATTGTGTTGTTGGATTGCTGTCTCATTGACATATTCTAATTCAACATTTCCTTTTAATTCATATACATGTACATACCTGTAGAATAGGCAAAATGTATCTCTTGGCGAAATCATTTTCCCAATTAGATCTAGAATCTTTGTCTTTTAATCCACAAACTTTAGCAGGATAATCTTCCCCTAAAATGATGAATTAATCTGCTTAAAGTCTCTTTTATAAACATGAAATATTTTTACAGTACGAAACTTAAACAGGTTAGAGCCAACAAAATGATTAATTGATTGACTGTTGGTGTTTAACACTACTTTCAACACCCTTGGCCCTATCATGACTCCAGCTTTTACCTGTGGAGGAAGCTAGAGTGCCCGGAGAAAAACACTGACCTTTGGCAGAAAACCTGGCATTCCTAGTCAAATAAGATCAGTCGAAAGCACCTGCAATGAGCAAGTTTCAAACTCATTACCTTGGTGTCGACAAGCTAGTGACCACTGTAGATAAACTACTTAGACAATTGTCCACCGAGGCTCCTTTACCAAAAAAAACTAGAGGCTCCAAGGAGTCTGTGTTGCTCACCTGTTAATTTTATTTACAATTGATGCATGAAATAATGCAACCGTTATACATTTGCCTTAGTTTCAGAGATATAAGTCAAACATTGCAATTTCCCCTAAGTTCTATTTTTAGCCATGTCTGACATGTTGATTGGCAGGCAGGGTCATCAGACACATTTTGTAAACTAGATACCCTAGTGATAATTGTGGCCAAGTTTGGTTAAATTTGGCCCAGTAGTTTCAGAGGATAAGATTTTTGTAAAAGTTAACGGAAGACGACGGACGCCTGGTGATGAGAAAAGCTCACTTGGCCCTTTGGGCCAGGAGAGCTAAAAATAAGATGTTTAAATGCAAATATTTTCATGTTTTTTTAATGTAAGATGGTGAGAATTGCTTCAAAGTAAGATCTGCATTGTAATTTTGTTTGTTTACTATGATGTTGGTATGAATGAGAAATGGTATCAGTAAAATATTAATTGGACAGGAATGAAACAGGAAGTGTTTATTGACATCTTTATATGCAAGTTTATTAATGCATGTAGATTGAACAGATATATATATATTCAACTTCTGTCCACATAAATATGTACATGAATTTGCAGAGCAATTGAAGGAAATACAGTAAACCTGTACTTTTTATCACCACAACTGATATTATTTATCATTACAGATCAAAAGTAATTGTATTATACTCCATCAAACCAGCTAGCACAACAATCAAATTAGTTGTAAAATATTGGAATGTGAAAGTGTGTCTTATGTTGCACAATTTTGCCATTCTTGTTAATGATGCCTCAACAAACCAATAACATGGGAAACTTTTTTTTTCTCATAATGCTCCATTGGGCAATTTTAGTTCTTTGTTTTATGGCAAACATTATTCAGAACTGAAACAGCTTAATGTGACTGTTCATACCTATAGCAGCCCAAGTGAGACTGTTCATACTTATAACAGTTAAAGAGTGACTGTTCATACATATAAGAGCTAGAGTGACTGTTCATACATAAAACAGCTAAAGTGTGACTGTCCATACCTATATAACAGCTAAATTGTGACTATTCATACATATAAGAGCTAAAGAGTGACTCTTCATACATAAAACAGCTAAAGTGTGACTGTTCATACCTATAACAGCTAATGTGTGACTGTTCATACCTATAACAGGTAAAGTGTGACTCTTCATACATATAACAGCTAAAGTGTGACTGTTCATACATATAACAGCTAAAGAGTGACTCTTCATACATAAAACAGCTAAGAGTGACTGTTCATACCTATAACAGCTAATGTGTGACTGTTCATACCTATAGCAGCCTAAGTGAGACTGTTCTTACTTATGTTATATTAAAATTTTGTCTTTGGCAATTCATAATTTTACACATGAATATATATATAATTATTATTCTTATTTTATCTGTTCAGATGATGTTTCAAATTCAAGCTTTGGGACAAAGCTTAGTGAGGTTGAGGAAGAGTTGTTATAGTAAAATTATGAATTGCCAAAGACAAAATTTTAATATAACAGAGACCAAACTAAAGTGAAAATTATTAATTTTTTACAATTTGGGTTAAAGTATTTTGAAGTTGAAATTTTTCCATTATTTCTGAAATTTCTCCTTATGTACATGATGTAAGTAACATTATTTTTGGAATGTTAATTTTTGATAAAAAAAGAATGACATACAACTTGAATATTTAGGATTACGTAATTGAGCCAGATAACAAAGAGACATGTAAGCCCTAAATTACTGACTTTGGATTATGTACCTTACATGTAAATTAAGGCTTTTGTTAAACAACCTTTTCGTATTACTCATGTGTGAAACTATTTATAACACCTGTCACCCATGACTTGATTATTGACTGAACCAGTGAAAATATGTTGTGGTCAAGGGAGCCATACAAGTTACTTTTGATTGGTGAAAACAGGAGAAAGTTAAGAGATCAGTGATCATGTGACCACGCCCGCACGGAAACAATTTAGGTTTCCAACGGTCACTTTAATTACTGATTTCCAAGAATAAACATCTTTATTTACTAGAACTTTCTCTCTGTTTTACACCAGGTAAGTTGAATTATATTTTTTGTATTTTGTTTTATTTGTAATTTTTATTTGCCGGGATAAATGTCTTTTGTTGATAAAGCAATGCTTTTAGAGTTATATCCAAAGCTACATAACAAAGACATGAAACCTAATAATCTTTGTTATTTTTCTGTAAGTTGTGTTTTATTTTTTGTATATAGATTGCATATTTAGTTCATAAATTAGGTTTTGGAAAGCGACACTTTTCCACAGGATTTCAGTTTGTTTACAAAATTGTTTGAACATTTTGAATTGACTTTAGGACTTATAAATAGATTGAATTTAGTTAATTTTATTGTATTACACACACACACAGAACTCATGACTGAAGTGAATATTTGTTGCCTACATGTAGCAACATGGTTACATTCTTTATTTAATATTTTTCAAAAGAGTAAATACTGTTTAAGCATTATGCAAAGTTATTTTACATACCAATTTATTCAGAAATAAATTGTACTTGGTATTACATTTTATATGATTAAATATTGAGATAGTCTATGGCAAAGATTTTATTAATTTTAAAAGATTATGGTTTCCATAGCAACAAGTTAGTATATAAAACATTTGAAATTAGGTTTCTTATAGTTGAAATGATACGGTTTATTTTACATATTGTATTACACATTTACCTGTACGTAAAGTTTTGTAAAGCTGTTTCACTTGATAAAATAGAGTTTGGGCAAGTTTTATTTAAATAGTTTAAAATTTGCAGAGAGTTATGTCCCTTGATTTAGTTCATTTGTGAAATTTAAAATTTAGTATCAAGTGAGATTGCTATTTTATTGTGTAATATTTGTATGCACTTTGATTACTGATTTCCAAGAATAAACATCTTTATTTACTAGAACTTTCTCTCTGTTTTACATCAGGCGCTAAAAGTCATCAGACGTAGCAGAAAAGTCAGTACGACACTTATAACAGTTAAAGGGTGACTGTTAAAACATATAAGAGCTAAAGTGTGACTGTTCATACCTATACAGCTAATGTGTGACTGTTCATATCTATAACAGCTAATGTGTGACTGTTCATACCTATAACAGCTAATGTGTGACTGTTCATACCTAAAACAGTTAATGTGTGACTGTTCATACCTATAACAGCTAAAGTGAGACTGTTCATACCTATAACAGCTAAAGTGTGACTGTTCATGATTTGAGCCAGGAGATAATGAATCAAGGCCAAGATCTCGTCTTTGTTCTTCCCTAGAATGTTCTGGATAGAGGTCAGGTCAAGATCTATGTGTTCAAGTAAAAATAGAGGAACATCTCCTTGCTGTATGGTAGGTTTTATTGTCTGACATGCTGCCTGGAATGAAAAGAAAACACCATCTGTAGAAAAATATTAATAATCAGGCCTCTACAATAACTTTTTTTTTAACTTGCCCAATAGGACAAGTACATACCAAAACTTACTTGTCCGAAAAAAAACCTTTATATTAACCGTTTTTTTTTTTTCATTTTAGGTTGATTCAATGAACAAAATGAATTCAAACATTAGAACAGAATTTGTTTATATCTCTTGATATCCTTTTCAAAAATATGAGTCAAGAACAACTGAATCTAGTCATGTCTAGTCACAGGACTTAGGTTCTAGTTTTCATCAAAGTCAAAGTCTCATCGATCAGACTCTGCACATCAGGCACAGTCTGGTATACCTGTCAATCTACACTCATTTGGTTTGTATCCTGGTCTATCAAATATTGATTATTATGATCAATGTCTTACTACAATCAGCTTTGTTTTTAATATATTGAAATGTTTTTCAAACACAATCAAATATTGTTTGTTTAAATATTATCAAATCTTATTTTCTGAATTCTATGGTCAATACTTTCATTTTATTTTTTAAATATTTTTGTTAAATAAAATTTATCATATTTTTATAATAAAGCAACAGAATAACGTTGGGTCCCGAGATGTCTCCAACAGTGTCGAACTGTCTATTAAACATGGAGCCGATTCATTTCTGTGCCGGTGCCGAAATGTCTTGTTATCTTATAAACAAAGGCATAGCTTTGGATCCTGGCTCACTGCTCGACAGTAGCCCATGGACAAAGCTTTAGATTGGGTCAGGATGCCAGGCTAACAAAGGTAGGCTAAGAGTGGTAAGAGTCCCGAAATGTCTCCAACAGTGCTGAACTGTCTATTAAACATGGAGCCAATTCGTTTCTGTGCCGGTGCCGAACTGTCTTGTTACCTTATATACAAAGTGCACCGCTGATTCCGATTGGTAAGACTGGTTTGCGAGAATAATATGCCTATTATCTGTTATAAAGTACCTTCCCAAAAATATAATATAATATGTAAATAAAGTAATATTCAGATATTCATTTCAACATAACCTATTATATTGATTCTAAATGGAATAATGTGTTTTTATATAAAATATCATCACATCTGAACAAGAATAGTTAAAAAAATTATTGGTCAAAAACCCTAAACATTTTTTCCTTAAATCTTGTTACTATTTGGTCAGAAACAAAAATTGTGTCGATGGGACATCAATGTTCATGCTCTGATTGCACTATCATATGTATCTGTTCAGTGAACCGTGAAATCGGGTTCAAAATCATTATTTGGCATTTACTTTAATAAAATGCTTCGCCAAGCTCAGCCTTATACTACCGCAGAGGTCGAACCCTGAACAGTTGGGGCAAGTTTGGACACAATATTCAAGCTTGATACTGTCTGAATTTGGATTGTGATCAAATTTTTGACATAATATAGGTTTCCAACACAAAATAAATGTGGTCAAAGATCTTAAAAATTTGAAATGGGACATTTAATTTACCTAGTATGGTCTGATATCCAAAATCTAACAACATGGTTAGATTCAGCATATAAAACAACACCAACAATTTTAATTTTAATTGAAATCAAACAAAGTTTAATTTTGGACCCTCCAAACCTTAATATGGACTAATTTGAAAACAGGGCCCAAAATAAAAAATCTAAATGCACAATAAGATTCAGCATATCATAGAGCCGCAATAATTCAGTTTTTGATGAATCAAACAAAGTTTAATTTTGGACCCCTTGGACCTCAATGTAGACCAATTCTAAAATGGGGCCCAATATCCAAAATAGTAATACAAGGTAAGAACCCCCAAAAATTAAAGACTTTAAATTAATCCCATTGAAAAAATTGGTTAAAAGATTTGTATTTATTTTCAATTGAAGATTTTTTGCTATTGCACAATACTGTGCTATTGCGCAATACTATGCTGTTGCACAATACTTAGTTAATCTGCTATATATAATAATTTACACACCCTGTTTGGTGTGTATCTCCTGCCATATCAGTATTTGTTGCTTTTATATATAAATCAGAAATAATCTATGTAAAAATGGAAAAAAAAAAAAAATTATGAAAAAAAAATCCCCTCCAAAAATGAAATTTTGAAAAATCTTGGAAGGAAAAAAGAATGAACCCCCAAAAATTTCCCCCCCCCCTAATAAAAGATTATTTTCTTTTCATGAAAAATGTACAATGTCGGAGAGTTTCATAAACTTTAACACAAGTTATTGTCTGGAAACTAGAAAAATGCTTGTTTTTGGCCTCTTTTTTGCCCCGAATTTCTAAACGTTTGGGGCAATTACCTGTTCATTCACATTAGCACCTATATACATTGACATGTGGGTTAACAGTCTAAGAACAGCACATGAAGCTCTGTTTAACTTTCTTTCTGGTGCCCTTAAAGGACCAAGTCTTGCTGCTGGGCCCAAAACATGACCTTTTTCAGTTCTGTCGACACTGAAAATAAAAAAAATTTATATGCCAACTTTCTCTTGTTTTAATGATATATGAGATACTGTAGAAAGGCTTGTATAGTTCGCACTGGTACATAGTCCAAACCCCCTTCTCCCCACGAAATTTTAGGTAAAAAAACTTTTTGTAACTGTTAGAAAAGGTCTAATGAAACTCCGGTAATTTCAAATCCTGTGCGGTCGTTTGCGGGATTTTCTTGGAAAAACCTGTTTTCCATCATCAAACAGAAGCTAAAACTGCTTGTAAATGATTCTAGAACGCTTCATGATTGTTAAAATAAGTTTAATTCACTTAAAAAACAATTTAGAAACTTGTGTGTATGTTTAAACAGGAAGTTTAAAAAGCACGTGTAAAAGAAGAAATTAACCGGTGAGAGTCGAAATCCGTACATAACAGATATCACTATAATACGACTTTGAAAGTAAAACAGTTCCATCCTTTTGTAAAACAGTCTTTAATATATCTATCACATTAATGTCTGAAGGGTCTTAAGCTAATACAAACCATATTAGTCAGTATGAAACACCAAAACGGAACGAACAATAACCGATTACGTTTTGTCGTTTACAAATTCTAAGCTGGTTTACGGTTGTCTTTTTCACTATGTTTGTATCGTTTCAATCAAGCTGATACCAGTTTATTTCAACCAATGCATTGAAAAGAAACGAGAAATTTGTAATGAAAGGTTTAATTTTTATATTTATCAGTATTAATTTGATATTGAATAGAAATAACTTATTAATATGGATGAGTTAAAATTATTAGTTTGAAAAATGATAAGAGCGACCTCTACAATATAAATAACAAAGATGGCGGAACGTGAACAAACCACCTCGCCCGCGAAATTGAAATTTTTCTCTTATTTCTTGCTAATTGTACTCTATAGTCCGCACCCCGTCTGGAAGGTCCAATTTTGGAGAATAAAACCGCGGACTATACAAGCCTTTCTACGGTATTAAAAAAATAACACATTAATTTTCAATTTGTTACATAGTAAAACTTCTGTCATTTCGAGAATCTTGTTATTAATCAAATGATTTATCAAATTTCAAAGGTTTATTTCAATAGAAAAACTTTTGTCCCCTGGATACTAGTAAACTTATCCTCTGGATACCAGATCTATATAAATAGAATGCAATCATTAATCCATCATTCTGCCTAGGAAGAAGCTCTGTGAAGGACTGAAACCAGTCAGGCTATGAATCATCACCAGATGCTATTAATTATGTGTTTTTGCAGATCCTATTTTATATGCTGTTCATTTCAAAAGAATTGACACTTTTGTTAGAAAATAACATGCAACATGTTTACAAATTCTTAATTCAATTAAAATGACCATGATATTATAGTTTTTGTCAAAAACATATATGCAGGTTGCCTTGACCATCTGTTTGCTACATGTACACTTACCCAGCATCTAGTTCATTCCCAGGTCTAAGGTGGTGCCCTTGGCCACCAATCTCTCTACCACATTCTTTGCAGACACCTACAGCGCCTGGTTGACCACACTAAAATGTAAATATTTATAAACATGTGAAACAATTCTGAAGATGTTTCTATTTATGATATTAAAATCCAAACCTCTGAGGTAATTTTGGGTTGAAAATAAAGAAATGCATTGAATGCTACAACAAATCATGGTCCTTGTGTAAATAATCAAACTATATCATTGGGTGGTGTACTGTTTCAGCAATACCTACTATATGTAAAATTATAAATAGAATTATGTTCAAGTTCTGACACTGGTCATTACTGATCAGTTTCCAACTCTTACTATCATTTACATATTACAATGTACTCACATTTCCTATGATGTAAGGGTGACCGTTAGGACATCCTGAAACCAAAAGATTAAGATTAATAGTCTGCTCACTGAACATTATTTTAACTAAATGGATGTGCTTCTTAGTCAGATGATACTAGCATACCTGACTGTTCTGCTGTTATTAGAAAATATTTCTGTTATAAAAGTTAATTAATTTTAACTTGTAGTATATTTGCCTGATAAAATTAATCACGCACATAAAAACTAGCAATCTTTTTTGCTATGAACATTACCAGTCTCAAATTCAATAGTACTCAACTTAAAACTTATGTTTAATTTCAACATTGATATTGGACATCAAGCAGATATGAAAATTCACCAGGAGAATGCACAGGAAAAGATGTAGAAATATTAAGGGAACTATATAACCAAAACGGGGCATAAAAAGAAGAGCGAACAAGAACATGAGTCCATAAGATACCCCTGCACGTATAATCACATTTCCATGTTCAGTGAACCTTAAAATTACAGGGTCGAACTCTCAATTTAGCATATATCTTAAAAAGTTCATATGAAAAGTGTATGCTAAGTTTTTAGTTGATATGGTACTGATTTCAATGTAACTAACCACCTTAAACCAAAGTGTCAATCTGATACGAGACGGTGAGGGCATAAATACTGCCAAAGTATAAATAATAGGACATGTTGGGTAATACATGTATGTCAATGAAACACTTACCCAACAACTATAAGGCAAATAAAAATCAATTTTCTACTTTACTTTGTAAATGCATCAAACATATTTTCAATCTTATAGAAATAACAAAACAACATATCAGCTCTAGATGTTCAAAGTTAAAAGACTTATACTTTTGAACCAATTCAAGGCTAAATATAATTTATGATTCACTGTTTGAACAGCTATTTTGTATCTATTTCTTAAAAAATTGCTGATAACAAAAAAAGAAAAAGAAATATCTGAATATAACTTACTGTAAAACACTGGATTTTCATTCGCATTATTTCTTCTAGCTGCCAGAACTGCTTCTTTTATTTCTAGAAGTTCATCTTGAGGCATCGTAGGTAAATATGAGGACTGGAAATAAAATTTAAATGATATATCTTTTTCATTTTTGAAAGGGGAAAAGATGATAATTTTTATCCTTGACAACTTTTAATTACAGACATGGAACACTTCATCCTTGTAAGTTCTTTTTATTCTATAATCATTGCCATAAATAATTGTCAACTTTTTATGATACTTACAACCATTTTCTGAGGTTTCAAAGCAATATTAAGCAATGGCGTCAGCAAGGTGTGTTTCCCTGGAATTTCTCTTATCAATACAAAACAGTGAGTAAGAAGGCAAAATATATTCTGCTCAGCTAATGACATTCTAGGTATGATGTTTCCTGGCAATCTCCATAGAGCATTCTGTAGAATTCTTTGTGGAACTTCCTTGTGTTTAATTAAGACATGGTTTATTATGAATTCACTTAGAAATTCTTTGCCCTGAAATAGAAAAAATATGTTTACAGTCATTATAAATTTAACTATACATACTCTTTATATCAAACACAACAAACATTATGTGAGTATTGCATGGCAATACATAGTTCCCCTTCCGGTTAAAAATTCATTGTATTGGAACAAAATTCTAACTTGATTTATAACTTGCAATGGTGTAAACTATATAACAAATATCAAGTCAATATCTTCAAGCATGACGAAAAAGTGTTGAAAACTGATTATTTAAGTGAATTTTCTAAGTCCAAGGACCATAACTCTGCACAAAATCATCAGACCAGGACAAAATTCGAACTTGATCTGTTACTTGTCATGATAAAACTATATACCAATTTTCAAATCAATATCTTCAAGCATGACGAAAAAAAGAGCAGAAAACTGATTATTTTAGTGAATTTTCTAAGTCAAAGGACCATAACTCTGAGATAAAAATCATCAGACCGGAACAAATTCAAACTTGATCTGTAACTTGTCATGATGAAACTATATATCAATTATCAAATCAATATCTTCAAGCATGAAGAAAAAAAGTGTGGAAAACTGATTTGGCGGACTGACGGACAGACAGACAGACAGACAAACGGAGTGCAAACCTAAAGTCCCATCGACTTCGTCAGTAGGGGACTAAAAGTGAAAGTCATAGCCAATGATATAATGTACTGTTAGTTCAGATATTTTACTGACCTTTTTATTATGGCAGAAAAATGAAACATGATATGCTTGGCAAAAATAAAGAACTTGCATGTGTGTGAACAGTATATACATAACTTTTTTGCTCGTTATAAAATTGAACTTTAAAACTACATTGTGAGAATTAATTCTAGTGAATATACAAATGAACTGACTTGTGATACTGTATGATTTCAAAAAAGGATGGAAAAGAGACTCGAAAAAGGAAGAATTCGAAGGATCAAAATGTTGTATATCTTTAAATAATATTTGTATTTCAATCATTGTTTTTTACATAAATCAGGCCGTACGATTTTCTCGTTTGAATTGTTTTAAATTTTTCATTTTAGGGCCCTTTAAAGCTGACTATGCGGTATTGGTTTTGCTCATTGTTGAAGGCCATACGTTGACCTAAAGTTTTTAACTTCTATGTCATTTGGTCTCTGGTGGAGAGTTGTCTCATTGGCAATTATATCACATCTTCTTATCTTTATAATTAATAAGTTTACAGAAAATTATTTATGAATTTAACAGTAAACTGTTTAAATTCAATATGGCTTTTATCTGATTTTCGTGTAAGAATTCTGTGGATTTGACCACCTTAAATAATTTCAATTTTCATAAAAAACAACACTATACTTACCTTGTCTGTGAACTTTTGTGGTTGATCTCCATATACATTATTCATAGAGATCTCTCTGTGTAAAGCTAACAGCAACTTTATTCTGGTCTGCCATTCTTCCTTAGGTCTCTAAAAATTACAAGATATCTTTTATTTTTAGACCAACGATGTATTCATGGCTTATCTACTTTTGAGATTTACAAAGAAAAGGAATTACACAAATACACAAAAAAAGATGCCATAATTTAGCTTTTTTGGAAAAGTTCTAAATCACCTAAAGTCTAGCAAAATTGTAAATAAATTTTAACAATTTTTAAAGTTTTGCAACATCAGACTCCAGCATACATCGTGGAAGTTTTGTTTTAATAACAAATCAATTTCTGATTGGCTGTTTTTTTAAATTTGTTAAATCCTTCCCTGTGCATGATTAGATATCTTTTTGAATGTCTTAAGTACCAGTCTGCCTAAGAATCAGGCAGTGGTGAAAACATGACAAACAAATACCAACTCAAGTTTACATTAATTTATGTTCAAATTGTATCATGGTGCACGAATATAACATTCATTTCCTTTTCCTGTTCAGGTAATACAAGATATAATTTGTTTGAAATGCACTAGAAATAAAAAATTAAGGGAAGCTAACTCTGTAATTTGCTATCATTATAACCAAAAGTTATCTAGAGATTTCTCAAATTACAAGACACGCAGAAACAATAGACCTACCATTTCCAACTCAGGGTGAGGGTAACTTCAAAATAGAATGGATAGGTCGGTGGGTTTTTTCTGCCATGTTTTGAAATTTTTCTAAATTGCCTGATTCTTACGAAGACTGGCACTTAACTTTTCAATGAAAACTGTTTGTAGTTTGATACCTGTAGTAATTGCTGTAATTTTTCACTATCTTCATTCAATACAGTAGTAACAATGGTCTCTCTCAATTCTTTATATTCGTCTCCATTTACAATGTATCTGTCATGACATTCTTCTACCTGCAGATAAAATATGGAATAGGTAAACAGGTAAAAAAATATACCAAAAGCTGTTTCTGTTTTTTAATTTCAAAATATATTAAAGTTTAATTTGGTCATTTGAATGTAATTGCAATTGGAAATAGAAATGACCAGATATGAAAAAAACCTCCAAAAACACCGACAACTTAATATCTTAACATTAGATATCATTCAATTGCCTCCAAGAAATCAATTTTATCAATATTTCTATGCAGAAGCTAATCAATAATGTTAGATGTTGAAATTAAAATTACCATAGTGAGTCAGATTTATTAATGTTTCAGTTGTTCAATTTAAAATTACCATAGTAAATTAGATTTATCAATGTTTCTTAACGCTAGATCATAGTTAAGTTCTACCCGATTTTATAAAGATTTGAACAGCTATCAATTTTTCAAATACCCCTTGTTACAGTTACAATCTAACAAGCATTTACTACATAGTTCGAAGAAAACTGGTTAGCATATGAAGATCTTCAATTTTAAAAGTGTCAAATTGAGTCTGAAAGTCCTAGTAATTACCTTTTTCTCCTTCAGCTCTGGCAGACGGACCCATCTTAAGAAGCTGGCATCACTTTTGGCCAATACAGTCTGGTAACTGTCTATACCATAACATCTACACAACTGCTTTACAAAGTATCGTCTGAAAGTCAAATGTTTGTTGTAATTCAAAAGAATATGCACCTAAGTGATAGTAGCTGACAGCCTGCCATACTAACAATAGTTTTTTTTAGATTTTAGTTCAACTTTTGTGTCCGAAATTAGAAATCTTAAAGTTTTTAGATCCAAAGTAATGTTAAATATAACTTCCTTCCTCTAAGCATAAAGTCAATTTGGTAAACAATTTTATTAGAAGCTTTATACTGTGGTCAAGGCAAAATGCCAAATCAGACTTATGAAAGGGCAAACAATTTGATACTGTTGCTTAGGGCTACATTGTCAATTTGTCGTTTGTCACTCTTTCTATCATAGTACAATTTACAAATCAAAAAGAAAACAAGAATAAGTCTGCCGTAGTTCAATGTGCCACTCTCACACCATCGCAAATTTGATGTTCAGTAAACAACAAAATCAGGGTAAAAATTCTAATTTGTTCTATTTGTAAAAAGTTCACTTCATAATGAACATGTGTACTAAATTTAAACTTGATGTGACCACAAACTACCTTAAACCAAAACTTTAACATGATAACGGACAGACGCTCACAGACGGGAAAACATAATACTATCATAAGCAGGGCTTAGGTACAAAAACATCTGGCAGGATCAAACTACATTTTTTTTTTAAATTGGTGAATAAATTACCTTGGCCATGGAGACCCACATTCTTCACACAATCTTGCTGCTGCATCAAACAACCTTCTGATATCTGGTTCCAGCCTATTCTTCTGTCCTGTTCCAAACATATTGTAAATGTACTTGGCTACAACAGTCAGGCAAAACCTGACTTTTGAAATGTGGTCTATTTTCCCTAATGTTTGTATTTCCTGTGCTATATTTGGTACAGCATCTCGTAACATTTGGGTTACCATAGCAACTTCATCATCTCTGTTTACATATTGTTGATGTAGGGAATCCTGGAAATATTTTTTTTTTGTAAAGTAATGGAGAATTATTCTAATGAGCAATGATGCTAATCAAATTTCATTAAGTTTTTGATTACAATTTAAAATGACCACCTACAAGAAAATTGGTTTAGCATTACATAGGATTACAAACTTTGTCCAAAGTATAAATATAATTAAGTAATTAAAAACCACAAATTTAAGTGTTCAACAAAATACAGAATTTGACAATTAAATCATGTCTCTATGATAATAACATTTTTCATCAGTACACAAAAAATAGTACACACAAAACTAGGAAGAATCTCCAGTTATTCATAATTACCTCCATGCACTGTAGAACCAATTGACAAAGCTCAACCAGATGATGTGGATCTCCAGTAGTTCTGACTAATTCACTGGCATGGTTAAAGTATCTTGACAAATTTTGTTCAATTTCATGTCCACTGAAATGTTTAAGAAAATAACTATGTTCAAATACAACAAGCAATAAAATGCTCTGCTGGGCGCAGTATGATACGACCGCAGCGGTCGAACCCTGAACAGTTGGGGCAAGTATGGACACAACATTCAAGCTTGATACAGCACTGAATTTGGATTGTAAATAAATATTTGACACAGCATAGGTTTCTGACACAGAATGAATGTGGTCAAAGAACTTAAAAAATTTTAATTTACCTATTCAAACCATATCATTATTATTTGCTTTTATATATAAATCAGAAATAACCAATTTAAAATGGAAAATTTTAAAGAAAAAAAAGGGAAAAAAAATCCCCCCCCCCCCAAATTTTTTGAACCCCCTTATGATTCATCACCCCAAACTCAATCCCAGCTTCCCTTTGAGGTATGGTACCTTGCAGTACAATTTCAGAGAGATCCATACACTTGAACACAAGTTATTGTCTGGAAAATGCTTGTTTTTTGGCCCCTTTTTGGCCCCAAATTCCTAAACGTTTAGGGCAATTACCCCCAAACTCAAACCCAGCTTTCCCTTTGTGATATGGAACCTTGTAGTACAATTTCATAAAGATCCATACACTTACACACAAGTTATCCTGAAACTAGAAAAATGCTCGTTTTATTGCCCCTTTTTGGCCCCTTATTCCTAAAATTTTGAGGCAATTACCTCCAAAATCATTCCCAGTCTTCCCTTTGTGGTATGGTACCTTGTAGTACAATTTCAGAGAGATCCATACACTTGAACACAAGTTATTGTCTGGAAACTAGAAAAATGCTTATTTTTTGCCCCTTTTTGGCCCCTTATTCCTAAATGTTTTGGGCAATTACCCCCCAAACTCAATTCTAGCTTTCCCTTTGTGATATGGAACCTTGTAGTACAATTTCATAAAGATCCATACACTTACACACAAGTTATCCTGAAACTAGAAAAATGCTCGTTTTATTGCCCCTTTTTGGCCCCTTATTCCTAAACATTTTGGGCAATTACCCCAAAACTCAATTCCAGCTTTCCCTTTGTGATATGGAGCCTTGTAGTACAATTTCAGAAAGATCCATACACTTACACACAAGTTATTGTCATAAAACTAGAAAAAAGCTTGTTTTTTGCCCCTTTTTTGGCCCCTAATTCCTAAAATTTTAAGGCAATTACCCCCAAAATCAATCCCAGCATTTCCTTTGTGATATGGAACCTTGTGGTACAATGTCAGAGAGATCCATACACTAATACACAAGTTATGTCTGGAAGTTACAAAAATGCTTATTTTTGGCCCCTTTTTCCTTAACTGTTGGTACCATAACCCCCAAAATCAATCCGAATCTTCCTTTTGTGGTATTGAACCTTATGGTAAAATTTCATAGAGATCCATTCACTTAAACTAAAGTTAGAGCACGAAAATGTGTCCATTCACTTGAACTAAAGTTAGAGTGCGAAAATGTGTCTTCAGACGACGACGCCAACGTCATACCAATATACGACGTCGCAAAATTATTTTGCGGTTGTATAAAAAGTATACATTATAAACCCAACTTTTGGAAAGTACATCATCAAATGGACTTTTTTAAACAGAGGACAGATTCTACATAAGCGAACACTTTTAAATAAAGGCAAAGATTATACATTACAAATCAAGACTTTTTAACAAGAATGTGTCCATAGTACACAGATGTTCAGTGGCCCATGAAATTGGGATCAACACTCTAATTAAGCATTAAAATTAGAAAGATCATATCATAGGGAACATGTGTACTACGTTTCAAGTTGATTGGACTTCAACTTCATCAAAAACTACCTTGAACAAAAACTTTAACCTGAAGCGGGACAGATGGACAAATGAACGGACAGACGAACAAACGGATAAACAAACAGACGCACAGACCGAACTCTTGAACAATCAAAAGAATTCCAATACTGTGGATTCATTATTATTCCTTGGGTACTAATTTTTCATTGGTATAGGTGAACCATGAATACAAATGTTCAACAGAATACTACCTACCTATAGGCTTGTATGTATAATTTTGTATATCCATAAAATCAAGAGTCCACTTACATACAATTTTTTTCTGAATCCACAAAAATTAGTACCCATAAAATTAATGAAACCACAGTACATAAAATTTGAATTAATCCGCTACTAAATAGTATATACTTAATTAACTGTACTAGGTACTGGGATTGTATATTTATGTACTTTTACGATCCAACCTTATCTGCTGATCTTTTTGTCGTTTCAATGAAAATATGTTCATCCATCTCATATGTTTTCTTTTTTCAACTATTCAGTATTTTGTAAAGAGGTCAGTCTTAACTGCTCTTATGTATTAGATTGATGGATTACTGGTTAACATGCAGTGGCATCCAGATACATCAAAACACCCATCATTACAGATAGCACTCGTTTTGTTAAAAAGCATTGGCCTAAAAAAATCCACGGTATGAGTCTTAAAACTGATGACAGTTACATTTCCTGTTTCATTTTTTTTTTATATTACCTTGTTTGCATCAACTGCTGTAGAAGAAATGACCTTACAACGGGTGTGGGGTCAATGGAATCATCAAATATTGTCAACTCTTTAGACACGACTCTCTCTACTCTCTTCTTCCCAACATGTCCAATGATGTAGGAGAGAAGTTTCTCGATGACTTCCTGTGATGGAGGTGTTCCCTCAGCAAAACAAAGCTGTGATACAACCTCCATAAAGAAACTGTTACATCGTCTTCTGTAGTCCTGGTACTTTCTTATTTCACCACTGCAATACAGTTATTTCAATATCTAAACTAAAAATTAATTTCAAATTTGATTATGGACTAAACCATAAAACTCTTTGTTGGGAAACATAAATTGGAACTGTAAGTGAATTTACGAAAGGATACTTTTGCCCCACAAATTCAATTATTTCCCCTTTCACTTGTTGGATCAGGGCTATATTCCTGAATACATATCCTCATATAATTTTCTACAACTGTTGCATCAATAGGAGGTATCCTGATGATCGAATAGGGACGAAGTACTGGCCACTACACAATAAACAAAAAACGTTTACTTTTTTTCGTTTAAATTTTTTGGTTTTATCTTTAAATTTGATTTTTGAGGAGATTAATTTTCCTAGTTTCAAGTATGTGAAAGTGGGTTTTTAAATTTTGTGGATAATATCTATTCTAGAAATAAACTATGTTAAAACCCCAACAAAAAGTATCTGCTTGTTTACTAATCTAATGACATCAATTACCTCTTTTGAGATTTTTTTGGATCCAGATCTTTTGGGAATTCTTTCTGACAATTAGGACATTCAAACTCCTTCAGAATGATGCAATCCTGCAAGCATTTTCTGCAAATCACATGCTCACATGGCAGTCTGACAGGGGCTCCTTGTATGGGGTTCTCACATCCAACACATCTTACTTGTTGACTTTAAAAAGTATAAATCTCCAATATTAATTGAACAAGTGTTAACAGATTATTTTGCAAGCAGTATTAAAATTCAATTCTAATTAGATCAAGTTCTGTCTTAAAAATGACTGACAGGTAAATCTAGAGTTGCTTGATTCTGAACAACATTGATTTCTCTAAGAAACTTATATTTATATAGTGGAATATGATTAACATTGGCCTGATCAGTTGCAAGAAAATAGGAAACCATAATTGTGAGGTTGGTTCTTTTTTGTAAATTTATTTTAAAAGCTATGAAATCAATTGTTACCCTTTATTTTCTCTCAAAAACTCAACCATTACGGAACATTATGAAGTTCAGATTCATTTTAAAGTATTATAGCTATTAAAATAAAATGCTCCGCGGGGCGCAGCTTGATACGACCGCAGAGGTCGAACCCTGAACAGTTGGGGCAAGTATGGACACAACATTCAAGCTTGATACAGCTCTGAATTTGGATTGTGATTAAATATTTGACACAGCATAGGTTTCTGACACAGAATGAATGTGGCCTAAGAACTTAAAAATTTTAAATTGGACATTCACCTATTATGGTCCAATATCCAAAATCTAAATACATGGTTAGATTCAGCATATCAAAGAACCCCAAGAATTCAATTTTTGATGAAATCAAACAAAGTTTTATTTTGGACCCCGATTTGGACCAACTTGAAAAGTGGGCCCATAATCAAAAATCTAAATACATGTTTAGATTCAGCATATCAAAGAACCCTAAAAATTCAATTTTTGTTAAAATCAAACTAAGTTTAATTTTGGACCCTTTGGACCTTAATGTAGACCAATTTGAAAACGGAACCAAAAATTAAGAATCTAAATACACGGTTAGATTCGGCATATCAAAGAACCCCAATAATTCAATTTTTGATGAAATCAAACAAAGTTAAATTTTGGACCCTTTTGACCTCAATGTGGACAAAGTTGATAACGGGGCCCAAAAATCAAAAATCTAAATACATGGTTAGATTCAGCATATCAAAGAACCCCATATATTCAATTTTTGTTGAAATCAAACAAAGTTTAATTTTGGACCCCGATTTGGACCAACTTGAAAACTGGGCCCATAATCAAAAATCTAAATACATGTTTAGATTCAGCATATCAAAGAACCCTAAAAATTCAATTTTTGTTAAAATCAAACTAAGTTTAATTTTGGACCCTTTGGACCTTAATGTAGACCAATTTGAAAACGGAACCAAAAATTAAGAATCTAAATACACGGTTAGATTCAGCATATCAAAGAACCCCAATAATTCAATTTTTGATGAAATTAAACAAAGTTAAATTTTGGACCCTTTGGACCTCAATGTGGACCAATTTAAAAACGGGGCCCAAAATCCAAAAACTTAATACACGGTTAGATTCAGCATATTAAAGAACCCCAAGAATTCAAGAATAAAACCCCATTGAAATTGATCAAGAAATAAGCAATTTATACGAAGTATCTTCTTTTGCACAATACTGTGCAATTGAATATTTCTTGCTATTGCGCAATACTGTACAATTGACAATTTCTTGCTATTGCGCAATATTGTGCTATTGGATATTTCTTGCTATTGCGCAATACTGTGCAATTGAAGATTTCTTGCTATTGCGCAATACTGTGCAATTGAAGATTTCTTGCTATTGTGCAATACTGTGCAATTGAAAATTTCTTGCTATTGCACAATACTTATTAGATAATAATTTACACATCCTGTTTGGTGTGTATCTCCTACCATATCATTATTATTTGCTTTTAAATATTAAGCAGAAATAACCAACTTAAAATGGAAAATTTTAAAAGAAAAAAAAAAGGAAAAAAAGAAAAAAAAAGAAAAAAAAAAATCCCCCCCCAAATTTTTTGAACCCCCTTATGATTCATCACCCCCAAACTCAATCCCAGCCTTCCCTTTGTGGTATGGTACCTTGCAGTACAATTTCAGAGAGATCCATACACTTGAACACAAGTTATTGTCTGGAAACTAGAAAAATGCTTATTTTTGGCCCCTTTTTGGCCCCCAATTCCTAAACGTTTCGGGCAATTACCCCCAAACTCAATTCCAGCTTTCCCTTTGTGATATGGAACCTTGTAGTACAATTTCAGAAATATCCAAACACTTACACACAAGTTATTGTCATGAAACTAGAAAAATGCTTGTTTTTTGCCCCTTTTTTGGCCCCTAATTCCTAAAATTTTGAGGCAATTACTCCCAAAATCAATAACAGCCTTTCCTTTGTGATATGGAACCTTGTGGTACAATGTCAGAGAGATCCATATACTTACACACAAGTTATTGTCTGGAAGTTACAAAAATGCTTATTTTTGGCCCCTAATTCCTTAACTGTGGGTACCATAACCCCCAAAATCAATCCCAACCTTCCTTTCGTGGTATTGAACCTTATGGTAAAAATTCATGGAGATCCATTCACTTAAACTAAAGTTAGAGTGCGAAAACCAATGTGTCTTCGGACGACGCCGGACGACGCCAGACGACGACGCCGACGATGACGCCAACGTCATACCAATATACGACCAAAAATTTTTTAATTTTTGCGGTTGTATAAAAACTATCTTCTAAAACTAACATATGCAAACTTTTATTAACTGTACATCATGAAAAAAAAGATTTTAACAGACTTCATAAAATAAACATTCTTGAATATGTTTATTTAATCATACAAAATTTCTTACCCAAAACACTGTGTAACAACATCTTTGTTACAAGTTTTGATAAACTTTTCAACTTTTTCCAGTGACTGAACTTCTTTCATATTTGCCCCTTCTCTCAATGTCTGGAAAGCAATAAATACAGTATGGAATTAGTAAGGGAATATCATACATGAACTTCAGTTATTTTCAGTTATTTTCCACAGGAAACTTTGTTTATACCCATCTTTATAATACTTTGTCACCTTGCAATAAAAATATAGTATTTCACGGTATAGCTTTTTACATTTATGAATAATTGAATTACCCTTTTTAGTATACCATCTTTTGTTATTTTGAATATCTGAAGGAGGCCTTTTACTTTAATAACCCAAAGTTTTAATACTTGCAACATGTTTAACAAAACCATAATTCTAAGAACACATAAACCAGAATTTCCATTTTTTTTTCTTTTTTGGCAAACAACAAAAATCTGCAGTAAATTTACTGTAAAATGGCTGAAATCAAGATTGCTTCAATAAAACTCATCTAAACCCAACTGAAGACACTGTATTTGTGAAGCTTAGTAATACTTACCACCCACAATGGCATACATCTTCTGATCTCTACCTCTTCTTTACCAGCAGTACAAACATGTTCTATAAATAGTTTCACGACAACAGCTCTAGTCCACTGGTATCTACAGAAGTAAAATTTGTAAAAAATATCACAGGCATATATATAAGTACTGGTAACTAATTTTCCAACTTCATTCCCCATATCAGCTTAATTAGTCCAAAAAGTCTTTTAAGCAAAAATTTCTATGACAGCAAAAGTTGTAAAACAATAAAAGCTATTTCTTAATGTGCACATATTTAATGAATTAGTACTTTATATAAAAGCTCACTATTTAAAAATTTACCTTGCTTTTTCTATTCCTTTTTGACATCTCTCACCATACTGAAATTCCTTGTTTTCTACATCATGACTAAAATGTCCAAAAATTCTTTCAACAACTGGTCTATAATCACAGACTTGTCGTAACCATTTGGTTCTAGGTTCTGGTTTGTTCAGTGCTTCTTTATTAGGCTCCAGGTTATGAACTAACAGATGTAATGCTAGAATATCAAGTGTCTGGAAGGAAAAATTACTCTATTAATTGAAAGTTGTATAAAGTTTTTTTCAATTCTATACACATACTGCAGATTTATTATTATTATTGGGATATTACCATTATTAGGAAACCAATTTTCATTGTTTTTGTAGGTAAAGGTGAACCACAAATTTAGAGCTATTATTGTAATGCATGTAGTTTAAAGGTTTGGTTCAGCTTGTATATATTATAGTTAAATGTTATTGGATGTTAAGCATAATGCAGAGTATAATGTATACAAGCTGAAGCCCTGCCTGTCTATTGATTGCAGATGTCAATCTTAATTACAATGCTTGAGCAAATATTTATAAAAACAAAGCAAGCAAGCCAACCAAACCTTTAAACTACATGCTTTAGGAAAAGAGCTCTAACTTTTCCACAAAGTACAAATTTTATAGGAAAATCCCACAAAAGGACAAAAATTAATTAATCTATAGTTTTCAGTTTGACCTAGCTGGGGATTGAAAACACAATCTCTGGCACTTAGTTCACTCCTATAACAACGAGTCCACCAAGGCAGTTAAATAACTTCTGTGACAAAATGAATGCTTGTGTCGTTGTTAAGCATACCCCCAATAGTAAGTCAAACCATTGGAAAATAGGAAGTACATGTCTAACATATCCAAAATGCTGTCCCCTAAACAATAATGTAAACTAGTTCAGCAAAATGGATGCCACACTTAACCCCCGAAACATACAAATGAACTAAAATTTAAACAAGTGAATCTGTAAGCTACTGCTCACTAATGATACCCCCGCCCGCTAAAAGTATAAGGTAAACAGGAAGTTGTTGAGTGATGAATCTGAAAACGCATCACAGGGTATAGCTGACTTATATAAACCCTGAAACCAAATTTCATAAATCCTTGTAATGTAGTTCCTCAGATAGATGAGACGAAATATATTCATGGGACGCACGGATGGATGGACGGATGGACGGACGGACAGACAGAGGTAAAACAGTATACCCCCACTTTTTTAAAGCGGGGGTATAAAAACACACAATACTGACAAAGACTAGAGGTTCCTGACTTGGGACAGGCGCAAAAATATGTAGTAGTATAATATGCTACAGTCTCATAACAAGTTGAGTTATTATTAAATGATATTATTCTTAAAATAAAACATATATATGAGTTAAACATCAAAAAAATAAAAAGGAGTCTATAGCTGGTAATCAACAAAGCTTACCTTTTCCTCGTCTGTAACAAGATAAAAGTTGGATGACTCCTGCTGGAAATCTAGAATTCTCTGACTGCATCCTGGCCATATGTGTACTATGTTTGCAAAATTCTTAAATCTCATATCATTAAGAATGTAGGTCATGTGACATCCTAACAAAGAAGGTAATAATCTTCCATATTCTCCTCTTACAAGATGTCTGCAGCCTGTTATCACACTTTCACATAAAAGCTGAAAAATAAATTGAAATGAAGCAAATAAATTATTAATGAATGCGTCATAAATTTCAGAAGAATGTGGAGCATGAATCAAATTACATAATTTTGAGATATATTTTTTGTAAGACATGGGACTAAACATTATGCCTATGATTCATCTCAAAAGTAGAATGATAAATGGAACTTATAAGACCCCCATCATACAATGTCTCCCGCTACTAACTGAACTATGCCTGCCAAACAGGACTGGACAACACTGAAGTGTATGACACTTACTGTAATATTACATTCAATTATGCACGTCTTTTTATTAATGAAGGCTTTAGTTAAATTCATAGAGTTTAATGTATAAACACATAATTTTAATATATAGATATAAGAAGATGTGGTATGGGTGCCAATGAGACAACTCTCCATCCAAATCACAATTTGTAAAAGTAAACCATTATAGGTCAAATACATTTAATGAAATTAGTTCAGAAAAAGGCAGTGAATTTGGATTTAGACTATTTTAAAAATTATAGCACTTTCACAGTAAATATTTCAACTTTTAAATATCAGATAATATGTCAAATTTAATTTTCTTTCATAGAAATTCTCTGGTCACTGATTCTATTAGCTTAACTTTGCCAAAATAATTTTATGTTAAAAAGCAAGGCCTTGCGGTCATAATACTGGAGTTATGTGTTTCAAGAACATATTTTGTACTCGGAGTACTGAGTAAAGTTTTATGACCAATAGCCCTGAAGTCACATATTTCATGGCTATATAACATTGACCACTAGCCCTGAAGTCACATATTTCATGGCTATACAACATTGACCACTAGCCCTGAAGTCACATATTTCATGGCTATATAACATTGACCACTAGCCCTGAAGTCACATATTTCATGGCTATACAACATTGACCACTAGCCCTGAAGTCACATATTTCATGGCTATATAACATTGACCACTAGCCCTGAAGTCACATATTTCATGGCTACAGTAAAACCTGTATAAACCGGCCGGCTACAGGACTATGAAAAAGGGCCGGTTTGGACAGTGGGCCGGTTTATTCAGGTTTCCGTTTTGACCGGAAGTTAATGACTTTTGACGTCCGATATATTGCATATAAAAGTTCTGTCTGATTGTAAGCTATAAACTCATTAATACAAAACGCAATAACGTAATTACTTCGCATGATCGTTGTTTTGAATCTTCTTATTCATTGGCTATATAAATTTAAGAAACTGGTTGTTCCTCGAATTCAAAAAAATAATATTTTAACCGTTTTTTTACTACTTTTCCTAGTAAGGCAAATAGACCTCGGTAGCATCAGTATTCGACATGTCACTTTCACTTTCATTTTGTGTTCATTGTTTTCATTTGCATCATAATCCTCACGTTGTTTGAATTGTGAAACTTTTTCCTTTTACTTCCATCATTCATTTCCGACGATGGTATAGCCGATTAAAAAGCCAGAATTTTATTAAACAAAATTTCATCACGATGAAAACATTGTCGCACAATGTACAATACTGATTGATTGTTGTCATCCAGGTCTTCTTCATTATCAGGGTCATTGGTTTAGGGGTTCACAACAGGGAACCCAGGATGTAAATTTTCTTACTCCATGATTTGAAAAAAAAAATGATCTAAGTTACAACGTAAGTTCTATCCGAGATATATTCGGTGTGTCATTTAGTTTAATTTACACTTTTATAGTGTTTTATTAATACAACTCACTACTATACCATTGGAAGTTCACGGGTTAACACCTGGCTAATTGATTATCCTGAAAAGCCATCTTGTATAAACAAATATGTTTTGATTGCATATCGATCAATACTGTTATCATTTTAAAATAATTAGACAAACCGGTTTTAACAGGTAATAATTGATGTAATTAAGAGTATTGGGACTGCATCATTAGACCGAAATTCGGAATACACAGGGTCCCGTTTACAAAGGGTATTCTAACAAAGACTTTGAAGGGGAAAGAATGAGACTTTAATTTTCCGCCAGAATGGACAGGAAGCCTGTTTATTCAGGGTCCGGTTTACTCAGGTTTGACTGTATATAACATTGACCACTAGCCCTCAAGTCACATATTTCATGGCTATATAACATTGACCAATAGCCCTCAAGTCACATATTTCATGGCTATATAACATTGACCACTAGCCCTCAAGTCACATATTTCATGGCTATATAACATTGACCACTAGCCCTCAAGTCACATATTTCATGGCTATGTAACATTGACCAATAGCCCTCAAGTCACATATTTCATGGCTATATAACATTGACCACTAGCCCTCAAGTCACATATTTCATGGCTATATAACATTGACCAATAGCCCTCAAGTCACATATTTCATGGCTATATAACATTGACCAATAGCCCTCAAGTCACATATTTCATGGCTATATAACATAACCAAGTCAAGGAAAAACACTGTTAGGCCATAAAAATTGAAGTAAAACTTTTCCCTCAACTAAAGGTGTGTCGTAATTAAATATTTACCTGACATTCAGACTTAGTTTGAACAGGATGAATCATGTAGACAAAGTCTCTGATGTAACATTGCAGTACTTCCAGGATGTAGGTACCTTCTACACCTGACAAAAGTTTTCCTAATGGTAAGGACTGGAAGATTTCTGATGCTTTCATTACCACTTCAAAATGGCTGTCTGTACAATAAAAATAAATATTCCACATAAGTGTTATTTTAGATGGGTTTTCTATATGAATTGGATTTTGAATAAAACAGCATATTCATCTGACGTAAATGTATATTCACATCACAAAACATCACAGGAAATCTTAAGAAAAGGCTAACAATGATACTCACCTAGCTTAAAATTAAATGTAAAATAATGATAAAACGTTTGAGGTCCAATAGGTTTTGCTATACAGTTGTCATTAAATACTTTTTGTCGGAATATGGAATGTTACAATAACTGACTTTTATTTCAGTTAATATGAGGTTTAACCAGTTTTTATAGCAAAATTTACCTGTGCTTTCTTTTGTGTCAATTGATTTTCTCAAGATGTCTTCAATTTGTCCAAAAATCAGCCAAGAAAATGGCATTACAGCTGGAAATGGTTTCCCATCTTTTGATGTAGTTTTAACTGCTACTTCTTGAAGTTCATGTTGTCTAGTAGGGGAGACAATCCATGAATATTTCAATTGTGTTAAATCTGGATTGTTAAAAATGTCAACCCACATGTTGATGTGCCAGCTATCTGTTGAATTGTTGGTAAGAATATCCATGTTTCTGTTTGTATCAATGAATGCAATTATTCCAGCCAATATTGGAATTACTTTGGATTCCAAGCACTGAACAGCAAATTTCCTGAAAAACATATTTTGCATGATTAGTACAAGATACATGTTTTAATAATAAAAATATCCATTTTAAAGGAGGAGATTGAAATCAAAGTTGTAGTGTGAAAATCTCCCAAGATCTCTCACCACACAACATATTACCATACAGTGTATGCTAATCGTCTACAAAATTCCAATCCTGCTTACTATTAAAATCCTTGGTTTAACTTAAAGTCATTTTGTATCTTCAATGCATTGGTGTAATTGTATGGTTTTTATAGAAAATCAAATTTGGTAAATAACTTCATAATACTGAGCAAATTGTCTTTTCAGAGTTAATAATTAAAAAAAAAAACATATGTAGATTTTTAAATAGAATCAACCACTTGCAAGAAAATTGGTTAAAACATGAATGGTATTTTCTATAAATCATCATCTTTCAAAGAGTATAGAGTTATCTTACTTAGGATAACCAGCCAGACAATTTTGCACAACAAAAAACAAACCTGAATGTACCAGCCCTGTTGACATTCTCAGGTTTAGCTGCTTCTGTTGATAACCAGTTTGTAATTACAGCACCGATGCTTTCCTCTTTCTCTCTTAGTATACTACTTATATGTTTGGCTATTCCAGACATTACAGTTATTTCACCTACAAAAAAAAGTTCAACATTGGTTGAATAGTTAATTTAAGAATCAATTCTTTCATGCCATGCTTTATGCTCATTTTAACATGGGTAGGCATTATATTTGTCAATATCTTTATACCGAGCGTTAGCGAGGTGTAAAATATTGACAAATATAATTCCCACCCATGTTAAAATTAGCATAAAGCATGGCATGATAGAATTATTTTGATTCTGATCGGAATATTTATAACTTTTATACTTTGAAGCGGACCTATAATACACATTCGAAAGGCAGCCATTTTGATTTGATGAACCAAAAATGTTATAGAAAATCAACAGTTGAACGATTAAAAAAATAACATATATACGTAAACTTACTTTTAGAATCATTTTATTTAATTTCCTAGCGAGCAACACCAACAAAACTGTCCAATTCGACCTCAGGTGTTGATCAAAATACAACTGACGTTGCAATTTCAATTGTGACGTCATTCACGTGCAGCCCATGTTTTATTGTAATTAGAACATGGCTTTGTTTCCAAAGCGAAAGAAGGACGTCATATTAGAATTGGTAATACAATGTAGATCACTGTGACTTACTGCTATAAAACATAGTCATTCAATTGATGAAATTTACTTCAATCAAAGTCTGTGTTAAAATATTGTACTTCTGCAAGAGCTTACAGAACTTGTAAAATGAAACAAATTGTCAAATTTCAACTAAAAAATAGATATTATTCCATTTGTTATACTTAAAAGGAAATTACATATAAGGATTATTTTTTCTTCAAAAAGTTGAATGACGCCTTTTGAGGCATTTTCAAACAAAAATTGCATACATATCCAATTCTTTCTATCTGTACACAATGTTTTTTAAACATCATGGTCTAATAATATTAATAGATCTTGGTGAAGACTAAAAATAGCTAACCTGCTTCATGTTTTAAGCAGCTGTGTATAATCTTCAATCTATCTATAGCTCTGGAGGAGTCAGACATGGGGTCTTTAACATTACCCAAGGCTGGCTGTAAACATTTCATGATCAAATTATCAATTTTGAAATGTCTTTTGAATTTCTGTCCTTTTTCATTTGCCTTTACTTCTAACTGAATGTCCATCAAATCAACTTCCTCTTCATTTGTTTCCATTCTTTCCATCAATTGTTCATTCATTCCCTCTTCTACTTCCATATCGTCTTCCTGTCTAGCTTTTGTAGAGGCCAACAAAGCACTGACTGACGTCCCATGCATGTCAGCTACGGATGGTATATCCTCTGGAGCAGGATGAATATCATCTATGTGCAGAGAATGCCACAGTCCACACTGTAAAAAAAATCAAATATTTGTTTAACATTTTATAAATATACTTGCAAGTGATAAAATTGAGAATGGAACATACAATACAAGAACAACAGGTTGTTTTAAAAAAATAATAATAAACATTCTACCTTGATGAACAAAGTGTTTTTGAAAATACAATCTTTAACTATAACTGTTTGAATATTTTGCCTTTATTTACCATGATAATACCTGACTTTTGACAGTTTAAAATATCCTATCTTTTTACTTTTGTCCCATCATTGAAACAGTCTGCTCAGTTGGTCAAACTGTCCCTGTGTTAGTTGATGTCTCTTTTATAGTTTTGTTTTCAAAGTAAATTATTATAAAATTATAAAGTTTGGCAAATCAATAAAATAAGTGACAAATTTAGACCTTATTTGACCCCTTAATGTTCGGTGACGTTGTGATGTCTGGTTGCTGTCTCAAAGACATTTACTCATCGTGTATTCATACTCATACTAAAAATCTAACCTGGAATCCAGTAAAACATCCTCCAGCTATACCAGGAAGCTGAATTAGGAATACCACATGGATAGCATATATTCGTTCCTCCCTAACCTGTTGTAATTCTCCCTGTACCGTGTACCTAGCACAGGCTATCAGGTCGGCATTCTGGTCCCCACAGTCACACTGTACTATTAATAAGCTATCAGATGTTGTTGTGTGGTCAAAAAAAGATCTGAAAGTATGAAGCAATTGGTCTGAAATCTTACTGATGGTGTAATTCAACAAATGCTTTCAAATACCCGATACTGTGGATTCATTATTTTTCATGGATACCAATTTTCGTTTATTTCGTGGAAATAAGTGAACCAAGAATTTTAATGTGCAATGGAGAACAAATTTAACATAGGCTTGTATGTAGACCTGGACAAAACCACAAAATCTAATATCAACCAAAATAAAAATTTTCCTCTATCTATGAAAATAAATGAATCCACAGTATTTCATAGAAAAACAAGTCCAGTATTGTAGATAATAGTGTAGGTACTTATTTGTTTACTGACGTCTTTAAATTGTCTGTATTTATGCTTAGACAAGTAAAATATACAGGTAAAACTAACAAGAATACATGCATTGTTATGCTAGGCATATTTATAATTCAAAGTATCAGAAAACCATTCTAATGTCACAATGGCATAACTTTATGATGTTTTTCTGAAAAAGGGTAAAAGTTGGCTAGGAAAGATCATTTTCTTGTTTCATCTCATAGAGAGATAACTGGGGAATGTTACAAGTATAAATACTGTTGGATAGCGGCCAAATTGAAATCTGAGGAAGGTCCAAAGTGAAGGGAGGGGTAGTACAGAATTTTTGTAGTTTAAACTCTTAAAAGTTTGAAGCATATAAACATTGAAAATATGCCGCACAGCCCTATGTTTTATCCTTTGAAAAAATAGTAGTGCACATGAACTTTCCATTCTAGGATATAATTTTTTAGGAAACTTCATAGTAAAAGTGACACAGTTTTAGCCGTAAAAGGAGTTCCTATGGGAAATTGCATTGTCTATATTTACAAAAGTGCAACCTATAATTCATCCCATGTTTGAGCCATATATATATTTTTTTCAACAACAGAGCAGGTCAATATACAGAGTGCTAATGAGGAACATGCATTGAATGCATCTAAATCAAGCCTTATGATCACTTATTCTTTCTTGAAAAATTCAATTAGAGTCAGGTGGTACCTGATGATCTCCCTACGGTAATTGGTTAATAACAAGGAGATTTTGAACATTTGTTTTACCTATAGTTATACTTTTCGCTACCAGACTAACAAAATTTCGGAAATTGTATACTCTTTATGATGTTTTACAAAAATCTTGAAAAGAAAGGAAACCAGAAACAGTAATATTGCCACAATGTTGTTGAAGGGTTATCAGGGACATATAGGGAGCATATAAATGTTGCTAATCTCAAAAGCAATTCATACTTGATTTTTCTGCTGAACTGTTGTTCGGTATCAAAAGATTGAAGTGTCAGTAATGTTATATTCTGTTTCTGTATGGGTATAAACCTGCACAGGATCTCTATGTCTGCTGTAGCTAAAAGTTTGGAATTTGTGGTAATCTGAAAATAAATAATTGTAAAGCCTTAAAATCAATCATAAACTTCTACAGCTAATGTAAAAATACTGTAATGCAGCTTCCAATGAAGAAACTTAATTTTAACATTATTATAATTGATCTTACTTATCTGAGAAATGATTGAGTGTTGGTGTTTAATGCCACTTTCACCACTATTGGCTTTATCGTGGCAATCATTTTTTATTGGTGGCGGAAGATTGAGTACCTGGAGAGAACCACTGACCTTTATTTGGAAAACTGACAATCCTAGTCAATTAAGATGGAAGTCAAACACACCTACCACATGTGAGGTTTAAAACACACAACCTCAGTGTTGACAGGCTAGTGATACAGCAGATGAACTACTAAGACCACTTGCCACAAAGGCCCCAATTGACAAATGTATCAAAGATCTTATATGTAAGACTTGTGTTTTTAAAGAATTACAACATTTGATTACAAAACTGTCAGATAATTGAACTCTGTATAAACTGATCTGACAGTATATGTTGCAAAATGGATGGTTAGATATCAGGGATGGGGTAATCGTAATCTGTAATTGTAATCGATTGTAATTGATTACATGTTTCCCAGTAATCGACAGTAATCTGTAATCGCAGACATTTTCGATTACATGTAATCGTAATTTAATCGATTACAGCAAAAATTAGGATGTAATCATCGATTACTTTCGATTACATTTCAATTACTTTTAGTGAAATAGTTTGATGAAATTAAACCTATTTTAAATGAAAATATATATGCATTCATCACTTTATAGTACAGATAAAATAGAAAGTATTTAGACTTCAGAGCTTATCAAATGCCTTATTTGTATCTATTGTCTCAAGCTGCATTATGATCAAACAGAACTCTTACCAATTTTACTGTATATCCAGCTTTTTAAACAATTGACTTAACTGTCTTCAATGCTTGTCAATTATTTAAAGACCTTTTATTTTGAAATAAGTAAATAGATAAAAATAAGAAATGAGTCTTATGTTAAGTTCTGTACTACTTTGACATTGAAGTGTAATTTTCAATAAGATTTGGAATTTTAGCTAAACTAGATACACAGTGGATTCGTTATAATATTATGATATAAAAATCAGAAAGTACACAACGTACCAATTGATTTGCATTGAAATTCCTGTTCAGAAATAGATACATGAATCCCATATTGACACTAAAATAAATCTTGTTAAATATCATGATTTTGAATAGAGTATAGAAAAATCCCAACAAATTCCTGTGTTTACTAATCAGATGATCAAGGACTTCTAATTAATAAGATGTTTTGATTTCAATTATGTCTAATTAAGAGGAGATTGACATTATATTTCCCCAGGTTATGAAATGTACTCCATTGGCAGTTTTATAACCTGTAATTAGGGAGATTATCCAAACAAAATAATTAATTCATGCATGTATTAGTTATAAATATAATAAATTTACATCTTTGAAATTAGCTGAACTAGTTAATTATTCTTCTTTTTACATTTTAATTGTAATATATACTATATCAAATATAGTTAAAAATTAATAAATACAAAATACCTAACTTAAGTCATTATGACAGCAAAACTTGAAAAATATAGAGACATGTGGAAAATAAACTAGACTATAAAGAAGTGACTGAAGCCATGTGGTGTCATTGCAAGAACTTTATTACATCTCATCTACATGATCTAGAAACAAACTGTCAACTTAAACTTTGAAAACAATGCTTTCAATGAAGTTTTGATCAAGTTATAAATTTCCCCTATACATAACAAAATGTTTGTGTTTAACTTACTTTATTTTTTTTTTGTAATTTTATAGCATGTAATTGACAGTAATCGAAAAGTAATCCAATTACTTTTGATAAAGTAATCGATTGCAATCGATTACATACAAAAATCAGAGTAATCGATTATTAATCGAATACACAAAAATCCCTCAAGTAATCGATTATTAATCGATTACATTTGTCAGTAATCGTGCCCATCCCTGTTAGATATATATAAGAAATAAATTCCTCACTTCTGTCTAATTAAAGATAGCTTACAAAGCCCATTTACCTACAATTTCTGAATATCTTTGAATCCATGAGACCATTGAAAGGTGAAGGTAAAAAGAACTTTACCTGAACATGAATATTATGCTTCTGTTGTTGTACAATCTTGTATTGGAGGTAATCAGCCAAACTTTCATGGTGTTGTTCTAAAAAGTATGTCTTAAAAATCTCTCCATGTTTGTCACCTAGTTGAAAAACTGCTGCAGGGGTTGCACACCACAACAAGATAGACTGAGCTTCTCTAAGTATCTATAATTAAGAGTGAAGTTTGTAATGCAATATTATGAAAGAGAAGTATTTTCATATAAAACTTGGGTAAATTTTACATAGTTCTCTTGAAATTACTTATTCAGTATTTTTTCTTTTGTTTATTTTTCAGCCTTTCTTTATATTTTAGTTTGACACCTTATTCCTGTTTAGGAAAACAGCTGAATATGACAAATGAAAATCAGGTCAAGTCTAATTTGATATGACCCACATAGATGATCTTCTTCTACAAATGTACATATCTGCCAGTGCTCTTTTTTATTTATGGTAGTTGTTTTTTGTTTCTAAGCAATTCTGCTGAAGCAACCTGTTTCAAACTGAAATTTACTGTTTGTTCTGATATTGTGCTGAGCACTCACAAACATGTTTAATCCATTCATATTCATTTTGTGTCTGTCTTAAGTCAGCATCCTATAATTGAGTGGTTGTCGTTAGTTGCTGTCTGTCATATTTGTTTTTCTTTCTTCTTTGTCATAAATCTTAGTTTATTTGTATGATCTGTTTCACATTTTATCATATCAAGGACTTTTATAACTGACTGTACTTTTGCTAATTGTTGGAGGCCATACAACAAGTCATTTGGACTCCTTTCAATAGTTGTCTCATTGGTAATCATGCCATATCTCTTTATCATTATATATGGAACTATTTTGTATAAATAGATTATTAATACACAATACGTTTTTGTGCAATGCCTGTACATATAATTTTAATTGGGAATTCCTGTCTATTATTTGGTCCAATCAGGGTGGGGGTTTCCCAGTTACTGCTGCATGTGAAATCTCGTTTACTAATTGCTTTTTCGAGATCATACTAATTAACCAATCAAAATTAACATTGCATTTGAATTAACCAATCAGCGCTTAATTAACAGGGCTTTTGTTTTAGGCACAAGCACATAATTATTCTGAAAGCAACGCTTGCTTTGAGCAGACATTCAAATATTTCTGGGAAATAATTTATTTTTTGTCAGCAGTTTATCAAGATATATTTATATAATCATGAATGGATTTAGGTTTTCAATGTAGAATTGGACCATATTATATATGAACGTTTAGGAAAACGTATACGAAGTGTTTTTGCATTAACTTTTCCAATTGGTCTTTTAATGTCAAAAATTGATGTTAAAATGTGCAAATTTAAATACAATCCGGAAGCAGTATCAGTTTTGTGTTTTAAAGTTTGATTCTGGAATCTGCAGCAGCGTGCAATGGCGGGTTAATATTCCAAAGTTATGCGTTTTGCGCTTCTGACAAGTCCGCGAGACAGGATTAATTCGTATTCTGAGAGAATTTAACGGCACGACGATAATTGCTACAAACTGTTGTTTTTCAATAAACTGTCTTTGCATCATGTCTGATGACGAAGATATCACATTTAGGACAGGACCCGATAACCAGTCCGACAAAGTAAAGGCATGGGCCGGAGTGATGAAGCTGAACGCAGCTACCGCAAATGAAATTTTTGGAACTTGGATTTGACAGCATGGAGGCCGTCGCGTTGATAGAGAAGGAAGATTTGAGTGAATCGTGCATCCCCATTGGACAACTAAAATTATTACTGCGAGCAGTGGAAAAAACGTTCAAGAAAGACTTTTCGAACAGCGAGAGAATGGCGGAAAATTCTGGACTTCCGGCAATATCAAATTCTGGTGCATGCGCATACCAAGATGGCGACAACGGAAGTAATGTGAACAAAGATGGCGGCGCCCATTATCAACTTAAAGATGGCGGAATACAGACAAACACAGACGAAGCATACGTTAATGCTGTATTGCATCAGCTTTCCGGACAGCAGACACAATATAGACATTCCTCCGTTTCATTGGATGGACGTCCAAACCAGAACTTTGCGGGAAACTCAAATGTGAATGGAAGTGACAATTCAGTAAACAATTTAAGTAACCCTGGGCCAGGCATTAACTCTATCCTGTCTTGGCAGGATCCGCAAATTTATTTAAAACATTCAAACATAGACAGTAATGTCAATTATCTAGATATTATAGATTTTGTCTCAAATGATATAGGGGGGACCAGTTTGCCTGAGGAGCGCCTTATTTCAAATGCATCAGGGGGGCAACTAGTGTTTAAGTCTGGGCCACTAAAGCCAAAGCTTGAATCTCTGTCTCTGTGTCAATGGTCTAGGGCAAACTTGTCAATAATGTATAAGCTGCTCAGCACTGGACAACTGACACAGACACAGGTCCTCGATTATTTGTCATATACCATGAGATTTTATCACTTAGTTTCATCATGTGAATTTGTGTCAGTGCTGTTTTTTGATAGAGAATATCGTAGGCTTCAAAAGCAGCATACTTTTAGATGGGGCACTGACATTCCCCATTTACAGTCAGTTTACTTACGGCCTAAAGCTATATACAATAAACCTCAGGCATCTGGTCCAATGTTTAAGAATGCAAATAAACAACAGCAGGACTATTCCAGGTATATTTCACACTCTATAGAGGGAAATGAAATTTGCAAAAGTTTTAACAGTAGGAAAGGTTGCTCATTTCCAAACTGTCGCTATGAACATATTTGTTCAATTCAGGGTTGTGGTGCCCAACACCAAGCCTTTGCTCATCCAAAAAACGGATAAAGGTAAAGCCTGTGCGTGACTTAGTGTATAATGTTTGGCAAGAGGAACTAAAATATGATGTTGATAAAGATTTTCTTTTGCAAGGTATAAAAGATGGGTTCAACATTGTTCAAGATAATTTGGCTTCCTTGAACATATCGGCAAAAAATCACCCTTCAGCTAGCTTCCTGAAATATTTGTTACGGCAACATATATATATCTCACCTCATCTTCAATCTGTTGTATAGCTTCATCATTACATCTTTTCTCCTGACAGACATGTAGTATAATGGCAGCACAAGTATCAGCATGGTAACCCATAAAAGCATCTCCTATCTTTCTAATGTCCTTCCTTAAATTAAAATAGCAAGAGTCTTAATTTCATTAAATTTATATCATTCTCCTGGAGGAATTCAAACCAAGACTGAAACCAATTACTTTTGGTAATAAAGAAATTGTATTTAACGAACTAATCAAAATTAACAATATCAGAAATCTGATTAAAGCCGAATTCTATTCAGTTATTTTCGCATGAATGAAAAAAAAATTTTCGTGGTAACTTGATTTTTTGAATTTTGTTTGTTTGATGAATATTCAAATTCATGGTTCACATATACCAAGAAAATTCATGAAAGTAAGTTCCAACAAATAACATCGACTCCATAGTATAGCAGAGTATTAATAAAAACTTTGAACTTACTTTTCCCTCATATTTCTCATGTATGCAGGAACTTTAACCTCACAAAAATGTTGTGCCCATGCCTGCAGTTTGTCTGCTAATTCTAGCTGAGCTTGTGTCAGCATATTCTTCAGTGACAAGAAATGTTTTTCCAGTCGATTGATCAATGGTATGGGAAATTTATCATACACAATCTGTTTCTCTGCAACTACTATCAATCTGTAAATATAAATATAATAAGTTTAAAACATAGCTTCACTTTCAAATGATAAAAAGATTCTATGGATTTAAAGGGATTCCTTTTTCAAAGGAAACAAGTGAAACTGTGAGCTACTGCTCACTGATGATACCCCGCCCAAATACTTGACGGTAAACAGGAAGTTATTGAGTGATGAATCTGAAAACGCATCACACAGTATAGCTGACTTATATAAACCCTGAAACCAAATTTCAGAAATCCTTGTAGTGTAGGTCCTGAGAAAGATGCGGCGAAAAATATTCATGGGACGGACGGACAGATGGATGGATGGACAGACAGATGGATGGATGGACGGACAGACAGACAGAGGTAAAACAGTATACCCCCACTTTTTTAAAGCGGGGGTATAATAATAATTCCTAGAAGCATGATACTTTTAAAAGGAATCCTTAATATCAAACATTAGAAACCATTTCTTCAACAGCAAAGTTTTAGATAGCTATAAAACCAGGTATAATCCACCATTTTCTACATAAGAAAATGCATATACCAAGTCAGAAATATGACAGTTGTTTTCCATTTGTTTGAGCTTTTGATTTTGCCATTTGAAAAGGGACTTCCCATTTTGAATTTTCCTTGGAGTTCCGTATTTTTGTTATTTTACTTTTTATTACTTTGATCCCAGTCAGGAATGTTTAATGCCATGAAGAATTTGTTCAGGTAAACTCAAGCCTGAAAACAATTAACTTTGCTGAATTTCATAATGAGCATTAATATTTCCTTAACATAATATGAAGCTGTCTTTCCAAAGCAAACTATAATTTTATACTATAAAGGAGAAATTTTGCATAATGTTTCATGTTCAAGGGCCATTACTCCTGAACAATTTCAGCAATCATTAATTAAACCTGTTTTTACAAACCTATGTAGAATTTTTTAGTCATAGCAAAGTCAAGATATAATCTAGAATCTATTTATTTCAGCCAAATACACCAAAAAATCATTAACCTGTGCCCTCTCTCAATTTATGGGATATCATAAAAAATACAATTCGAATGTCATTTTTCAGTTACCTAAATTTCTTATGTACTCTGCATTTAACTCTGTGTGAACCAAGTCCTAAATCTACGTATCTTTCTCCACCGAACAAAACATAATACTGAAATAAAAATGGTTTCAGATCATTTAAAGCTGATTGAAAATTCATGTATCTTTTAATAAATTTTTCTTTTTCAATGCATTTATTTTTGGTATGCATTACATAACTACTGTCTTTTACCTATAATTCTGTGTCCATTGACTTTGATAAAAATTTCACTCAGTCGAGTGGGTAATGGGAATACAAATTTTTGAAAAGTCAATTAAACTGTGCCCATATAATATGTTAGGCCATGTTTAATTTGTGCATAATCTAAAGAAGTTAAAAGCAAGCTTGGTAGATTTGAACAATATTATTTCTATATCTGTAACAAGTTTTCAAAAAAAAGAAAAAAAGGTCAACAACCATTGACAAGACACCCATCTCAAAAGGTCCTAAATATATTATTGAGTTGATGTATAAATATGGCTTACCTGGTTGAGAGCATCATATAGACTTTCATACAGATTTTCCAGATTCAACAAAATGACGGTGCTACCAGTTTCCATACAAACTTTAATTCTGTTTATGTTTCTGCATACCTGAGAAAAAATTAATGTATCAAACTCATGATAAATAAAGATTATGTGTAATATCCTTCACACAAAACCTCATGCAAGGATTCATGCATATCAATTTTCGTGGATTGAGGAAAAATAGAAGATATTATCTTTTGTGTTTTTGCCAAAGTTTGAATACAAGCCTATAGAAAATTTGTACTTCATTGATCAGTCATGTTCTTGGTTTCCCTATAACACAAAATCTACAAAAATTAGTATCCTACGAAAAATAATGAATCCAAAGGAATTTGCTGTTAAATTCAAACTACGTTTTGAGCTTTAGATACTTGGTATTCTTAAAAGTCAAACTTTATTAAGGGAAACAGCTTGATTCAGATGACCTTAGATTTTTCTAAGTTAAACCTTATATATGACAGAAATAGAATTATTTCTGAACGATTAATTCTGAAATTACATATTTTGCTATATAGGAGTTCTATCATTTCATACCTGTGTATATTCCTGGTCACTGGGAAAGCTACTGCCAAAGATAACAACAGCATTGTCCATTGTGAAGATTTTCTGTTGTAGAACAGTCAGTGCTCCATAATTCTCTGTCAGTAGTAACAAGTATCTACTCTCACTGAAATATATTGACATTTCCATCACATAATGTAAATTCAGAAGTTATTGTGTATATCTATTATTGCAATTCTGACATGTCAGACCAAAATGTGAGAATAATTTTTGTGATAACAGGAAAAGCTGCATACAAATATATGTGTCAGATTCAGAATGGAACTTCATACAGACCTTCTAAAATTCAAACTGACCATTATTCCGTGCGTTCATCGTGTATCGTGCGTGTTGCGTGCATGTATCGTGCGTGTACCAATCGTGCGCTCATCATTCATCGTTCCGTGTATTTTCCGTGTAACGTGCGTGCATCGTGTATTCTTAATCGTGTATGGTGCGTGTATCGTGCGTTCATCAATCATTCATTCTTAACCGTGTATCGTGCGTTCGTCAATCGTGTATAACTGTGTACATCAGATAACGTGCATTTGTCAAACGTTCATCTCTAATCGGGTAACGTTCATTCATTGCGGTTTTTATATGATAGTCGGTTAAAGAGCTCATCAAAGCTTATATTTTATCTCACGGTTAAAGTGTATATATATGTTCCGACTTTAAATAAAATTTACATTCATACTTACTTTCTTGTGAACACTTAATTAACTTCATCGTACATAACGTTCATACAGATTCATGAATTTTTGTGTAAAATTTATTTATCATCTGTAAACATTTCGTGGTTATTCAGTGAATCTTGGCTGGGACTGACACATTTTAATATAATGATACATGTTCTACGTACAAACAATAACATGGTGACATTTCTACGACAGAACAGTTAAATTTGGAGTTTCTATTCAACTGAGCGAAATGGGCTTAAAAATATACTGTTGGCCAACTGTTATTTATTAAAAAATATTCCGCCAATTAAAAACAACAGTGCTTTTGCAAAATTTGGATGTGGGGTAGCTCCACTAAAAATAGAAACTGGAAAGTATGAAAGAAAAGAAGTCCACGAGATGACATGTGTTGTAGCTCTACTATTGAAGATGAACTTCATGTCATTTTAAAATGCCCATTATATGTAGATTTAAGACAAATTATGATACATTAAGCTAAACATTTTAATGAACATTTTAACCTTTAATTATCAGATAGCGAAAAATTTATATTTTTTTTAATAACGGCAATGTTGCTGCTATAGTTGCCAAAAACATCAACAATATTTCATTGAAAAGAAACGGCATTTTATTTCCTAGTTCTCAAAGAAAAAATGTTTTATTTTCATATAGTACAGGTGGACACTGTAAACTTTAAATGTAAATGAGTAAATATATTGTGTCTTAAAAGTCTCTCATTATTCTTTTTAAGATTGGTACATACAATGCAAATGTTTTAATGTTTTATGTTTATTTCTGTGATTCTCATTTTATGTTTGTATGTGGTGAGACTATAATAAAATATTGAATCAGTATTAACATGATTAATGTTCAACTTGAGTCATTTCTCCAATGTTGAACAATGCAAGATTATAATTCTTCGCTTATTTGGCAAATTCATATTCTACTAAATATTCAAACATTTAAGTTTTGGTAAATACCATTACAAATATAATTTTTGTCTTCGTTTCTGATGGTCACGTGCACGTAAGGTTATTCCATTGAGAAAATACAATATACAAGATTGTCGGGTAAATGTGGATTGCGGATTAAGATTTTAGATGTCAAACTTGAATTAACAGATTAAACTGAGGCGAATTTAACACGAATATGTATTTTCTCTTCAACAGTGTTTTTTTCTCTGTTCTTTATTTTCATTTAAAATAAGCTAAATATGTTTTGTGGAAAATTGAAAACAAATAAACATATGTATTTGAAGGCATTTTTTTAATTAAACAAGTATAAGATCACGCAAATATATCCCGTATTCCTTCAGAAGGATTTTAAATTGAGGAACTTTTTAAACTTGAAATTGTGTTTACGAGTTTAAGATATTCTTTTTTATTTAAATTTTTTGATAAAATAGTTAAATATATTGTATTATCATAACAAGTCTTTATTTGAATGGAATAAACATGGAACACTTTCACAGATTCACTTTTCATTGTGTTCATGGTTGCATATCAAGGACCCCGTTTTTAATGTATGTCTAAAAGATTAATATCCGAAAAAATAATTCACAATAGTACTTTGTATTAAAGAATGACGGACTATTTTACCATGGGGGTATTTTTTGTTCCGTTACTGAGGACATTTTTTCGTCCTTTATGAATCCATATGACAAATTTGACTCCAATAAGGATAAATTTTATCTTATAGAAAAATCGGTAGTTTTTATCCGATAGATTTTGTGTTCATCTTTATCGGATATAAAAGATTGAAAAATACAAACAATTAATTGAAGTTTCGTATGCATCTATCACGATCCAGCAACTTTTGACTAGTATAAAGGGTTGCCTTGGTTTTATAGCTCAAAACGGTATTATTTGTTTTGCTTTACATTGGGTTAAATAATGAAATGTATGTTTCAGAAATTTACACAAGTTTGATTTCGGCTTTGACTCCCGGGGACACTGTCGTTTACAGTAAAAGACGAAAATCTACACATGTACGTTCTTATAAAAAAGAAGTTGTGGTATGATTGCCAATGTTCATCATTATATCATAATTATTGTACTCCCCCTAATAATGAATCTATAATATATGCCACTGGACGTTAAACGATCAACTATTAATTCATCCATCTTATCCTTTTAGTTTTGTGATAATTTGCATATCAAATACATGAAACAACAGGGGCGGATCCAGCCATTTTAAAAAGGGGGTTCCCAACCCAGGGCAAAAGGGGGGGGGGGGGGTTCCAACTATATGTCCCCATTCATCAATTCTGTTATATACATGTATTTGGGCTTTTTTTTGTGGCAAGATACATGTAGCTTTGAAATAAAGAAGGCCGTTCAATTGCTCAATTGAATTGTTTCATATTTTTTTCATGTCGGGGCGGGGCCTTTAAAAACCGATTTTACAGTTCCCGTATTTTTTCATTATTGAAGGTCGTATAGATATAACTGCTAGCATTCCTCTTGATTTGAATTTTCTTGAATAGTTGACTCACTAGCAATTATACCACATTTTCTTATTTTTACATAAGCCTTCAATCCATCAAAAGCCAATTTAGTCTGCTGTAGCTGAAACCTACGTTTCTTAAAAAAAAATCTAAATTTATATACTGACAATTTAAGAAATGTTTGTCATAGATATCTGTTCGTGATATAAGTATCAAAATATTTTAGCTATGAAGATGTATAAACCCTTAAATAAACCCTATTTCTTTGGGCAATACCTACGGGAATTAAAATAATAAAAACCATTGCGTGAAGTGCGCTGGTCTACGCCGAAGTGCGATGAGCTGTTCGATGGTTTGCGATGGTTTATATAACGCGGGATACCTAGATTAAAGTCTACAGATGTGCAATTATTATGAGCAGTATATTTGTTTCAATGTCAGTATATAAAGCATTTACTAGTGTTATTGTCTATGAATGTAATAGTTAAAGTTGCCGCGTACTAATTTAGAGATCGTCCTATTTGATGTTTTGCATGTGGAAATTATTCTTGCTTCAACATGTATCTTTACTTAATTTGTTCCTCTAATGAGATCATCATTTACCGTGATATAATCATAAGAATAGTTTCACGGTGGACCCGTATGTATTGAGGGAATGACACTTCATCGTACGTAAAAACAAATCTTTCGTATATTTCCCGTTTCACAGTCCTACATGTATATTGAATTTTACCCACAACTCAGAAAGTTGACCAGCGCGGGGTATGCTTAAACCTCTTATTCTAGATGGCAGGTAATTTACTCGTGTTTATGTTGGATTGCTGTCTGATTGACGAATATCCGTCATTTTATATATATATATATAACAAACAAATTTAAATTAAATATATATATATATATACATTTAAATTTGTTTTTTAGGGATGCATCCAGTTGCACCTTTTCATTTAAAATATATTTCCGTGAAGTAATCTCAAAAGATTACTCACTTCAATAAAAAATAAATAAGGGAAATGAAACCTCTTCTCCCATGTTGCACTTTGTGTAATTGTTCTCTTCGACAAAATACTGCCTTGAACTCAATTTTGGTATAAATATAAAGAAGCCACATTTGGTTCTTAAATGGATATTTTTTAAACACCTAAAGCTAGGTAAAGCCTATCTCTTGATATAGGCTCTTAAATTCGGCAACTTTTAGAGACCGACCGTACTTGGGCTGTATAGCCAGTCAAGGTCGCTAAACTCTCATTATCCGTTTAGAGATTTTCTGAAAATACGATGGTTACTGTCTCATTAGAAACTAAAACCTTATCAAATATGGCCTTCGGCTGTCATCTGCTCTTTTCCGGTTGTTGTCTCTTTGACATATTCATCATTTCCATTCTCAATTTTAAAATAATTAAAAATATGATAAACAGTTGTCAGATCAATATTCATTTAACAAGCCAGTGCGTTGATACAGGTTATATTCTACTGAATTTACTATATCCGTTATTATTACGTAATTATATAAGTCCCGTGTCCAGGTAAAAATAACAATTTGTGGTTTGTGTGTCAGGTGAAAGTGACAACGGGTGGTATGTATACTAAAATGTTTATCGTCTTCCATTACATGAGGGTGTGGATGGGGGTTTATAGAATAGAAAATTATTGACCAAAAAATAAAGAATACAAAAAATAACCAGACAAATATATAGAAAAGAAAATGATGAGGTACTAGAATATATGGAATAAAGAATGATCGACAAAAGGTATAACGATTAGAAAAAATTGCCTAAAATGATAGAATACAGAAATAATGAATCCCTATTCAGACCCTCATAATCTGACGATGACATTTAGCTTTAGGACAATTATGGGCATGTGATACAGTTTTAGAACCACAGTGATTTTTTTTTTACAAAAGTTCACATATATACAAGCTAATTTTTACAAAATCAATTTGTATATGTAATAAAAATTATATCTTCATGTGCTAAATTTAAAAGACAAATGGGTTTGAATTATTCGACATTTACTTATAACATTTCGGTTTCTTGGACATTTTTGTCCTTTGAACAGACATCCTTAACTTTTTTGTTTCAAAAGATAAAGATATGGAAATTTCGGTAAAGAGATCATGAATATCTTCGTTACAAAATTGGGCTCTACATTTGTGTAACAATTCTTTGTTAATATTTAATTTTTGTGAAAAGAAATTGATACAAGAAGAAAAAACGGTATTTTTGTTGTATATTTATCTAGTTAAAAAAAAGTCGGTAATTTCTTCATAAAAGTTGCAACGAATAATCTTCATACAGTATCAAGCAAAATGTCATGTCTAAAATGAGTGGGCCATAACTGATAACACTTTTTCCTTAAAAAAATGAAAAAAATAATTATTTGGATAAGAAAATAACCCAGATATTTAGATATATTAGAATAAAAATATTTTTTTAATTTTTTAAAAATCATTTACTATTCATCGGTTTATGATTAAATGAAAAATATAGAAAATTGTTAAGTTGTTTTTAAGGAAGGAAAATAATGTTTGTCCCGAGAAAAAAGTCCCCCCCCTTATAAATGATCATTAATTTACCTACGTGGGGGCTCAAATTTGGAGACCGATCGCGAGGCCTGACTGCCATAAACAACAGATAACGAACAGCAAACAGTGGATACACCAATTGATATGTATGAAAGACAACGGCGGACACAAAATGATTGCACTGAATAATTTCAACTACCATTGAGATCGTTTTTTTTCAAATCTCCTGATCAAATTAGAAATGCATTTCAAAAAACCTTGGGATATCTTTTACAGTTTGGAATTGAAATAGGAATTAAAAATTGCATTTCCCAAAGAGTTTCAGGTAAAACCCCGAGAATCTCACCGCCTAGAAATTTGAAGTGCCAGGATGTTTGAAAATATGTATGAATTTTATTACATACTTGAAATTGTATAAGGAATATAAAAAGATTCAGTATGTTTACTGTACAAACAAACAACAGACACCAAGTGATGGATACAATTTATATTGTTTAATTCATTTTTACTGAGAGCAAAATTTGATTGATTGATTATTCAGTGGTTGTTTAAACGTCCAGTGGCAAAAATTTCATGCATATTCAGGACGAAAAATCGTTTCAGAAGTATATTATGAAGTATTTGGTATTACAAATGTTTAAATTTTCTCATTATTTGGTAAATTTCATTTTCTTAGCTATTTCTAATTAATTTGTACGAATCAGATTTTTCTGACAAATTATATATTTTGCTCTAAATTAACTCATACGATTCTGATAATATAAGGAACATTGTAACTTAAGTAAAAAAAAAAGAGATTATGATTGTTTAATCAGTTGTTATGTAAGTTCGCTCGTGTCAGTCGGATCACTGATTTTCGGCAATATCAAGGAAAAACCGGCACGTTCCAAATATTGTTCAACTACTCATTTAATGGTGATTCTTTTTCTTTAAAAATTGGAATTTATGTAATAAAAATCTATCTATCTCTACCATAGTATGAAAACAGAGTACAAGTAACACGTCCTTTCTAGTCCTTAGTAGCATATTATAAGTCCTTAGCAGTGTTTAGACGTATAGGCAGAAAACAGTCAAAGGCCACCAATGGGTAGAAAATCCCGCACCGAAGGCGTTTTTCAGCTGGTCCCTAAACAAAAATGAATTTTAGTTCAGTGATAATGGACCTCATACTAAACTTCGAAACATACAAATATTTCCTAAATTTCGGAACGTAAACATATGATAATTAATTAGTTAAGGTTACAAATTTAGGCAGATAAAAAGAAGGGGGGGTCAATGCATTTGAATGGGGACATATGGTTAAATCCACCCCCTTTTATCCTGGGTTGAGAACCCTCTTTTTAAAAATGGCTGGAATCGCCCCTCTTTAAAACGTAGCAATTTATAAATTATTTATATTAAGTAGAATTATAAAATCGATGAGTTTTATAATTTGACAACACTCATTGATATTGGAAATACTATACTACAATTAATCTATTTAATACATGGAGGTTTTAGTAAAACTGTCGACCAATCAACACAGAAAGCGAGATATCTAAAATTTGTATACCCTTATAGATTTTCATTATCATACATCAATTTTAAATGCCATTCCAAATAAAATGGCTTTGAGAACCGTGTATTAAGCGCTTATCGTTCATTCGTCAATGAATCATTCACCGTGCGTGTATCGTGCGTGTATCGTGTGTTCATCATTCATCGTGCATCGTGCGTGTATCGTGCGTTCATCATTCATCATTCATTTTTCGTTAATCCTCTGTGTAACGCTCATTGCTCATCGTGCGTGTATCGTGTATCGTGCATTCACCGTGCATGTATCGTGCATTCACAGTGCGTGTATCGTGCGTGCGTGTATCGTGCGTGTGGTCAGTTTGAATTTTAGAAGGTCTGTACTATTGCGATACTCATCTAGTTGAAGTATTATATAATGGCAATAAATTCTGACTTGACAGCAAACAAATTTATGAAAATTCATCATGTTCATTATGAAAACTGTAAAACAAAGATTTAAAATAATTGGAACTTTTGTTGCCCTATTGGGCTTGTTACCTCCCTTGGTTGTTTGTACTGACCTATTTGATTTATTATCTCCCTTATCTCCAGTAAGACAGGCCTGTATCATTCCTGATGATGAACAATCTGGGTCGTCTTCTCTCTTCTGTTAAAAATAAATATTCAAAATCAATGATTGTATTAAAATAAACTTTTGACTCAGAAATATGTTTCCCTTAAGTAATTTTGATATTATAATGCAAATGTTGGAATTAAAATGGTAATAATTTAACATGTAAACTATGCAAAACATTCAAAGTCAATAAACCATGATGAGAGGGTTAAACAATATAACTGTCATAGAAATGAGACAGGAAAATGCTATTACAACTGCATACCAAATATCATTGACTTACCTTTAGAAGTTCATCTTAAACAACATAATTGCAAACTTTAACATGTAATCTATGCAAAAGTTTCAAAGTCAATAATTGACAATGACTGAGGGGTGGGACCAAATAATTTCCATGGAAATGAAATGTGCCAATGCTAATACAACTGCATACCAAATATCATTGACCAGACCACTAGTTCCCATTATAAAGACCTAATGAATAACTAATACCGCTACTGTCCCACAACTGCAGGAAACAGAAAAAAAAATAATAATAATAATAGTTCAGATACTACATTTTTCATAACACATGATAGATGTGTAAATATGTAAGCTGCTTCTTTTACATACAACTTTTTTTTTCTTAAAAATGTAGTGAAAAATGAAAATTAACACTTAATTAATTTGTTTCATCCAAAGCAATGTTCTAGGCAAAAAAAACGAAAATACATACATGTATGTTCCTTAATCCATGACAATAAACTAATCCACAGTAAGCCAGATATTTTTTTATCAGGCCTACTTTCTCTTCTTAAGTACAGTCAAAAGATTCTCTACTATACAGAATGCATGGTATTCTCTAAACAAGTGACATCAAATCTAATGTCCCCATTCCAATTTAATAATCTACGAATACAATTAACTTTCCGATTCTGACTGGACGCATACCTGTTCAGTCTTGTCCACTAAATGTGCCAGGCTATTAGAGAAGATTTCAACAGGTTTCACATCTTCTAGTCCTCCAAAATTCCTCAAAATACAATGTTCAAGTTGAGGCCATGTTGGTTTCCTTCTTGAAGCAGACACAAAGGCATACAGCATCTTCAGCAAACTATAACAAATATAATTAATTTTTTAAACAAGAAACTCTCGCTTTCACACATAGTTTTAATTTTCATTTCCAACATTGTGAGGCAATAGGCTGTTTTCTTTTGAAATAGAGTGCCAAATAATACTTTTTAGGAATTTTTAAACTTTGTTTATGTATGTTAGATACTGCATATTGTATTTTTCTGCATGCATTTTATTTTCCCTTTGTACCCCTGTAGATTTAACCATACATACATTTCCCTGCATATTCCAGTTTTTATTACTGTTTTAAAAAGCTTTCATATATCATAAGGGTAATTTTTGGGTATTCATAAGTATGTGATCACTTTTCTACTACAGGTTGAGTAAAATAAAATGCCATCAGTATTTTGTTTGACTGAAAGATCACAAGAGTGTACATATTTAATTATCTTTGTTAACAATATGTAAGTTAACAACAAAGAAACATTATTTATCATATAATGTTGATATCTAGATTATCATCGCAGCTTTTCCACATGATTTTCATAAACAAGCATTACTTGACAAAGAAAGGTGTTTTTTTCTATTCTTACCTATAAAAACATTTTTTTTCTTACCTGTAAAAATCTCTCAGTCCAAAGAATTCCCTCATCTTTGTTGATGCTTCTTTGAACAGATCTAAATAAGAGTCTGCCATCAATGGTATCATGGGTCTGATTAATTTTAAGACCTTCTTACTTGTTGAGCAGATTCCTCTGAAAAAAGTAAAATTGATGGATTATGTTTCTATTAAAGTGAAACCTTCAAACCTTGAATAAACAATAAAACTTTGTTAACCGAACTGCCATTTGAATTCAACCTGTATAATTCAAACTATTGTACGAATTCAACAAAATGGTTTGTACCAATGGTTTCTATAGATACATATTCTACTTTACAACAAACATGGCTCAAGGATTTTTTTAAAATTTCTATCAACTATTAACTTAATTCCTATAAGCTGTGTACTCCTACATGTTTAAAATGAAGAGGAGCAATAAAAACTTCTCTATGAAGATGGGGTACCCATTAAGAAATTTGCTGTCATTTTTCCATTTTTCATATACCATATCCCTTCTATAACATATTAAAAATGACCTTACTCAGCACTTTCTGTAAGTTCTTTAACATCAGGAACCTCACGTTGTACCAGAATACCTCTGTTCATCTTGGCAGGGTCCAAAGCCCAGTTTGATATACCAATAAAAGCAACCTGCAAATAATATACAAATGCATCTTTTTCAAATATTTGCGATTGTCTTAGCCCTTCCCTTATGACATCACTGAATGAGACTTTACACTGAATTTGTATTAACCATGAGTAACAAGACAGGTGTCACATGTGGAGCAGGATCTGCTTACCCTTCCAGAGCCTACAAGATCACCCTCAATTTTTGGTGGGGTTTGCATTGCTAAGTCTTGAGTTTTTTTGTAGTGTTGTTGGTCTTTTCTATTTTTTTTTTTTTTTTTTTTTGCAATGCAGTCTCTTGTCAATTTTCATTTTCAACTGCCAACTGAAGTTATTTTACTTTGCATAGTTAAAGAAAAAGATTCCTACCTTTTTATATTTTTCTGGTTCTTCATCATCAGGACATCCATCTTCTAGCAAAGGATGCAATGTCTGCAAAACAAGAAAATGGTAGCATTTTTCTTTTAATTAAGTGTATTTCTTTCTACTACTGTGTTGCAAGAATAAAATAAATGCATTAAGTTTGAAAAGCATTTTTTTTAAATATGTAAAAATTGAAAATTTTACCATGTGGCGAAACCAGAAAGTGTCTTATCTACAGGTAACTTACATGGCTTCTTTAAAAACAAGCATTTTTGAAATATTCACACTGCAATATTCATAAACTGTTGACCCCAAAATATGTTTCGCTTTCATGTAATTTGGATGGTATAATGCAAATATTGAAAATTAAAGTGGCAATACTTTAACATGTAAACTATACAAAACATTCAAAGTCAATGAACCACGACTGAAGGCACAACAAGAAACGCCAATGCCAATACAACTGCATACCAAATACCATCAACTTATCATAAGTGGTTCCCTTTAAACTGACCTAAATTCAAATTTTAACATGTAATCTGTGCAAAAATTTCAAAGTTAATGAAACATGATAATGGGGCGGTTCACATAATCTCCATGTAAATGATATGTGCAAATGCTAATACTACTGCATACAAATATCATTGACTTACTAAAGTGGTTTATCTTTAACTGACATAATCAAAAACTTTAACACGTATTAAACCTAAATAAAAGTCTCAAAGTCAATAGACCATAACTGAGGGGGAAGTGCCTATTAACCTCTTATGTGCAATGCTAATACAACTGCATACCAAATATCTTTGACCTATAGCTACCACTGGTGGTTCCCCCCTTAAACAGACCCAATCACAAACTAATACATTGTTGACTCCACCACCAACTTAGTATCGCCTTTTTAATTTCGTCTAGGCACGACAAAAACTTAACAAAAATAAATATGTATACAGTACAAAATAATAGTTGCAAAGTGGCCGACCATCAGTATAATTTTGTTTTTAAGATAGCTATCAAACACATAATAATTCATATATACCTTCAATGGCATCCTAGGAGAATCTTCAGCTAGACCAATTTCATCAAGCACAACAATTGACACAAATCTGTCCAGATTTTTATCTTTTTGATAGGCTGCACACTGTCTGAATGTGCCTACAATACCCTCTGGTACTGACAGAGGACTGCACTGGAAGGAGACCATCTGAACCTAAGGAAAATAATTTGGAAGCATCAGATATTTTCCACATCTTATATGTCGTATAAAGAGCTGAAATTGAACTAATCAATGCAATGCTTTTATTTTTCAATTTTAATCATATACATAATTTTGTAAATAAAAAGTCATTATATGTCATTAATGGTTATAACTTACAAAGAGCTTTTGAATGAATATGTTTTTGGGTTGCTGTCTCATTGATGTTTACCAAACACTTATTCATTTAAATACATATATGGTTGTGTTTGTCCCTTGGATTATTTAACAAGATCTAGTCGCAATATTAATTCACATTAGGGATCATCTAACATGAAATGGGGAAGTACAAGTAGCCATTTTTCATTTGCTTTTAAGATTCTTCATTTCAAGTCCTGGTAAACAGATTAGTTTATAGCTTTGTCAGTCACCAAATGTTTAGGGATTTACTACCATTTTCGCTGTCTTATTGTAAATAGTGCTATTTGTCTTCAAAGGTATTATTTTTCAAAGATTTAAAGGTACCAGGGGGGGGGGGGGGGGGGGGAGAGACAAAAAACAAACAAAAGGCTGACAAATTTAGAGAGAACACCAACTTGTGTTCTAAAAATTATTTGTAGAGATGTTGTTGAAATAATCTGAATACCAGGATAAATTTGCAATAAAATCTACCTGTTTGTAGCTCTTGAAAAGATCATTATGTGCAGCATTTCCTTGCATGGCATCTGCTACTATTGTCTTGGCCAGTGATTTAGAACTACCAGGTTTACCAACTAGGAACATAGGGATCCTCAATTCTATACAAACTATCATCATAAAGACATTCTCTTTCAAGGCTTGGTTCTTTGCTATGTTTGGAGCCAGTTCTACACTGTCCAGAAACACTGACTGGCATCTAAAATATAATTTGAACAGAGAATTATCAATCAAAGAGCTGAAAGCTCTGATGAAAAATGACGCCACTGTCTCTAATATTGTGATATTTTTTATGCAAGTCTTGATTTTCACATACCGTAATTAGTTTAACATTCCAACATGTCTCATAAGCATATAATTGATATTCGTATATGTGTGTGTTATGTGAAGATGACAACTGGCTGTTTTTTTAGTACAAATGTATAGGTCAAGACTACCTGAATGATCTACAGTATCCAATGACTACTGGCTGTTTTTTTCTATAAATAAATAGGTCAAGACTACCTCAATGATCTACAATATCCAATGACTACTGGCTGTTCTTTTGTACTAATAAATAGGTCAAGACTATTTGAATGATCTACAATATCCAATGACTACTGGCTGTTCTTTTGTACATATAAATAAAGACTACCTGAATGATCTAAAGTATTCTAAGTAATGTGATTTTTGTCTTGCAATTACATTTTTCTAAATCAAGAATATAGACTACTAGTATCCTTTTCAAACCAAATGATTATGAAGAGCCTGTTGTTATCAAGCTCTTATACCCCACATACTCATTAAATAAGTTACTAGTGACCTAGTTATTTCTGTTACTTGAAGCAAATTATATTTCTGTAGATTTAGACAATAGTATAATATTGTTTTACTAGTTTTATTTCACCTTGAAGATTAGACAAATAGGGATACTCCTTTGATTTTTATTTCATGTCAGTCAGGTCGCTTTATATGAAACTTGAAACCACTTCTCTGCCATATTGTTATTTCATAACAACTCTGCCCTTGACCATGTTGACCCATGTAATTGATATTCATTCTTTAACCATATATCATAGTCAGTTAGTTTTTGATTTTGCACTCCCACACCACCTTTCAGGTCAAATGTCTGTCTCCATTTAAGTTAATGACATTGAACAATCATGGTATTAAACACAATTCCAATAGTGATAATGCTGTTCTAGTAGGTCACCATATATTCAACTCGGGTAGCATTCCAGTTATTGAAATTTGTGTCAGATTAGAACAATGATCTAGACCTTTAGGAATGGATCTTACAATTTAATATGGAGCCATAGTATGGGACCCCTACACGGTAACAAAAAAAAAAACAGGCTTGAAAAGATACAACGTCAAGCGGCAAAATCTATCACCAGAAATTACAAGTCAAGAGAGGATGGACGGGATACGTCTCTAAAATGCTTGCCTAACTGGAACTACAACAAGATCTCAAGACAAGACGAACAAGGAGTTGAAGCCAGAAGTTAATATTTATGTAAAAAGTAGTTGAGGGGCTGATTCCCGCTATTGAACCATACTGTCATTCTATAATATTATTGCGTAAGTATTTCTGTACTGTCCTTGTTATTGGTCCATGTCTTGGTGTATTGGTCTGAGGCGAAGCCGAAGGCCAATACTGCTGGCCGAGGACCAACAATAAGGCCAATACAGAAATACATGTAATAGTATCTTTATTAATTAACTACAGTGTTACAATATTTTTTTATTTCATTTCACAAGAGATAAACATTTTTACCTTGAAGTGGAACTATCCAAATCTCAGTTTCTTTTTATAAGATGCAATATCTAATGATTTGGTGCCGTTTCCATGCATCTTCAGCCTTTTCTCATCTGATGAATTTTTCTACCCTTTCCAGTCACTATAAAGTGTTACAACTTTAATTTAGACACAACACATAAATAGTAATTGGAAAGGTACTGCCATTGCATGTGTAATGCAAATATATTTAAAAAAAAAATAATGTAAGAGTTGAAATTGATACAACTATACATAAGCCAATTGACCAAAGAACGAAGATTTGCGCAATTACAGAATGCATATGCCTGGTTCGGGTTTAAAAACAAAAGACCGTTTACAAAACATGAGAAGCGAAAGTGAACAGTAAAAATCGACATGATGAAATTATGAGGTCGTCAAGAAATGAACTTTGTGATAATTTACTCGTTCCCTAAACCTGAAATATTTCCATCGTCTACTTTCAAAATGCTTTTCAAATGAATGGGACCGTCTTTAACCTAAAATATATGCCATACTGAACGTTTCAGCTTGTTAATGGTGAGTAAATAAAAACTGTGTCGTACAAACAACTGTTTACTTTCAGTTTGAGTTTATCGTGACTTACGATCTAAAAACTAGAGACGTTCCGAAATCCTGTTTTGGCCGGATCAGAACTCGGCCAATACGGAAAAAAAATCTGTATTGGCCGAGTTGACATCTTATATTGCATATGCAGTTTTCATCATTTTAAGTACAATAACAGTGTAGTTAATTAATAATGATACAGTTACAGACTCTGCTGCTATAACTTTGTGAACAAAGATTCATACGCACCGCGTGGGTATAACCGTATTACTAATTTCCGATTATTAAAATCTTCGTAAATCTTGATAAAGACCAGTTTCTATCCAATGGATATCAAAATGATTCCGATTATTACTTTTTTAATGATTGTAATGTTGAAATGGCATGAAAGGCTGACATTATTTAGGAGAACTATTTTGTCTAGCGATTGCTGATCATTGGAGGGTAAAAAGTCCAACACCATAACAAAACGGATCTATTTATCATGTATACATACCGATTGTTTACGACTGTAAGACATGTGCATAAAAGTGAAAGCTCGAATAAATATGAAAAATATAACAAAGGGATAGCTCCAAATACCATTTAATAACAAAAAACATATGGACAGGTCAAGATATCTTTTTGGTAAATAAAATAACGTATGTAAACTGGTTCCCGTCCGACTACAACACTTTAACAAAGACTTTGTTCGAGTGTAGCGTAATACAAGCAGATTCCAGTTAGTATGTAAAATAGTAAATATGAAACCGAGTGCGGTAGGCGGAGGCATAATCAACTTCCGTTAGTTCTGGTCAATGGTATCGGAAACATGCCGCTGATAGCGTCATTTTCCAAAAATAAGAGTTTATTAAAAATTCTAGAATGAAGATAGATTTTAAATTAAAATCTCCATAGGGATTTTGTTATGTAAACAAACACAAATTGTGTGTATTGTCCAAGGTCAAGGTACTTTGAGCAAACATTATTCTAATTTTGCTTTTCACACAAGTTCAATTGATACATGCTTCTTCAACCTGACATTTGACCATTCTTCATTCTAGAATTTTTAATAAACTCTTATTTTTGATAATTCTCTGTTTTTTGGTATTTTTGTTTATTGCACATGCCAATGTACATATATCATGCATTTATGACAACAAGCATGCCATTAATGACTTTTAAAGAGATGAACATTAGACATTATACATTTACTTAGGGAGATAATACAAGATTTGTTTACCAAAACTAATCTATTATTTCCTGAGGGCATGGCCTGAGTAAAATAAGACATTTCTAGAATGCACCAACATATCTTCATATTTCTTTATCTTCTATAAAAATGATATCCTTGGGTAAATAAAACACTTTCCTCAGAGGTTGTCATCAGAAGGCTAGGTCACATGTGGCGACCCTCTATAAGCAAATGTTGAAACAATCAAAGCTGACACCATAAATATTTGATGTCATAACTGAAGACTTCATAGCACATGTCTTTTCATTCTCAACCCAAAGGTTTGTGAATTTTGAATGCCAGCTTTTATCGAAGAAATGGCTAACTGAATTCATCTAAAAAAATTTATAGGAAACTATTGTTTCAGAAAAAGGGTGAAGGTTTGGTACCATTAAAACGTTTAAACCCGCTGCATTTGTTTGCACCTGTCCTAAGTCAGGAATCTGATGTTCAGTAGTTGTTGTTTGTTGATGTGGTTCATAAGTGTTTCTCGTTTCTCGTTTTTTATATAGATTAGACCGTTGGTTTTTCCCGTTTGAATGGTTTTACACTAGTAATTTTTGGGGCCCTTTATAGCTTACTGTTCGGTGTGAGCCAAGGCTCCGTGTTGAAGACCGTACTGTGACCTATAATGGTTTACTTTTATAAATTTTGACTTGGATGGAGAGTTGTCTCATTGGCACTCATACCACATCTTCTTATATCTATGTTCCACTCAAATGAAATCTTTAGTTCTTGTTCTCCTGTGCATTTTTTTTACAAACAGGAGAAGAATATATTTCACTCATAAATCTTTTTCTGATCTTAAGTATGGATTTACCTGGATATTTCCTCTTCAATACCATCAGCACCACCAACTAAATGTAAAGGCTGTGTAAAATATTGTGCCACTACTTCCCTGTATTCCTCTCTGTTCTTCAAACAAGCATGGTAACAAACTCCAAGGGCAAGAACCAATGACCTAGTGACATCATCCATATGCTGAAAAGGTATTCCATTTTCATTAACACATCTAGGCATTTCTGTCAAAGTATTCTTTTATTTTTCATTTGGATTGAACAGCTTCACTAATTAAATCCTGCAGTTCCTAAACAGCATAAAACTCTTTAAGTACTATTTTCTTGGGCCTTTAATAGCTTTCTTTACTGTACGGGTTTTGCTCATTGTTGAAGGGTGTATAGTTGACTGTTGGTTGCTTAATGTCCAGTGGCAAATATTTCATGCTGTTTAGGACAACAAGGGCGTATGGTGACCTGTAATTGTTAACATCTTTGTCTCTTTGTCCTTCGGTCTATGGATAGTTGTTTTATTGGCAATTATACCGCATCTCCTTATCCTTAGATCTTCTTTGTTTTTGAAGGGGAGGGGGGTAATGATCTTAAAACCATGTTTTGTAGAGGCTTTAAATTATAATTTTCAGGACATTTTCCTATGTTAAAATAACAGTACGAAAAGCATAATTATGTACAATTCAAAAATATTATTGCACAATCATAAATACATGCATCTGCATCTTTAAAAAACCTAGGGAACTTCAAGGCTGAGCACACTCCTTTTACAGTTTCTTTGCAAGAGGATAATAAATGCTGCAAGTACTAATTATATTTACAGAAAATTTTGTGAATGGCAAACATCCTTATTTTAACTCTACCTGTACATGTCCCAGTTCCATGCTTTCTTCTTCAGATTCAGTTTCTGAATCTTCTGAATCTTCTCTCATCCTCATGAATAATATGTCATCATCCTCCGATTGACTGTAGAACCAACTCATCACCTGTAGAACTCTCTCTACATCTCGTAAACTTACAAAACTACACTCATCCTTAAATAAAATTGTTTTAAACTTTTACTAGTCATTAAAGGATGTGGGAAATAAACTGATTGATGACTTGATTGTGGGTGTTTAATGCCATTTTCAGCACTATTGACTATATTATTGTGGTCAGTTTTTATTGGTGGAGGAAGCAGAAGTGCCTGGAAATAAACACTGACCTTCGGCTGGAAAACTGCCAATCCAGGAAATATAGTGAAGATAGGATACGAAAAGTATATAAATAATATATATTATAGGTAAAAATAAACTACTTCGCCGAACACAGCTGGATACGACCGCAGAGGTCCAACTGTGAACAGTTGGCAAAAATGGACACAATATTCAAGCTTGATACAGGTCTGAATTTGGATTGTAATTAAATATTTGACACATTATAGGTTTCTGACACAGAATAAATGTAGTCAAAGAACTTGAAATTGGTTGTATGATTTGAATTTATATTCAATTGAAGATTTCTTGTTGTTGTGCAATACACTGTGCTGTTGCGAAATACTTAGTAAATCTGTTTTCAGACTGTATACAAAGAATTAGCAAAATAAATTGTGACCCCCAATTTTTTTCTTTGGAAAATTGACAATTTCTTAAATCTTGAGGAAAAAAAAATTGACCCTTTTTGGCCCCTAATTCCTAAACGGTTGGGACCATCACCCCCAAAAACAATCAAAACCTTTCTTTTGTGGTATTGAACCTTTTGATTAAATTTCATAGAGATCCATACACTTAAACTAATGTTATTGTCCGGAAACCAAATGTCTTTGAACGACGACGTGATACCAATATATATGACATAATAAAATGCTCCGCTGGGCGCAGCTTGATACGACCGCAGAGGTCGAACCCTGAACAGTTGGGGCAAGTATGGACACAACATTCAAGCTTGATACAGCACTGAATTTGGATTGTGATTAAATATTTGACACAGCATAGGTTTCTGACACAGAATGAATGTGGTCTAAGAACTTAAAAAATTTTAATTTACCTATTCAAACCATATCATTATTATTTGCTTTTATATATAAATCAGAAATAGCCAATTTAAAATGGAAATTTTAAAGAAAAAAAAGGAAAAAAAGGAAAAAAAATCTCCCCCCCCCCCCCCCCCAATATTTTGAACCCCCTTATGATTCATTACCCCAAAACTCAATCCCAGCCTTCCCTTTGAGGTATGATACCTTGCAGTACAATTTCAGAGAGATCCATACACTTCAACACAAGTTATTGTCTGGAAACTAGAAAAATGCTTGTTTTTTGGGGCCCTTTTTGGCCCCAAATTCCTAAATGTTTAGGGCAATTACCCCCAAACTCAAACCCAGCTTTCCCTTTGTGACATGGAACCTTGTGGTACAATTTCAGAAAGATCCATACACTTACACACAAGTAATGGTCCTGAAACTGGAAAAATGCTTGTTTTTTGCCCCTTTTTGGCCCCTAATTCCTAAAATTTTGAGGCAATTACCCCCAAAATCAATCCCAGCCTTCCCTTTGTGGTATGGTACCTTGCAGTACAATTTCAGAGAGATCCATACACTTGAACACAAGTTATTGTCTGGAAACTGGAAAATGCTTATTTTGGCCCCTTATTCCTAAACGTTTTGGGCAATTACCCCCAAACTCAATTCCAGCTTTTCCTTTGTGATATGGAACCTTGTAGTACAATTTCAGAAAGATCCATACACTTACACACAAGTTATTGTCATGAAACTAGAAAAATGCTTGTTTTTTTCCCCTTTTTTGGCCCTTAATTCCTAAAATTTGAGGCAATTACCCCCAAAATCAATCCCAGCATTCCCTTTGTGATATGGAACCTTGTGGTACAATGTCAGAGAGATCCATACACTAACACACAAGTTATTGTCTGGAAGTTACAAAAATGCTTATTTTTGTCCCCTTTTTGGCCCCTAATTCCTTAACTGTTGATACCATAACCACCAAAATCAATCCCAACCTTCCTTTTGTGGTATTGAACCTTATGGTAAAATTTTATAGAGATCCATTCACTTAAACTAAAGTTAGAGTGCGAAAACCAATGTGTCTTCGGACGACGACGACGCCATTGAAATAATACAAAATAAAATAACATGAATGACAATAGACATATAATTTTTATTAGAATAAATCAACATTCAATATGTTGTAATTGGATTATAGACGTTCATCTTTATTCAGGGATTTCCTTTACTGATCTGTTCTATCGATGTTATTTGACTCCGTAATTTGGCATTTCGGATATAAGCATACTCCGCTTTATTGCATAATTTTGTCTGACAAATAGGCTATGCAAATAACCGGAATGTACTGTAGTTGTATATTCACATATGTAATGTTAAATAATTTACCTTTTGTTCTCTCATGAAGTCCTGTGATACAGTCAGTATTTTACTGACAGTTGTATCCAATCCTTGTGTTGATGGCAATTGGCCATTTTTTATCTGAAAATTTTAAAAATACAGAAATTAAATTTCTGAAAAAAAACTGTAACTTGATTATTGTAGAATTTAGAGCAACTAGTTTTAGTCTCAATCGTATGCAAATTTTTTACCGCATGAATTTCAATAACTGGAACACATCTTCAACAAGGGCACATTTTATCATCCTTGGCATTGGAAAAATCAAAGTTCTGAGGTAAAAACTCAAATAAATTGAAATATTGTGATATCAAAATTTTGACCATTATCAAAATACTTGAGACACACAATTAAAATCCCTTTTATCCTAAAAAAATGTGTTATGTAACATTTAAAATGCCTAGAGAATTACCTATTTCTATATTTTTTTAAGTTAAAATTTTGTAAATAATCAATGATGTGTCTTGAAACTACAGTTTAAGAAAGTATAAGCATGTAGTCTTATTATAATCGCACCAGGGTTTATTTCCACAATCGGTCACAATTAAAATCTTACCTTTTTAAAATCAGTCATAAGATATACTGAAATGTTCATGAACTAACAGTATTTACTCAATTATTTTTTTGTGAAAAGAGTCCTAGAATTTTTCATCCACAAGTGTAAACTAGCTGCAAAAGGTCTTCCCCATTCATGTTCAACTTAGTAATATCTTAACATAATCATAATGGACCACAGTTATCAAAAATATAACATATACAATCTAGTTTAGATGCGAATGCAAAAATATATATAGTGTAAACAATGGTCTCCTGATTCCACAAACTAGAACTAGAGGCTCTCAAGAGCCTGTGTCGCTCACCTGTATTTACTGATGCTTTGGAAATCATGTAAAATAAGGTTAAAATCATAATTAATAGTATTAGATATTAGATATTATAATAATATCTAAGATAATAGCAAAAAAATGCAAAGTTTCTGTAAAATTACTAACTCAGGGGCAGCAACCCAACAACGGGTTGTCTGATTTGTCTGAAAATTTCAGGACAGATAAATTTAAATCTGATGAACATTTTTGCCACATGTCAGATTTGCTCTAAATGCTTTATTTTCAGAGATATAAACCAAAAACTGCATTTTACCCCCATGTTCTATTTTTAACCAAGTCGGCCATGACGGTTGGAAGGCGGGGTCATCTGACAAATCTTTTAAACTAGATACCCTAATAATGATTATGGCCAAGTATGGTTAAATTTGTCTCAGTTGTTTCAGAGAAGAAGATTTTTGTAGAAGATTACAAAAAATTGTTAAAAATTGACTATAAAGGGCAATAACTCCTAAAGAGGTCGACTGACCATTTTGGTCATGACAACTTATTTGTAGATCTTACTTTGCTGAACATTATTGCTGTTTACAGTTTATCTCTATCTATAATAATATTCAAGATAATAACCAAAAACTGCAAAATTTCCTTAAAATTACCAATTCAGGGGCAGCAACCCAACAACAGGTTGTCAGATTTGTCTGAAAATTTCAGGGCAGATAGATCTTGACCTGATAATCATTTTACCCTGTGTCAGATTTACTCTTAATGCTTTGGTTTCAGAGATATAAGCCAATATCTACATTTTACCCCTATGTTCTATTTTTAGCCATGGCGGCCATCTTGGTTGGTTAGCGGGGTCATCGGACACATTTTTTAAAAACTAGATACCCTAATGATGATTGTGGCCAAGTTTGGTTAAATTTGGCCCAGTGGTTTCCGAGAAGAAGATTTTTGTAAAAAGCTAACGACGACGGACGACGACGACGGACGACGGATGCCAAGTGATGAGAAAAGCTCACTTGGCCCTTCAGGCCAGGTGAGCTAAAAATACATCAATTCAAAACCTTAATTTCTCAATATTTTTCATACATACATATCTCAGGACCATCTGTCTGATATACATCTCTTCTACAGTGGTATTCAGCTGTCCAAAGTCCCAGACTAATGGCAACATACTCTGTGGTAAGGACTGCACTCTGTAAACCAAATGCCTCATTGGGACATGGCCTGAAAAATAATATTATCATTGTTTTTAAGATATTAGAAAAACACTAAAAATATTGCTAATTTTCGTCATTAAAGGGCAAATGGACATTTCTATCTAACGTTGACTTAATAGTAGATCTTGTATTGCTGATAATTTTTGCTATTTAAAGTTTTTCTCTATTTATTATAATTTTTAAGATATTAGGCAAAATTGAAAAAAAATGGTAAAATTAGTCATTTAAGGCAATAACTCCTATAAGAAGCTATCTGACAGTTTTGATGACATACACATTAGGAAGGTCTCATCATTCTTAACATTTTTGCTTATGTCAGCTTTTCTCTTTTTATAGCAGTTTTCAAGATAATAGACATAACTTGCATTTTACCCCTATGTTCTATTTTTAGCCATTACAGGCGGGGTCATCAAACACAGTTTTTAAACTAGATAGCCTAATGATAATTTTGTCCACGTTTGGTTTAATTTGGGCGAGTAGTTTCAGAGAAGAATTTTGAAAATTTGACAATGATGAAGACACTGGATGACGGACGTCAAGTGATGAGAAAAGCCCACTTGGCCCTTTGGGCAATGTGAGGTAGCAAAGTACATTGATCAGTTGAAATAGCTTGATCCAGATGACTTCATCATAGATTTACCTGAATTCTTACTGATTAATTTTACTTTTAATACCCAACCATTTTTTAAATAAATCTTTAAAACATTTTTTAAGATCTGGGACCTTGGTTATAAAACTTTACTCAGTACTCAAGAGTACAAATTTTGTACTCGAACACCAAATCCAGTATTTTGTTTGGTTGATTTCAGAGTCGTAGTAAGACAATTGTGCTCCAAACTTTAAAAACTGCAAGGCCTGACCATGTAAATTAGTTATCATATAAAATGTTATCAATATGCTGAAACAGCAAAATAATACATGTTCATAATACTAAATCTAAATATAAAATATAGACTGCATTAATAATTGGTAATGGTGTATACCAAGTTTATCTGTGGTCTCCCTTGCACTGACATGATAACCAAGTCCTGCTTGCTCTAATCTCTGTATCAGGTCGTCAGAATGTCTGAAAATTAATTGATACTTTATTATCAAAAATAAACAATTATTGGATGTATGTGACAACAATTGTATATTGAACAACCCCTGAGATCAAAATGAACGTTTCTCTCGGAGCTATGTATTGCTCATTGGGAATTGTTAATCACTTGCTGTTTGTTTGAATGGAAAAGTTCAAAAGTTTTCCTAACAGTCACAAAAGATAATTCTTTTGTCATGATTTTCCTACATTAATCAGTATTTTTGTTGACTATCATTTAGGTATTGTAGTATTAAGTCCATCTTCTGAACTGATTATTATTGTATTTCTATAAACCATGTATTTATAATACATTGTACTGTAAAATCGACAAATTTTGAAAAGTGCACTACATGTTTGTGTATGAAATCTTTTCCACTTACTTTCTATATGGATTACAAGCAGCCACAATTTTCAGTTTTTCGTGCAGTTTGATAGGTTTTCCGCCTAGAGTTTTATCACACATTATTTCCTTAATCACACCAATGGCTTCTGTAGTGTTAGCTTCATCAAAGAACAACACAGTGTCCATATTACGATAATCTGTTTTTACAAATTCTTCTGCATTCAGCCTGGCAATTTCTTCTGCTTTTCTTACTTTCTTGATAATATCTGATGCTTTTGTCCCACCATGCACCTGAAATGTTTGATTTATCTCAGATAGTCTTTTTTTAAATGAGTATCTACAAAGCCAAGTCCAATATATAAAAACACAGGTCAATATGATAGGAATGTATGACAGTCCTTATAAAATTTAATTCAAGCTGAAATGTTGATGTCAAAAACAAGATAAAAAAAAATCCAACTTAGACAACTAAGAGTTTTTTTAAGTAGTTCATCAACAGAAACAAATAGACATAGCTATGCCTACCCCAATGTAATATAGCATTCAAAGACTGCTAAATTTTCAATGGCACAGCATATTAATCTTGAGGTAAATTAATTGAAATCTAACTTATCATGCTTATACATCCAATTATTTTCATAAATACATGCTATACTGGTAATTCTAAAAAAACGTTGTTTTTTTTTCTTAAACAGTCATCTGCTATGAGACAGCTTTCTTCTAACAATTAAAACAGAGAACAGCAAAAATATTTACATAAATAATATAAACCAATGAAATATCAAGATTAGAATGAACCCTATTGGGTCCATTTAATAACAACAGAATTTTGATGAGAAATGTAGTAATCACATAATAATAATAATTTCAATAGTTACCTTCATCAGTATCATGTTTTCAACATTTACACCTGGAGGTTGCTGTAATTTGCACATAAATTTAATCAGTCGAGTTTTACCGCAGCCAGTCTCTCCCATAATAATCACTGGTATATCACATCTGAAAACAAATATGAAAAATGTTAAGACATTTTACAACATAAACAGTGAAACTTATCAACACCAAACCCTGTCTAACTGGAAAATTTTATTAAGTCTTTTGTAATTCAACCTGTTTTAACGAAACACCTGCCTAATAAGTACAAAACTTTAGATCCAAACAGATTTGGTTTATTGATTTAAGACTGGTTTGAATGTACAATAGTGAAAATTTTTCCTAAGTTTGACACACTGTGGATTCATTGTGATTCGTTGGTTAATAATTTCTGCGGTGTTCAGTGGATAAAAGTGAACCTGAAATTTTAATATTTAACGAAGTAAAAAATTTTCTATAGGCTTGTATGCAGACTTTGACAAAACAACAAAATCAACATATCCACAAAAATACAACTTTTCCTCAATCCATGAAAATTGATATCCACGAAAATAAATGAATCCAATGTAATACATGCAAATCAAGGTTTAAATTGTAGTATGAATGAGGAGGGGTCGGACCTTTATCAGGACTCCGGGATCGGGTGTTTTTAAGCTCGGGATTTCGGGATTGATCCTTTCGGGATCCGGGAATTCTTTTTTCGAATTTTGGGATGTCGGGATTTAAATTTCTTTAAATTCGGGACCTTGGGATTTCATGTTTTTAAGCCCAGGATCAAGACCCCCCCCCCCAAATGAATCCATAAAAAGTATCAAAAGGCTATAAATGATGAGTATGATAACTCAATCCATAGGAAACACATTTAAACTTATAAGTTTGATAACTTATACAAAATTTAACATTAGAAAGACTTAGCAAATAGTCCTTTCGACAGCAGAAAAAAATCAAATGGTGGAATCAACAGATTCATTCTTTTTTCATTTAAAGCATTCGTATATTACCTGAATCTCATATAAATAGCTAGTATCTTCTTAACATTATCTGTCGTCAACTCGTAGGTTTCATCAGGATCGTGTATGATATCAAGTCCCATTACATTACACAACTTTGTGATTTTCTCAAGTCTAAAATTAAAAAAAGAACGTAATTTCAAAAACAAAAATAAGAACAAAATAGAATAAAAAGTCATGTCCGTTAGTTTAAGGCATATACTTAACATATCTTGACTAACATTTTTAAAAAAGTGGTATATTCAACTTGAATTTATCAAAAGAAATTTACAAAATTTTACATCAACATTTTTAACTTGTTAAAGTTTACCTTGGGAGACCATCAAAGTTTTCAGCAAGGTTGACTCTGTTTCTGACCAGAGCATCAAACAAATTGTTCTCCATAATTCCTGGTTCTAGAATGGCATTTGTCTGTACATCAACCAGGTTCCCTGTTCTTCTGTCTATGTTAAATCCTAAGAAAGTCATACTATTCTGGTCTGGGTTGAAAAACAGGTAGGGATGAGGACTGAAACACATTTTTAATATCAATAATATAGATACTGTAAATCAAATAATTTTCATGAGCAATTTATTTTAGTGAATTTCTTGTGTAGAAAAAAAAATAACTTGATCATTGGGAATTTTTTTCAATTTGGCTCGTTTCTTAGATAAACAAATGGCGATTTAAAAAAGTTAATATACAATTGGTCATAAAGGCTCTCAAAATAACTTCAATATTATAATATCGATAAAATTTGCTGATATATATACTTTACCTCGTTTCCCAAGTTCTTCTCATCTGGTACAGCTGTATAACATCGTCCCCCTCCTTGTCTTGTTCATCGTCACTGATCTGTCTCTGTAGCATTTGTAATGGTGATTCCTCGCTCATTATCAGGGACCGGGTAGAAAAATCCTATCAACAAAACAATCAATCTATATGATTCTTGCTTATTATCATGGAACAAGTAGAATTAAGAAAAATTGTGAGAATAGTTCATTATTTTATACCCAGTCCAGGGGTTAAAAAATCCACTAGCCCGACGCCCGGGACAACAGCATTTACACCTCGGGCAATCAAAACTTGTAACCAAATATGCCCGACGGACTAGTAACCAAATATGCCCGACGGACTAGTAACAAAAAATTCTTGGCATTTCCAAAAAACAAACTGGAAAATTCCTTCATCTCTATTCTATCTTAGCAAATCAAATTCAATTACGTCATCCAGGATTCCAAGAATTTGTACTGATTTTGTATGTTTTAAAAATAGAACAAATGACTCTGGGTGGACCGGTATCATGTATTGATTGCAATTCCTGTACTATCATTATCGATTTCTCCGTACTTAGCGTATGGTACATTGCTCGTGCCGAGGGGGTATGATGCAGGTGCGAGATTTAATTTTGTATCAGAATTCTTCCAAAATGCGAACATTATCATAGATACCTTTATCTAAACGTTCATTTCAAGTATTTTTAAGAAAGAACTACATAAACTGAAGAGACAACTTTGACAGCGTACACAGAGTTTTATGTCCATCTTCTTCTTCCTCATTCTTTCCTCCACTATCTGGAGTAGATCTACCACTACTTTTGTAGTGTAGCATGGATAAGCAACTTTTACTGTTAGCAACTGTGTGCATGTGCAGGAATAATTTACAGTGAATATAATCGGTGCACAAACCAGTATATATAATTTCGCCTATAAATCAATTGTTCAAGATACTGGTATAAAAGATATAAACACTGCCTGGCGTACCCACCACCAAGTTAAAAACGCAACGGAAGTTGGTCTCATCCAATACGAGCTAAGGATGCTATACCAGCTGGGTGCTCACTTAAAAAACTTGAGGTACTAGTAGCTTTAAAGTAATTCAATGTCTAATTCATTATTATACACGTGCAGGGAACTGTTCCATCAATCTTTTTACCATTGACAAGTCAACATCTGATAATAGGAAAGTACAGTTCTGACAGCGTGATATTGCCTTAATAAAGAGTTTAAGACAGATTTTAGTTCACTAATTTTTAACTTTTCGTATGTGGACTGTCATTTTAACAGTTTAAGTCAGAACATCAAAATTATATCAAAAGTCTTCTGAAGTTTTGTATCGTTTTATTGTCAATTATTAGGCATTGTGATGATGCCAACATTTTAACAATGATTGCCTTTGTGACTAAGTCTAATGGGATTGAAATTTGAATCAGAAGAAAATATCCAGCTGACTCAATCAAACATTTGTTGGAAGTCCGGGCTATCAGGTTTGATTTGCTGGGCTAGCAGTTCTATCAACAGGACTATTAAATCCTGCTTCCAATAAGTCCTGGGCTATTGAGCTGTAACAAAAATTTTTAACCCCTGCAGTCTCTCTTTATCTAGAAAATTCCAGTGCCTAGTTTAGTAGTCATGGATACAAAATACCATGTCATGTATGCATATGTTTTGCTATTGGAAACAGCAAAAATCAATCAGATAAAAACAAGTGAAACTGCGAGCTACTGCTCACTGATGATGCCCCCACCCAAATACTTGACGGTAAACAGGAAGTTGTTGAGTGATGAATCTGAAAACTGATCACACAGTATAGCTGACTTGTATAAATCCTGAAACTAAATTCCAGAAATCCTTGTATTGTAGTTCCTGAGAAAAATGTGACAAAAATTTTTTACTTGGCTATCATGTGTAAACTGATACAAGGGTTTGGTAAACAGGAAGTTGTTGAGTGATGAATCTGAAAACGCATCACACAGTATAGCGGACTTATATAAACCCTGAAACCAAATTTCAGAAATCCTTATGATGTAGTTTCTGAGAGAGATGCGACGAAAAATATTCATGGGACGGATGGATGGACTGACAGATGGACTGACGGATGGACAGATGGATGATCTACAGACAGAAGTAAAAAAGTATACCCCCACTTTTTTAAAGCAGGGGTATAATAATAAAAATAAACAGATTCACAAAGCCAATAGGAACAGAAGATTTTCTGAAAATCTATAAAAAAAAACTCTCACCCTGGACATTTGTATCAGAAATCTAAGTACAAACTTGGCAAATCCAGGTAAGTCTTCCCCTGCTGCTAAACTACAAAAAGCAGATACTTCAAAGTCTTGTAACTGTTTGTTTAGAAAGCTGACAAAATGATACAACTCTGACCATGATGGATCTCTGATACCACAGTGTCTGAAAAAGATTAATGAACAGATTATTTTAATACAAGTATTTTCTCTGACATTTAGGTACTGCAATTAAGAGGAATCCACTGTATTAAAAAATGTTACTTCACCACTAAAAATTGTGTACCTGCAGTCAAAATTAACTATCTTTTAAATTATTATCATATTGCATCATGAAATTGACAGCTTTGCTTGTAAAATTCAACTGATATCTTACTCACAATATACAAACTGAATTCTAAAAGCTTAAACTTACCACCATTTTATGAAATTTGAAGATGTACACTAAAATTAACAATTTTTATTTAAATTTTGGTGTGTAGCAGACACATACATAAAAAAATACCTAAATGTGTCTATGTTTGTGTACGTCGCTAAAAAAAACTGTAAAACCATTGGATTTTGTATTTTTGAAAAAAAAACAAACAACTGAAAATAAGCATTTTTTGCCAATAAATTTTGAAACTGAAGAAGGCCAGTGGTTGAAATGTATTGAAAAAAAATGTTTTATTTACTACAATAAAATATTTTTTTTTTTATTTTTTATTTTTTCTGAAAACCAATATAAAAAGCACTTTGACAGTAGACATACTTAAGTAATGTATTCAGACACTGTTTCTTATCCCCGTCTGGTATCTGAGCATTCACGTCATCCAGTCTGCAATTTGTGTCAAGCCTTTTAAGATACTGATATGGTCTCTGGAATGAAGGACTCTTGAATTCTATCCCATCAAACAGCCTATCATGATCTGTGTAGTCTAGTGGTCTTCTGATGTTACTTAGAATCTCAAAACTTTCCTGCGGAGATCGGCAGGTTACATGTGGTAAAATATCTAAGCAATGATGTAAGCATCTCAATTTTCCTCCCTGCAATAAACAAAAAAATAACTTTAGTACTGCAAAATTACATCCACTTTTGTGGGGATATATATAAAATACCATAACAAAGTTAAAAGGTGTGAATAGATCATTTCTTAAGTTATAACAACCTGCTTTCCATGTCCTCCCTGGCATAAGAGAAAATCAAATCAAATTAGAAACACAGTCTCAAAAATGTATTAAATATAACCAACCAAATAAGTGTTAACAATACAAAATGTTTTTTTTTTCTAACAGTCATAAGTTTTTTAATCTAAGAAAACAGACTTTCTGACAACTGTATGACCTATACTGGTTTACTTTTATAAATTTTGACTTGGAAAGAGAGTTGTCTCATTGGCACTCATACCACATCTTCTTATATCTATTTCTGACAACTGTATCCCGTCATTTATGAGTAGACATGTTTCAAATAAAAATTTCAGTAGGTTAAAAAATTTGATAATAAAAGATTTTTAAGCAACTTCCCGACCCACTTAAGACTCAGTGAACTAAAAGCATAGTTGCCAACTCACATGATATTTGCGTGTAATACACGCTTTTTCAACGGTTTACACGCGAAGATTTTGTCACATGGCATGTACACGCTTTTCGCCACTTTACACGCCATTACACGCTTTTTTGTTGTTTTGATTTTGTGGTCGTTAGTGATATCGCGATTCTCTGTTTTTTTCATAATTAGACAATAAATACTGAAAATTTCGAAGAAATTGTTGGGTTGCCATTGTTTTTCGATATGGACAAACAACAAAAACCCTTCAGGTAAGTTTGTGAGTAGTTTTTAAGATTTTTTTACTTTCTTTCTTTCTTTCAAATTCACTTTGGGGAAATGTCCAGCAGAATGAGGTCGCTTTCTGGACCTGTACCATTGTCTAAAGAGCCAAGTGCTAAGCAAAAACGATACGTGTGTACGTACCAAAAAAGTTAGGAGTCCGAGTTTAAATGGACCAAAGAAAGTGATCAAGGGCCGAAAATGCATTGTGCACCCTATGTTACTCTCATATCTATATTGGGTCATCTGCAAACATTATCAATCATTTGAAATCATAACAATACGTGTGAGAGGAGAACTACAATGTAGCTATTTGATAAAGCATTCAACAGTATTCAAATTATAAAATATTAAATATTTTTCTTTTTCAGTTTCAAATTTAGCCAACAGATTTCCACAGGCCAAAGGGGACAAAAACATCACAGAACTGTTGGATCAGTTCTCAGAGTACCAGCTGTCTTATTATGAACTTCCCAGTTTTGACCAGGCAATAGCAATATATATACTGTAAACCAACTAATTTTCGTGAGCGATTTATTTTTCGCAACTTTCACGAGTAGAATAAAATGCTCCGCTGGGCTCAGCTTGATACGACCACAGAGGTCGAACCCTGAACAGTTGGGGCAAGTATGGACACAACATTTAAGCTTGATACAGCACTGAATTTGGATTGTGATTAAATATTTGACACAGCATAGGTTTCTGACACAGAATGAATGTCGTCTAAGAACTTAAAAAAATTTAATTTACCTATTCAAACCATATCATTATTATTTGCTTTTATATATAAATCAGAAATAACCAATTTAAAGTGGAAAATATTAAAGAAAAAAAAAGGAAAAACAGGGGAAAAAAATCCCTCCCCCAAATTTTTTGAACCCCCTTTTGATTCATCACCCCCAAACTCAATCCCAGCCTTCCCTTTGTGGTATGGTACTTTGCAGTACAATTTCAGAGAGATCCATACACTTGAACACAAGTTATTGTCTGGAAACTAGAAAAATGCTTGTTTTTAGGCCCCTTTTTGGCCCCAAATTCCTAAACATTTAGGGCAATTACCCCCAAACTCAAACCCAGCTTTCCCTTTGTGATATGGAACCTTGTAGTACAATTTCATAAAGATCCATACACTTACACACAAGTTGTTGTCCGGAAACTAGAAAAATGCTTGTTTTTTGCCCCTTTTTGGCCCCTAATTCCTAAAATTTTGAGGCAATTACCCCAAAAATCAATCCCAGCCTTCCCTTTGTGGTATGGCATCTTGCAGTACAATTTAATAGAGATCCATACACTTGAACACAAGTTATTGTCTGGAAACTAGAAAAATGCTTATTTTTGGTCCCTTTTTGGCCCCTTATTCATAAACCTTTTAGACAATTACCCCCAAACTCAATTCCAGTTTTCCCTTTGTGATATGGAACCTTGCAGTACAATTTCAGAAAGATCCATACACAAAGACAGACAAGTTATTGTCATGAAACTAGAAAAATGCTTGTTTTTTGCCCCTTTTTTTGCCCCTAATTCCTAAAATTTTGAGGCAATAACCCCCAAAATCAATCCCAGCATTCCCTTTGTGATATGGAACCTTGTGGTACAATGTCAGAGAGATCCATACACTAACACACAAGTTATGTCTGGAAGTTACAAAAATGCTTATTTTTTGTCCCCTTTTTGACCCCTTATTCCTTAACTGTTGGTACCATAACCCCCAAAATAATTCCCAACCTTCCTTTTGTGGTATTGAACCTTATGTTAAAATTTCATAGAGATCCATTCACTTAAACTAAAGTTAGAGTGCGAAAACCAATGTGTCTTTGGACGACATTGATGACGACGATGACGATGACGCCAACGTCATACCAATATACGACCACAAAATTTTTTTGCGGTCGTATAAAAATAACGCGAATATAAATCGTCGCGAAAATTTAAAACTTGGATCTTTCCTTATTTTACTACATCAAGTGAATTTGAAAATCGCGAAATTAAATCGCCGCGAAGTGGGCTAGAAAGGGCTAAACGCGAAATAAAGTATCCTTGATGTCATTTTTAATGGCAAAAAACATTATGACTTTCTTTCAAAGCTTGCTAATCAAAGCTATTTTAATTTTGCCAAATAGCAATTCTGTCTGAGATAGAACATTTTCAATTATAAAGAAATTTACACTGAATTCAGATAAGAACTCAACAATGTGAATGATATATTGTGTGCCTTGTTATCAAAATCATGTAAATGTAACCAAACTGGCAGCTGTTTTAAATATATGCCTAGTTGTGTTGTTTTGAAAGCAGCAAAACAGGCCACTGTTGAATGCAATAAAAGTTTACAGTAGAATATTGCTTTTTTTTTATTAACAAATTTGTATAATGTTCATATTAAAAAGTCCGCATCTACGTCATACGTTTTCACACGACATTGTCATTGTCAGAGGTTGGCAACTATGACTAAAAGTCTGTTTATGGGACTACTTACCTGTACATCCATATCTCTAGCAAGTAACGGCATTGATTCAATAATGTAATAATCAAGTTCTGATCGTCTCCAGACATTTCCTGAACTGTGACCTAGACAGCTGAGCACTAACAACTGGAACAGGAAAGCATCTACTCCTTCTTGTACCTGAAATGAAGATATTGAGTAGAAATTTAATTCCTTTTTGAAATTTGTTAATTTTACCACAAAACCATGATCATATAAACATACAAATATCCTCTTCTGGCTTTATAAACAAGTAAAACTGTGAGCTACTGCTCACTGATGATACCCCCGCCAAAACATTTCGATAAACAGGAAGTTGTTGAGTGATGAATCTGAAAACGCATCACACAGTGTAACTTACTTATATAAACCCTGAAATCAAATTTCAGAAATCCTTGTCAAGTAGTTCATGAGAAAAATGTGACGAAAATTTTCAACTTGGCTATCCTGTGTAAAATAATACAAGTGTTCGGTAAACAGGAAGTTGTTGAGTGATGAATCTGAAAACGCATCACACGGTGTAACTTACTTATATAAACCCTGAAATCAAATTTCAGAAATCCTTGTCAAGTAGTTCCTGAGAAAAATGTGACCAAAATTTTCAATTTGGCTATCATGTGTAAAATAATACAAGTGTTCGGTAAACAGGAAGTTGTTGAGTGATGAATCTGAAAAGGCATCACACAGTGTAGCTTACTTATATAAACCCTGAAACCAAATTTCAGAAATCCTTGTCGAGTAGTTCCTGAGAAAAATGCGACGAAAATATTCATGGGACGGACGGACTGACGGATGGACTGACGGAAGGACAGACAGAGGTAAAACAGTATAGCCCACTTCTTTAAAGCGGGGGTATAAAAAAAATTTAAAAAAAAAAAAACGAACATGTTTTCCATACACACAAAAATGCATTGTTTTTTCATTAGCTGTTTTTCATAAAAAAAACTTCATTTTCAAGAAAAATGATATCTGAACAAATGGTAACATACAACATGTGAAATATCTATGTGAAATATCCTTGGTTCATGACATCGTGGAGCTAATGTCTCCTCCAACAAAATGTCCATTATATCATCAACATTGATAGTTTTCTCATGTAAAGGTATGGTGACATTACTGGCTTTCCGTCTGGTAATGTTAGTTATAAGTTTGTACAAATCTGTCACCATTCTTTTCTTGTACAAGGATTTGCCAACTCCTGCCCTCCATGATTTCACAACTCTTACACTGCATCTAAAATTATTTAATCAGATACTGTTGATTCATTAATATTCATGGGAATTATTCATACCAATTTTTGTGAATTTTGTGGGTATAGATTAACCGATGTTCAACAGAAGTACAATCTTTCTATAGACTTTGGCAAAACCACTTTTCAAATGACTACAAAAATGCAATATTTTCTCTATTCACAAAAATTGGTACGAACTAAACTAAAAGAATCCACAGTAATATTAAGTTAAATGATTCCTGATGCAAGTTGCTTCTGGAAGCTGAGTAATAGAGAGAAAAATGATATAAAGAGGTGTCTAAACACAATAGAGTCAATGGAACTTTCGCAAGTTGAAGCCGTATTAATAATGTATATCATTGAAATCATAACAATGCACTATCAATTATGTGTTGGGGTATAAGGTTCTTTTTATTTGTTATTATTTGTTCCAGGAAAGTGCTTAAATGCAGAAATCATAAAGTATGATGGACAAAAATTTCTCATCAAAAGTCATGCAATCATTAAACTTTGTTGTACAGTAATCCCCCTTTTTTTATTTTTTAAAGACCGCAATTCCTTCTTATGACACCATCAATCTAAAAAAAAAATTTGTTATGTAAAATCTCATCAAAACTCTTTTTTTTTGTAAGACAAACTGTTTTCTGTCCTTTGGAAGTGGACTTTTAAGACAGGATTATAATAGAAAGGTCATACTGTACCAATAATCATCAACATACATCCCATATTTCTGAAGATGTTTGATCTACCTAAATAATCAAAATGAAAGTTGATGACTGCTACAAAACAGAGACGATTTATTATGATGATTCTATCCATTCTTTGTCTGACATTCAAATATCATTGACCAATCCTGTCAGCATTTTTCCATCAGATCTGACAACATACTGTAAACCAACTTATTTTTGCGGATACTTTATTTCGCATTCATTCCTTTCTAGACCACTTTGCTGCAATTTAATTTTGCAATTTTCAAATTTACTTGATGTATTTTAATCAGGGAAGATCCAAGTTTTTTATATTCACAACGATTTATATTCGCGTTATTTTTCTTCTCGCGAAAGTCGCTAAAAATAAATCGCTTGCTTTATGTACAAGAAGTCTAAATACGGCAAATGCCCACTCATGACAACATGTTTGTGATTGTATATTCATTTACCTTTCAAAGTCAACAGCTGATGCAGGTCTTATTCCAGTAGATGACCTTTCAACTTTCAGTTTTGTTAGGAGATATTTTCTGATAGTATTGCCATCTGTAGGAAGTTGTGGTCTACGATATTTATCAAGGGCAGCAACTATCCTCGACCTATCTTCATTTTCACTGCTACATATAACGACCAGTCTATAGTTCCTTCCTACAATAACAATCAAAGGAAACATGCATCATAACAGTAACTGTGGGGGTAAACAATCATTAGACACCATTGCAACAACAAAAGTTCATCAAATTCAGACATTTTGAATTCACAGATGGTCTTCGACGATGAACAAGTGATCACATCATTTGGCAAGTCAAAACTACATTGTCTTGACAACTTGTAAAGGATTCAACAGAAATGGCAGAAAATCACAATTGTTGAAAAAGTTTTTTTTCTTTTTAATTCTTGATTTCAAAAATTGCACAATATTAAATTCTTTGGGATGATCAACACAATGAATTAAAATTGGTATGCCAATGAATAACATTTTCATTGAAGTTATAATGCAAATGTCATCAACCTCTTTATTTAACTTAAACAGAGAATTTCTGTTACTCAAAAAAAGAATTTTGTTAGACTTTACTCATATCTTTCTTACCTTTGCTATCAGCATGTTTCATGTGCCTTTCCAAAGATTTCTCTCCCTTGTCACTGACTTCATAATCAAGCAGATCAGCATTTACTAAACAGTAAACTTTACTGTCGTCTGCAAATAAGGATCTTCTCCAGAATATTTCCAGCTACAAAAAGTTTAAATAAAAACAATTCTATTTCATTGGTATGTTTTGTTTTATTTTCGTCAAGAGGAATTTAAGAATTTTTTTTATATTGAAGATAGGATCATTCAGTGATTATGAATTCTGTACTTGTTTGATATTTATGCTCTATGTCAACTCCCAGAAATCTTAAAAAAAAGAATATTTCTATTTCACAAATTTGTACATTTTCTTATATGTTCTATTTCTAGCAATATTGGTAGGCAGGCGGGGTCAAAGACACATTTTTAAAACTACATAATACAATGATGATTGTTGGATTGAATTTGGCCCAGGAGTTTCAGAGGAGAAGATTTTTACAAAAGTTCACGGACGACAAGTGAGCGAGGTGGCCTATAAATGAAAAAGATATACATTACATATCACATTGGCCTTTTCAGCTAAGCAAGCTAACAACATGAGGATAGAACTGATTATAACTATTTTTTAAGATCTCTATTCTATGATCAAATTACCATATCAAGTGTAGTCTGTGGTGTACAGAGTAACACTTCATCTGATTGTGGAAGTGGTCTATCATCTTCATGGCTGTAGACTGATATTACTGTGTTGTATATATCCCCTACAATAATATTCAAGGATAAAAAATACAGACCCAGAAAAACAAAACAAATAAATGTGGATAGTGTCCACATGTGTCCACAGATGATGCCCCCCCCCCCTTGCATATCATATAGTTATAAAGGGACATAACTGAAGAACGGTAAAAGTGACACTACCCAAATTTGAACTTGATCTGAGTTTTGTGGTAATAAGCATTGTGTGTAAGTCCAATAACATTTGGTTGAAGCTAACTTAGTAGAGAACAGAAACTAAAAATTCAGCATTTTTTTCTATTTGTAAACACGCATAACTCTAGAATGGTTGTGTATAAGTTTTATAACATTTGCTTGAGACAAACTAAAGTTAGAGAACGAAAACGAAAAATTCAGCAATTTTTATGTTTAAAAAGGGACATAACTCAAGAATGGTAAAAGTGTCGCCACCAAATTTCGTAATTAATCTGTATTATGTAGTAATAAGCATTGTTTATATGTTTCATAACATTTGGTTGAGACAAACTCTTAGAGAACGGAAACCAATTTTGGGACGTACTTATAGACAGACAAGGGTAAAACTTAATGCCCCCACTGCTATGGCAGGGGCATAAAAACTTGTAAAGGGTTCTTTCTGTAGAACCCTTTGTCTTGCCTGCAATAGCTGCAGTGTAAATGTGTTAAATTGACTGCCAAAAACTAATATAAAATTAGTAAATGTGGTAATGCTAATGAGACAACCATACACCATTGTGGACAATTCCATTTATTAGTAAAATACGGAAAAAATATAAAAAGCAATTTTGACATATCTATAAATCATATAAACAGCATTTCAAATTTGAGTTGATTATTTCGGCAACATTCTTTTCTCTAACTGTTTCTTTTTCTTTTTTTTCGTTTCAGAGAAAAATTCTGTAAGATGATTTTCTTCATCTTTCCATTTGTTAACTCACCAAAGTTTTCGTATAAAATCACAATTTAGCATATTCAGTTGAGCAATATTAAAATTAACTGTTACTTGAAAAAACTTACGCTGACGACATATAATTAGGTTTGGCTCTCCCATATTAAAACAAGGTAAATATGACCTGTCAACTTCAAACGTTTCTGTAAAGATATTGACGAGAATATCATATTATTATAACATTGAACTTGGTTTCAGATGTAAGTATATCAATATCATCTAAGGCTAACTCAAAGTTAACTGAGCAGACTATACATTAATAAATATTTGGAGAAGGGATTTTGATAAAATGGTAAAGCAGGAACTAAAAAAACATCAACAGGGCAGTGTTTTTTAAATTTTTTGCTGTTTTTCATTTTGATAAGTGCTGGAAGGTTTAAACTTACAAGCAAGGATCCGGAAATTTTTCCACACAATTTCGGTCATTTTGAGATGATTGAAAAGTTGGTGCCCCTTTCCATGTCAACTTGAGTCTTGACTAGATTCATAGCATCAACGAACTTGTATTGCTGTTTCATCGCATTTAAGAAGTAAATGTCTTACCATTCCCATGAAGAACAGTTTAGCGAAGGCAATAGTTTAAAATTGAAATGATTTTAATGACTCAAAATGGTAAATCTCTCAGACATTGCTTACGTTTCTTTCGATTTGACAAAAGTTAAAACCGGAAGTTTGCGATAAAGTTAAAGTACGAATAATTCCGGATTCATTTCCGGGATTTGTTTTGTTTATCAAATTGACAGGAAATCACCGGCTTTTTATGTTTTTTTTTATTTTATTACCTTTAAAAGTGTTTGAATGTAACAGACAATAGTTGCACTCGTTTAATTTAGCATGAAATCAATTTGCATTTTACGATTAAATATTAAATTTGCTGAAGACAATTTCATGCATGCGTATTATACAGTAGATAAAGCACATGAAAAAATACTTTTTTCTCCGTGAATTTAGGTTTAATTTTTAAATCAGATTTGATGATTGTCTTTGCTGAAAAGTAATTAAATAATGAATACACTTGTTAGGGAATTTCAATTTTTGTTAAGATATTATTCTGAGCTTGTGATCACTGTCAGGTGTGAATTAAAACCACAGGTAAAAAGTGATTAGCAATCATTAGCCAATGTTCCCCGGAGGCATTGATATAGATATTAGGAGGGCCCTCAGGATTATCAAACTACTGGAGTGGCAGTTTTATTACAGGAAAGGGATTATAAACAAAACAAGTGATCACAACTTACACAAGACAGTGCAAAATGGCGATTAAGAAATCCAATTTCAAACACTGAGTCAATGGAATGACCGAAATTACTTCTTTAAAAAATTAAAATTTGTCCTAAATCCCAATTACTCGTTTAGGACAAATAGTTTCATCTTAGGACATGACTGGCATATATGACCGTTTCCGGACCCTTGCTTACAAGATTGATAGTCCTTAGTATTCATGCGATTGATTTGAAACTAATTTTTAAATATCAATAAAAGAATATGTGAGGTAAACAGCCATGCTACAGCAACCAAATCAAACCAAAAAGGTTCATTTGTTAAAATCATATAAACAATGCCATGAAAAAATAAGTATTGCTTTTTGCTTAAGGAATTTGAACATACATTAACAATTAAATCACTAAAAAAAATATCATGTTTAATGTTATGTCCTTTACTTGGTAAATTTTAGTTCTATTTTGGTAAAATTGAGAAAGAGAATTACAATAAGGGTCTCATATGCTCTTAAGTTTCCTTTTCATACAAGCCTGAATTTACCTTGTTCTGCAAGTCTATTAAGAATCATCCCTAGATGTTCTACACTAAGATAGTCTGATACACTAGAAGAAATGGATGTAAGAAATGTGTCCCACAAACTTTCCAGAGCTTTGATTAATATTTCTACATTATTTTCTCTGCAAGTAGAAAGTAAAAACATTACTCTTAGATATTTCAATTGCAGCATCATTTCTTAGAAAGAAAGTATAGTATTATCAAAAATATCTTTTTTTTCCAAATTTATTCAAAGAATATCTTTTATTTCCAAATTTATGAAAAAATATCTTTTATTTCCAAAATTATTCATTCATTAATTAGGTCTTTCCATTTTTCTGTGGAAAGACCTATTGTTTTTGTTCTGATTATTATTTTTTTCTTCCACCAAATTTTGTTATCGCGTAAAACTTTTGTTTCTCAATATGTCACTAAGATATTTCTTATATAGTATCATACAGTTTATGTGCTTTTCATTTTCACCCATTCTAAGTCGAACAATTTTCTTTGTAAGATTTATCTCCCTATTCACTGGTTATGAAGTGTGTGCATCTCCTTTGTAACAAAAAAAGATATCGACAAAATTCTTTTTCTAAATTGTTCGTTACATCCTCATGAATTTTTGGCTAATTTGGATCGAAGCGATTCGATGAAATTTTAAAGGAGTTATCTACCTTTACCAAATAAATTTGTCAGTATGTTTTTTTAACTCATAAACCGTTAACCGTATAACCCTGGAATCTTTTTGTTTGAGTCATTAGGTCCTAACTTAGAAAATGAGGTCAAGGTCAAAGGTCAAGGTCAAGTTCTCAATTTTGACTTTTCCTTGTTTTTGCATTTTTCTCAAACACTTTTAAAGATATATATGAAACAACAAGGGCAAAATGTTTGCTTTATTGTAATGAATATATGTTAAATTTGGTCTGAAACAATCTAATGGCATCTTATAGGAGTAAGTGCCCCTGAAATGTCCAATTATAAGGTTAATTGATTATTACTTCAACTTGGTTCATTATAAAGCCATATGACCTTTTACAAAGGTTGGATAACATATGACCTTGAAAAATTACAACCGGAAGTGACCTTGAGAAAACTGGAAGTAGCCATTTTTGCACTTTCTTCATGGAAAAGTACTCGGAATCCATATATTTTGTAATTTTAATACATTAACTTATCACTAGACTAGAAATGACTTTCGATAAACTGGAAGCGGCCAATTATCTCCTGGTTTACAAGCAAAAGTATATAGAAACTATATATTTTTGGAATCAGTGTGAAAGAAACTATTATATGAGACCGGAAGTGACATTTACTTCACCGGAAGTAGCTAATTATCTCGCTTATTTAACTCAGAAGTATATAGAAACCACTTATTTATCGCATCAGTATGAAGAAACTGATGATAAGATGCCAATTTTAACTTTAAGTAAACACGAACTAGCTTCTTTTCAATAAATTTAAAAATTGCTGTGGAAAGACCTTTGGTTTTTAATTTTTTTTTTAATTTTCTGTTAAAATTTGACATTTTCATCCATTTTTGAGAATAACATGTGAAACATGCTATTGAATTACATGAAAATATAACATGTATTGTTTGCATAATTAATAAACTGTTATCACAGAGATATGTCTCGCCTTTTTGTAATTTCGATAATGCAAATGTTGAAATTAAAAAAGCAATACTTTAACATGTAAGTTATGCAAATATTCAAAGTTGATGAACCATGACTGAAGGTACATGGCTGAACATTCTCCATGGAAATGAGATGTGCCAATGTTAATACAACTGAATACCAAATACCATTGACTTATCATAAGTCGTTCCCTTTAAACAAACCTAAACACAAACATTAACTTGTAAACTATGTAAAAGTTTCAAAGTCAATGAACTATGATGAGGGGGTGGGGCTTTATAATCTCCATGGAAATAAAACTTGCAAATGCCAATAAATTTGCATACCAAATATCACTGACATTACATTAGCAGTTCATCTTAAACTGATCTAATCACAAACTAATTCATATAAACTAAGCAAATGTTTCAAAGTCAATAGACCATGACTGAGGGGACGGGGCCAAATATTCTCCATGGAAATGAGATGTGCTAATGCTTATACAACTGAATACCAATTAACATTGACCTACCACTAGTGGTTCCCCATAAATTGACCTAATCACAAACTAAAACATGTAAACTAAGCAAAAGTTTCAAAGTCAATAGACCATGACTAAGGGGGCAGGGCCAAATAATCTCCATGGAAATGAGATGTGCCAATGCTTATACAACTGCATACAAAATATCATTGACCTACCACTTGTGGTTCACCATAAACTAGACCTAATCACAAACTAATACATTGTTGACGCCGCCGTCGCTGACGCCGGAAACAGCATACCTATGTCTCGCTTTTTAACTCCGTCAAGGCGAGTCAAAAATCTAAAAATCTTTAAAACAATGCATAATAAAAATTGCAACTAAATTTATAAACTGAAACAAAAATTGATTAACATTTCAAACGTTTTTGGTTAATATTTTCAAAAAATTACCCAGTTCCCATTCCAAGGTGATCAACTAAACTTCCAGTTACAGATGCCAGAGACTGCACTGACTGTGTCCATCCTGTGAATTGTCTAAAAACTTGTTCCTCTAGTATACCAGGAGATTTCCTGCCTGGTACATCTACATCCATGGCTTGGAAATCATCTTCATTATCCATGCACCAAACTATACCTAAGTAAAGAATTGTTCTTGATCAAATATGAGTCTTAAATCTGATGACTAATAATTTTCAAGTGATATCAATTTGTAAATTTTTTTTTTGTACTTTTTCATGCAAAAAGTCATGAAAATTAAAATAAGAACCAAAAAATAAAACTGAAGAATTTTTTTTTAGATTGAAGAAATAAATGTCTGAAAAAATTCAATGTGTAAACCTAATTAAGTGCAGTCCAGCCAAGTTATGTTTGTATTTCTGACAGACATCATAAATCATATGAAAGCAGCAAGTGCCTGGAAATATCCTTATTCTGTATACACAGCCTTTATATTTATGAAAACTCTTTCTGAAAAGTCTGTGCCAACAAAAAAGTGACAGGTGTGCACTGTAAAATGCTCACCAATTTCAATATTGTAAAAATACAGGGTAGATTACTTTGACTGATAAATAATGTCATAAATTAGCACATACATCTAAATGATGAAAATAACACTTTATAACTTTTCTACATCCGAAGTATTTTTCAGAATTTACATCTCTCAGGAATGCAAGTATGTTTTTCACATTAAAACTGATAAACTGACAAAAACACAAACCTCCATCAACATCATCTGGTCCCACATTTTTCAGAGCTTCTTTTGCAAGCTCCATATTGTATCCGGCTGTTATCATTTCTTGTAAAAATTTACTGGTTTTGATTTCATCTGGTTCCTCCACTTCTACCATTACTTCTTCATCACTTTCTTTTGTTTCTTCTTCTTCTTGTCTTCGTCTATCCATTTGTTCAACATCATCCTTGGCAGCAGACATAGCTTTCACTACATCTTCTTTTGTACATCCCTGCTTAACAGCAGACAACAGTGGATAGATGAGAGCAGTCGGTTCTTTATTGGAGCCAATTTTCACAAGCTCTTGTTGTAATATCACCATCTGATCAATTGTGAAGAAATTCAAGCAATAATATTTTTCTCTCTTCTCGTCAATATATCTCAGCCAATTTTCATGACACTGCTCAAGAAATTTGGCTATTTTCGGTATAATAGCACTGACATCTTGACTGGACTCATCCACTCTCCCCTTTAATGTATGCCTGTCTTCTCCATATCCAAAGTATATGAACGCACAAGCATGTCTTTCTCTGTCACACAAAAATTTAACATGCCACTGAGAGAACAGAACACAACCTTCTTCAACTAGTTTGGCATAAATATTTCCAAGTCTGACTACTCCATCCAAAATCTGTCAGTAAAAAAATCATTTCAATAGAGCTTTCCATTTTTTAATTTTAAGAATCATTTAACTTGACTTTAAAATCATAAATTGTAGTAGTTTATTTCCCCTAACGGCAAACAGCATTGAAGATGATTTCATTCATCAACAAAAATATTTGTATGTGTGTGTGAGAAAATGGTTACTATACTGTAGAAATTAAGACCAAAGCCTTAAATCAAAAGAAAAAATTGCAAGTACAGGCGCACTAATTCATATCAAAGGTAAATTAGAATGAACTAAAGAACCTTAGTGAGCGCGCTCACATACCCCACGTCCCCACATTGTCATTGGAGAAATAAAATATGTGTAAGAAAAAATAATTGTATAAGAAAAAAAAATTGAATCATAATTTCCTGTCAATATGCACATCTACATAGTATGTCCTTATTATCTACAAAGTTTCATGAAATTATGTTGTGTGGTTTCAGAGGAGTTGCGATGACAAACTGTTGCAGTAGTACATTGAAGCAAATAAGTTCAAAGGGGCGCAACTCCTAGAAAAAAAATTGAACCGTAATTTCCTGTCGATATGCACATCTACATAGTATGTCCTTATTATCTAAAAAGGTTTCATGAAATTCTGTTGTGTGGTATCAGAGGAGTAGCGATGACAAACTGTTGCAGTAGTACATTGAAGCAAATAAGTTCAAAGGGGCGTAACTCCTAGAAAAAAAATTGAACCGTAATTTCCTGTCGATATGCACATCTACATAGTATGTCCTTATTATCTAAAAAGGTTTCATGAAATTCTATTGTGTGGCATCAGAGGAGTTGCGATGACAAACTGTTGCAGTAGTACATTAAAGCAAATAAGTTCAAAGGGGCGTAACTCCTAAAAAGAAAATTGAATCGCAATTTACTGTCGATATGCACAACTAGATAGTATGTCCTTATTATCTAAAAAGGTTTCGTGAAATTCTGTTGTGTGGTTTGAGAGGAGTTCCGATGACAAGAAACAGGACTGACGGACTGACGGACGGACAGACTGACGGGTCAAAAACATTATACCCTCCGCCATTCGTTGCGTGGGGTATAAAAACATTTTATATCCGAAACTTCTTGTAATTCAATACTAAACCAACAGTATCTCCTGGCACATAAATAGCAGTTGCATTTAATTTTTGAAATTTTGGAAAGTTATAATGAAGGAAGGACAGACGAGGGTTAAACTAAATGCCCTGGCAAGGCAGAGGAAATCAAGTTTTGAACATTGATGTTTTTTTACTTATAAATGATCACTTAATACCTAGATTTCTTTTGGTTTTGTTGTTGGATAGCTGTCTCAATGATGTATACCTTATTCATATCAAAATTCCTTTACCTCCATAAATCTATCCACTTCATCCTTTCCTTTCTCTGCTTTCCCAGCTACTAACATCAGTCTGGACTGAAGGTCATGGAGTTGATCATATCTGTAGTGCTTTCTCTGTGCTACTTTGCCTTCCTGATCATCTTCGGCAACTCTGAGTTCTAATACTTCTGTCAAGTTCTGGTAAAACAATAAAATCTATCAACTAAACTAGATCTGTGTGTAAACTCACAAAAGGATACTACCGCCCCACAATACTATTACTTTTTCAATGAAGAAAGTAAATTTGATTATCTCCACTTTAAAATGTTGGAATATGATTGTATTCTTGTATGCAGATCCTGTAATACAACTGTATTCTACAAGTTTCATCAATAATCATCTTGCCATTTTAGGGAGTTGCACTAAAAAGGCTCATGGTATTACAAGAGGACTAATGAATGGTGATTCCTATATACCATCCAAAATTTATTAGCAGGGGTTATAATTATGGAGGAAAATAAAATTCTACGATAGTAGTCAATGTCTGTCCACCTAACTGATCTGAAATTTGGTTGGATTTCAACTAGAAAACTTCAAATCATAATTGGATAAATATCATTATTCAAATAATGCTTGCTTTCATTTAAAAATGACCCCTGATTAATGACTCTAAAAAGATGAGTGCAAGTAAACAGATTTTCATCTAAAGTGTCCTAAAATTATTGTCACTAAAATAATTGTCTAATCAAATATTGTGATCCACAGGTGGATTTTTACATGTTCATCCCTCAGTGTGAGAAAATAGAAAACTTGATACCAAAATAAATTTGTGCTTAAACTCAAGCACAAACTGACAATGAAAAACATGTATCTTCCAATTTAGTATGAAAATCAACATCATCTCTACATATCATAACTTAATATGTTGCCATTTATATTTAGTACATTTCAAATGAGCAATAGAGAGTCAATAGAGAATTTCCTTGAAATGTTGTTATCATGTATAAATGTGTCAAAGTATATTTGTTCCGCCTAACAGAAGTTTCCCTGGAAACAATGCTATAATATTTATTCCTGTTGGATTAAATATTCTAAACCCTTTACTTGTAAGTGAAAAAAAATATAATATTTTTTGCAGTGGAAATAATATTACAGAATATTTCTTCTATTTGAAACTTATATTATGAAGGAACTTCTATTTCATGACAAATGTACAAGAAAAGTCAGAGAGCAAATATTACAACAACAAATTTAATTCATCTTTGAAAGTTTCATGAGCAAACAAATCTAAAACACTTAAAATAGATGTAGAAGGTCCAGTAACAACAACACTTTACTGAATGCTCCAGTAATTTATTGAGATCGACATGTTTCGGTGGCTAGGCCACCATCATCCTGATAGAAAACAATACATAAAATCATGCTGAGGTACAAAATCAGGTTGAGAAAATTAAAACGTCACAATGATGCTATGGTGAGTAACGTTATAAATAGCAATTGAAAGAGAAAGTGAAAGTAAGTATATATGGAAGTGAACTATTAGAATAAAATAAAATAAAATAAAAATACAATGTTTTTGTTGTTAAAATGTTTGTTAAAATTGTTCTGCCATCATGTGTTAGCATTCTTGCACAGTGCAACGAATTATACAATAAATTATTGTCAGTTGTGTTCTGTGAAAACTTTGTGTTCAATTAACGTTGTTATTTCCAAATATAGACGACATTTTACTGGCAATTCCGTACCATTTCGACTGGCTTCCCTTGGCCAGAGGTACTACTCCCAATCGCGTCGGGATGCTGTAAAGTGTTTGACCGCTGAAGGTATAGGGAAAATTAAATAAAATGATATCGCTGGTCTATGATGAATGTAAATGTTGTGTTCCTCCATTAAACTATCGGAAGTGGCTGGTAATCTTGTAATCTGGTAAAGTTGGTAGTATGTATGATTAACGTATTTTCTGGAACTTACTTCAAAGTGAATTTCATAATAAGAAGTCTATAATTGCCAATAAATTCTGTAAGAGAAAAATAGTCTTATCACAGTTCTTTTCCTCCTTTGCACTCGTTTTTGGTTGAGATGGTTCATCATAATTTACTTTCTTTGCGCCTGTTGAATGCCTGATAGCATTTTAGGAAGGCCGGTTCCTGTTGGTGCCTCAATGATATAATTGTTTGTTTTACTACGTGCGGATGGCTAACAAGATTAGCGTATGTTGCAACGGCGGTTCCCGAAGGATGCAGGGGTTCAACGATCAAAATTGAAAAAATTAAAACCAAGGGAACCAACGCCTAGTAAATCTTCTGTCAGTAGATTCCATAAAGTGGATACCTCAGGTATGCAGGGTCGTAACGTATCGTAACGACCCTGCATACCCGAGGTATCCACTTTATGGAATCTACTGACAGAAGATTTACCAGGCGTTGGTTCACTTGTGTTTTAACTTAAAATAGATGTATCAAACTTACTGTTTTTCTAAGATTTTCAATTTTCTTGAGGTTTCCTACTTGATAAATTCCCTTGGTGTTTATAGCTTCAGCCTGTTGAAGGGAGCTAACTTCTACTGAACCATGAGATCTCTTTACAGTCTGTAACCATGCCAACTGTCTGTTGGTATCAATCTAAACAAACACAGAGGATTATATAGTTATTTTCATATTTTTCAGTTTCTGGTTAAAAACAAATCTAATGTCTATCTAGTTTTATAGTTCTCATAAAAATTAATTATGACTTTCAATCATTTTTACAATACTAACAATTTGCCTCAGTCTACATCTACTGTTTCACCTGAGACCTGAGAAATATTGATTTTAAATGTTTAAATAAGTTGAAATAAAATTCAAACTGAACTGCACAGTTGCAAAAAAAATACTGGTTAAGGGATCATAGATTTATTCTTATGAGGAAGCTCCGAGCATGCTCGGAGGATGCTCGGAGCTTTTTAAGTAGGCTCTTCTCAGCAGTTTATGTGACAATAATTATCATGATCTATTAAGATGTCAATCAAATCTATAGCACTTCTATAATAAGGAAAGTAAAGCATTATAGAGGAAGCTCAATTAACACCTGTGTAAACATCTGGTATATTCAAATACATTTTGCATGAAATTTACAAAACTATAAAATAGATTAGAAATTCTTCAACAGTACTGGGAAATGCTTGGAAAGAAATGTCGTCTCCACAAAAAGTAAAAGTCATTCAAATATTTTCTTATTATATTGAATAACCATTCTTTTTTAATAATAAAAAAAATTCTTAAATTTTATAATTAGATTATATAATTTAGATATAGTTTACACTATATAATATGCTACATAAAAGTCATCAAGACACAAACAACAGTCAGGGGGCGATACTAAACAAGTTAATTTTTTTTAGTTACTTATAATTTTTTTTCGTTTTTAAAAATTATTTAATAACTCAATAGTTATTTTAAATGTCAATAGTAGCATGGACTAAATGTAGTTTTTAAGAATTTTATATAATTTTATTAAATAAAATTAAGTATTTATCAAATGTGAGATAAGTATAGAGATAAAAGGTTACTTTAAAAATAAGGACAAAATTATTACTTTTATAAATTATTTTATACATCTTTGAAAAACTTAGTACTTATAATTATTTATGGAATATATGTTATTGTTTTAGATTACACATTATAAATAACTTCAAGTCTTAATTTAATCACAAGGTTCCATCTATTTATATTTGTCTACCATTAAGATTTTAAAGGAAAATGGTATTTTAATAGTCCCAAGAGGACAATCATTGACCCAGAAGGGTGCCTCAGAAAGTCAATAAGTGTTTCAGGAGGATTAGTTTTATATTTCATGGGAAAAATAACCAGATGTCTGTGAAAATTTGTTAAAGCTATTAAAACCTGTATGAATGGACACATATAAAAATGATATTAAAATAAGTTACTTATACATGAAATAGAAGTAATATATGATATAGCATCGTTTTTAACATAAATTGCCTAGGTAATTTTGAAAAATAATTGTTTAAGTAATATGCCCCTAACTAAACAATGGAAATATGTTTTTTTATATATATATGTAACACTCCCAAACGTGTCCATCCCCCCAAACGTGTCCGATTCCCCCAAACGTGTCTATTTCCCCCAAACGTGTCCTTAAAAGTTGATATCGCCCAAACGTGTCCAATTTCATTACCCCCAAACGTGTCCGATAATTGTTATTCGCCAAAACGTGTCCACTGTAAAACGCCAGAACGTCTCGCGTCTTTTAGCGCTAATGCATGTATGTTCTAAATGAAATCAATAACGTTTACGGCAATTCTACGATGGGGGACACAGTTGACTAAGTGGTCATTTATTAGCATTAGTTTGTTCAATACCGGTTGTTAATGATTATCATAATTGCAAATTTAATATGTAACATATGAATTAACTTTTGACTGAATTTGCTTATTGTCCAGTTGCAAGTATTTCATGCTCATTTAGAGCGAACATACAAATAATTCTAGTGCAGTTGAATTAATCGTTTACTATGTAAATTATTTTTTACTAATAAACTCCGATGATGACTTTTATATTAATTCAACGGCGGGCTTTCAGCAGAATTGACTTCCCTATTTTCAACAGTTCTGATATTTTAAAAGCTCTTCAAATCAAAAACTGGTTTTGCGGGTTTCTAATAAATTTTAGGTTTCGAGCATCACTAAAGACACACGAACAAGAGAAATAACGTCCAGTGCCAAATATTTCATGCATTATTTGAACGAAATCATGTTAACAATAAATACTGTAGATAAGTTCTATCATCATACCGGACATTTAGGATTGGGCCTAAATTTTTACGGTTATTCGGGATTAACACTAGTTGGGATTTTAATCTAAAAAAATTAAGAGCGAATAAAGACCAATTTTTCAATGACTCCAGTAAGAAACTACTTCAGTCTCTGTTATGTAATAGAGGCCGTTTTAAATAAAAGTTGCGGAAACTTAAAAAAAAAACGTTGCCTTCCAATATACAACTGATGGCACCATGAAAGAGTGAAATGCTACAAAGGTTTTAATGCACAGAGAATGGGACATAGAGGTATCTGATTTAATATCTACAATTTAACTGAGCCTGGATCCAACATAGCCGAAACTGACGCCCCCACTTTTAACTGCCGGTTTGAAAAAGACCTAAAGTAATTTATTTCTATTTTTTAATGAAATAGTAAAATGATTATACGTTATTGAAAAAAACAATAATTAAATAACCTACGTATTTATAATATGGACACGAATGATAGTTCCAGTAAAAGAAAAAAATTAAGCTTTATATGGACACGTTTGGGTGTTCATTAAAAAATGGACACGTTTGGGCGTTTAGACAAATGACACGCTTTGGCGCCCTTTTACATTTAGACATGTTTTGCAGTTCAGTGACGTCGTGTGGACACGTTTGGGGGAATCGGACACGTTTGGGGGGAAGGACACGTTTCTGAGTGTTACATATATAAAATAGCAAACTTAGTTCTTTTATAGAAAATTATGGCTACTTTAGGAAAAGTTGTAATTCAATATTGGAAGGCTGGTTTGAGGGGGTAATATCACCATTGTTTTTCCCCTAGTACGTCTCTGTTTAATTGACTTTTTTTTTAATTGTGTAGAATTCATCTTTGTTTTAAATAAAGAGATATTTGGCATGAGTAAAGTTTTATCCTGTCAATTACTACAGGGAAAATTTAACATAAAATTGTTTTTCCCCCATAAGTCTTTGTTTTTTTTGCCTTTTTTTTATTAAATGTGATGAATTTATCTATGTTTTAAATAAAGAGATATTTGGCATGAGTAAAGTTTTATCCTGTCAATTACTACAGGGAAAATTTAACATAAAATTGTTTTTCCCCCATAAGTCTTTGTTTAATTTGCCTTTTTTTTTTATTAAATGTGATGAATTTATCTATGTTTTAAATAAAGAAATACTCTACATGAGTGAAGTTTTATCCTGTCCAGTACTACAGTGAAAATACAACATAACTTTTCATTGCAGATAAGATATTAAACGTCACCAGAAGTTAACCAGTCAAATTCCTCTCCCCCTTTTTTTTCCTGTTTACCAGCTTTAGTAGCAATGTCCCCTTAAATTTCCAAAATATTTTATAGCAACACCAATAGAATTTTTTATTGCTTTGAAACACCCAAGATACATGTTAACGACCCAAAAAAAAACTTTCTGCAATGAAATGCAGGGTTAATTTCCAACAACTGTCAAATTAAATGGAATATAAAAAAATCAACCATTTCTGGCTTGAAACTGAATGTACTATATTTTGGTGGTTACACCTGAAAGAATTTTGACAATATAACGGAGTAAAATGAATGGATTTTAGTTCAGCAATCCTCTATTTCCTTTTCTCGAATGACTTTTTAATATATATAAACAACTTCTATCAAAAGGAAAGTAAAGCAATGTAGAGGAAGCTCAGTTAACGCCTGTATGTAGAAAGTCATTTTATATAGGCCTTTATCAGTACATACTATCAATATAAAACAGATCCTAAAAATACTAAAAAAAATTTCTATAAGATTCAAACTAGTAATTTTTTTTTTTTAAGCTTCATGAGTATAATTATAAAAAAAAAAAAATCATAAATCAAAGTTAGTAAGAATTTCAGGCATAATTATGTTCATTAGTATAGGACATTGTGGCAGTTGTTTGGAGTTGAATTAATTATTTTTTGCTTGTTTTATGTTATTTAATATTCAATTCATACAAGTAAAATATGATCACACAATTTAAAAGTAAATATTGATACAAGTCACTCTGCAGTCTGTCCAATAATACTGTTTAGAAATCTGTGTAGGCGCAAAACATTATTATAAAAGGTTTATATCACAGCATGATACATTATATAAACATTATTATAAGTTTGAGGGAATAACCCATTTTACAGTTTCAGTAGGGATAATTATCTTAGAGCATCCTCTTTTATGCTCCATATTAAATATTTTGTTAATATTAAAATGCTGTATGCTGTTAAATAAAAAACATCTTCAACAATAATAATTGATTCCAATTTTAAATACAGTTATAAAAAAATAAGATAGAAACAGACGATATTGGATTATTTTATATATGGTAGATAAATAATATTTGAACCCCTAAACTAAAGTGGTATAGTCGTGACTACCTATTGTCATGTTCCTACAGTCATAAGAGTCGTATGCTGAATCAAAAATGCTTTTAAGCAAACCAATTGAACTATAATTACTATACATCTTTAAATATTTGTAAGTGAGGGACCTAGAACATATAAGTCAAGTCTGCAAATTATTCAAGAAAATTGCCTGTTCTCTAGGCCTCAAACACTAAAACTTCTAAATTCCATTTTCCTAACTTGAAATAAATTATTACAAGAATTTTTAACTGCAGTTATAATACATAATATAAAATAACAGTATGTTTTAAACTGGTATTCAATTGACTTAAAGCATTAGGGTAATGAATCAAAATTCTAAATTTTAAGCAGACAGCAAAATAGATTGTGTAAATGACTTTTCAATTTTATGATAATTTGCTCTTCTGTTCACATACATGTATATAAATAGAAAAAGGAGGTTGATATGAAATGGAAATCTTGCAATTATCATTCAGGGATATCAAATGTAATTATGACTTTCTGCATTTTGATAAAGCTTAAAAGAGATACTAGAAAAAATAAGTTGACATTTTTTATACAAATCAATGTAATGAAGAACTAGAATTTAAAATAAAAGACAAAAGGGATTTCAGAACAAAGTATAATTTTTTGTTGTAAAGTTTTTGGTCCACTGAATCCATTTAATTATCATAAAAACAAAATCAAAAAATTTATTCAAGAAATAGATATAGAGGATTACTGAAGTAAAATCAATTTATCATAATTATTATATTGTGAACAGTCTTTCAACCCAGCCTATGAATTACAACTTTTTCCCAAAGTAGCCATCATTTTCTATTAAAGAACTAAAGTTTGCTATTGCATATAAAGTTTAACAAATGATTATAAATCTACTACCATAATATAGTTTTTGTCTTTGTTGACTTTTATGTTTAATTTTATGTAGTATAAATTTAATTAAGCTATATTTATATTTTAAATATAAAATTTGAGTATTTTTTTTTTTGCATTGAAAAAGAATGATTATAAATAAGCAAATATTTTAAAAACATTATCTTCCTGTGAAGACTTGATATTTCTTGCCAAGCATTGTACAGTACTATTGAAGAATTTCTTATCTATTTTATAGTTTTGTAAATTTCATTCAAGATTTAATTGAATAGACCAGATGTTTACACAGGTGTTAATTGAGCTTCCTCTATAATGCTCTATCTTCCTTATTATAGAAGTGCTATAGATTTGATTGACATCTTAATGGATCATGATAATTTTTATCACATAAACTGCTGAGAAGAGCCTACTAAAAAAGCTCCAAGCATCCTCCGAGCATGCTCCGAGCTTCCTCGTAAGAATAAATCTATCATCCCTAACAGCTGAATGGTTGTTAGTTGTATAGACTTAAATTTTACATGTATCGTGAGTTATGACATACCAATTTCCTTGGAAGTTCTGGGTTTGCTAACAATTCTTTCCAGACCTCTTGACACTTATTCAGGAAGATCTTTGTATTGCAGTCTTTCTCCAAATTGAATATCAATGGAGCATATCCAGTTGTCGCAGAGTGGAGACAGTTCACCTTATCAATCTCCATGTCTCCTTCTCCAGCAGAAATACTAGCCAAGTCAACGAACACCTTCAGTTCTTTCAGCCCAGCTGAAAATAGATATTGTGACAGGATTGCTTCCCTTAGATGATATAGTAGATCAGGGAAGTACTTCATTAGCTCAGTCGGTTAATATGCTGCCTTGTAACACAGAGGTCCCGGGTTCTAGTCCCGGAGGAGACAAGCAATTTTGTAATGAAAATCATGCTCTCTGGTTACAATATCAATATCCAAATGAACAAGTTTTTAAAGGACATGAACAACTTTCTGACCCAATATGTACAGTATTTTATCATTTATTTATTTTACATAAAACACTTTATAGACTAATTTATTAAGTTATTTTAACCAAAAAATGGCATATACTGTGGATTCATTATATATAATTAATGTTTGTGAGATACAAATTTTCATGGATTTCACTGGTACAGGTGAACCACAAATTTAAAAGTGCAACTTACTACAATTTTTCTATAGGCTTGGTTGCAAGTTTTGCAAGACCACAAAAAAAAATAACACGGAACATACCATGTTTCATTAATCCAGAAAAATTAGTATCCATGAAAAATAAATGAATCCACAGTAGTTAAATTTGTCTCCATTACCAAGTAAAAATGTAAAAACATTGCTGTAAACGAATAAAAGTAATGTAGTCTTTACTTCCCTTTAATTCTATGTAATTGATATTTTAGCATTAAACAGGTAAGAAAGCAGCTTCCTTTATGTCATGTACCAAAAAGCACATATGCGAACAAATATTAATTACAGACTACCTACATGGCATGGATTCTCTCAGCCAATCAACAAGCTGTTTACATCTTATAAATGTTTTCAAACATTCAGCTCTCTCTTTTTTAACTTCCCTTAGAATAGAACAGGTTTTCAGTAATGATTTGTCAAGCTTATTCATATTGGTGTCAGCTCCTTTGGTCTAAAGATAGAAAAAAATCAATGGTGGATTTCTAGAAAAAAAAACTGTAAATTCTACTCAGAGTTCTTTAAAAAAAACCTATTAAAAACCATCAGTTTAAGCATGCTTAAGAAAATTATTGGATACCTTATGCCACCAGGTTAATTAATATAATGCAATAACAGATAAGTTGCATACAGATAGCACTTTGCCAATAACTTAAGACAAACATGTTAGTCTTATATATAAAATTCAATTTACTTCAGTTTTATAAATATAGGTCAATACCAAGTTCCCTGATTTCCAAACATGTCAAACTGTTATGTCATTTCGTCTCCGGTGGAGAGTTGTCTCATTTGCAATCATACCACATCGTCTTATTTTTACATTGAAGGATACCTTAGCAGGGTCTCATTGCTTCCTAGACACATTTGGTTCACAAAAACACTGTTTTAAACAAATCAATGTCTCAGGTTACATTTGCACAAAAATTTCAAAATTAAAACATAATGCTACTCATACTCAATAAGAAAAGTGAATATATTGCTGAATTCTAGCTAGTGAGAAATAAATTCTAAGTAAGTCCTGATCCTGAAAATGAGGGATATTTTCCAAATTTAAGGACAAAATCAGAATAATAAATCAAATGATATATGGTTTATCTACTCGAAAATGGATCTATTAGAGACAGAAACTTGCAATGCAGGTTGACAATTTCAATGTTTTCTATATAGACTGCGCTTTGATGTCCAACACCCCAGCAAGTCATAAAATGGTTTTCCAACATCAGAGCAATCTCAGACAAATTTGTTGCAAGAAAATAGAATAGCATGCACTTGTTCTGAGTCTAAATATAAATTCTAAAACTGATTCCCCTCCCACAGTTAACATATTCAAACTTACAAATTTGCATATTGTGATGATTTGATTAAAGTCTCCCTGCAAATCAAATGCTTTTACCACTTCTAGTATTGCTTCAGCGCCAAATTCGCAACTTTTCAAATTTCGATATTTTTCTACTTGGTCAAGTCTTTCATCTACCCATCTTGTATTTCCTTCCCTTTCGAGTAGGGTCAGTTCATCTCTCAAATTTCCAATTTCTGTATTTCTGAAAAATCTTTCAAATTCAGAAAAAAACAGATCTCCCCTTTTCAGCCTCTGACAAATAGTTTTCCATTGATTTGCAGTAGGTTCCCAAACCTCACTCAAAACTTCTTGTATAGTAAGTTTTCTGTTTTTTTCTTTCTTTAATTCAAAGCCGCATTCTTCCCACAATTTGGTAAAAAGAAGTCCTCTACTACATTCTACTATGTCTGGTAGAATATCTAGTTGGTCTTGACTTAGTTCAAAGACTTTGACAAATGGCCTATGCCTCTCTATATCAGTTATTTCATCAAACTGTAAGGTCTTAACAAGCCGGTTGATAGGAAATGTACCTAAATCGTCCAATTTTTTTATCTGATCCTCCATTACAGTGGTGTTGGCTGTAAAAGTTTAGCAAATTTTATATTATATCTAATTATATTCCATTACCATGCATAAAAAGTTTTTAAAATATTGGTAAATGGGAAAGATTTTGCTAGCATAAGAAATTATGATCTCCCACTTAGAAAGTAATAAAAACTGTTACCTGATACTGTTTACAATTTCAGAAGCTGGGAACCATATTAAGATATTAAAGCTTTAATACAAACAGCATACAACAGTTTGGAAAATGTTATTACACAGATTATTACTAAAATATTTTTTGATTATGGTATGCTTAATAGATATTTCAATTGAATTTATATTTTCATATTCAAAACAATATTTGAATGCTTACCTTTACAATAGATGCAATAGGATAAGAATTCCTTCACTATTTTGAGTGTTTCTGTATAAGCTTGTAATTCCTTTTCCCTAAGGTTCAATGTCATCATTGTAGCTTTAACATTCACATCTTTCAAAGACTGTATTGTTTTCTGGAAGTTCATTCGTTTCTCCAGAATTATTTTTATGTCTTTGACCATTATTTCCCCTTTGAACAGCTGAATAATAGCACCATTCAAAACCTTGATGGAGCGATCCAAAAGGTGGAGAGAATCTTCTTTCAAATGTTTGGAAAATTTGTCTGGCAAAATCAAATTGAAGCAACATAACCACATAAAATTAACTTTCATGTCAAACTAATGGTTTTAAACATGGACAGCAAAACACAGTTATTTTAAAGTAAAAATTGGATCATAATTGCAACTTACAACTTTATATGTTTACCAAATATATCACTTTGTTTTGGTTTATAAGAATAAGAAAATGGAAATGGCATGATAATATAATATTTAAGCAAGTCTTAAATTGTTTTTTGATTGATGCAGAAGATTTTCAGAAATAAACTGGTTGTTGAAAACAAATGAAATAGCTCTTGTGATAAAACACGCTGAAATGTCTCGCCTGCTTTACTGACCATTGATTATATGTTGATAGTCTTCAATATAAAGTTTTACTACAAGTATCACATCAACTTAACATGATCCAAGAAAATGAGGTCAAGGTTAGATAAACATGTACACCTTACAATCATTCCATACACTGAATATAGTTGACCAGTTGCTTACAGTATACAAGAAACAGACAAAACCACGAAAAATTTATAATTAACAAATGAATCATGAAAATGAGATTAAGGTCAGATGAACCCTGCCAGACAGACATTTACACCTTACAATCATTCCATGCATCAAATATAGTTGACATATCCCATATAGTATCTAAGAAACAAACTTTACAAGGAAAACTTATCATTGACCAATTAACCATGAAAATGAGGTCAAGGTCAGATGATACCTGCCAGAAAGACATATACACCTCACAATCATGCCATACACCAAATGTGGTTGACCTATTGCTTATAGTTTAAGAAAAACAGACCAAAACACAAAAAATTTAACGTTGAACAATGAACCGTGAAAATTAGGTCAAGGTCAAATTAAACCTACCAGACTGAGATGTACATCATAAAATATTTCCATACACCAAATATAGTTGACCTGTTGCATACAGTATTAGAAAAACAGACCAAAACACAAAAACTTAACATTAACCACTGAACTCTTGAAAATGAGGTCAAGGTCAGATGACACCTGCCAGTTGGACATGTACACCTTACCATCATTCCATACATCAAATATAGTAGATCTATTGCTTATAGTATCTGAGATATGGACTTGGCCACAAAAACGTTACCTTGTTCACTGATGCATGAAATGAGGTTGAGGTCTAGTGAAAACTGTCTGACAGGCATGAGGACCTTGCAAGGTATGCAAATACCAAATACAGTTATCCTATTACTCATAATAAGAGAAATTAACATTGCAAAAAATCTTAACTTTTTTTTCAAGTAGTCACTAAACCATGAAAATGGGGTCAAGAACAATGGACATATGACAGATGGAAACTTCATAACATAAGGCATCTATATACAAAGTATGAAGCATCTATGTCTTCTACCTTCTGAAATATCAAGCTTTTAAGTATTTAGTTAACGCTGCTCTGGGATCACTATCCCTATGTCTCGCTTTCTGCGACAGAAGTGGTAGGTGCGACAAAAATTATATAGAGTTGACCACTTGAAAAAAAACAATAAATGATTTTGGTTGTAGTCTGTTTTAAAAGTGAAAAATCTATTGCAATTCATTGTACTGTGCATGTACTGATTTTGTGTCATGGATGGATAATTAATATCCTTTGTTTATCTATTAAAAGCATAGTTTTCTTATATTACTCCATCCACCTATAAATCTTATCCTCTAATGTGACCTATATCAGTCTTATCTTAAGAAAAAGACATTGCCATAACAGCATATTATTCTGACATTAAAAATTTATTACTAAATACTTAACACATTAAGGGATTATTTACTTAGTATTACAATCAATACATACAATACATTTCAATGAATGTTGGGAATGATGCCCATGTAACAGCATGCTCTAAAATTTGATGTGGGTCTCTGGTCTGAGTTTTTTCCCAGCTACGCTCCAAAACACTATTAATCAAATCTCCCATTCTCATCACAACTCGGTCTTCTCTCATGATTTCCATATCAAAGTCAAATTCATGAATTGCCTGTATAATGAAATCAAGAGAATTATATTATTGAAACTCCATGCAGCTTCCATAAAACTTGTGAAAAAAATGCTACCAGAAATGTTTATATTAAGACATAACTTATGAAAAATGCCTATTAGGGCCTAAAATCTTTAGCAAGTTATCTTTACAAAATGTCTGTACTACCATCAAATTATATTTAACTCATAATGTACCTCTAATTGTAAATATTTATCTATTCTACTATTGCATTATTTTTTTGGGGAAATATATGACACTAGCACAAATAAATTTGTGAACTGGTTATGAAGAGCTTCAATATATGTCCTTACTACAAACAGACAGAGGAAGAGAATGTATCTATTGATGTGAGTGAAAACATTTCCAAAACACAACACTCTTATCAAAAAGGTGAATCTACATTAAAAAGATCTGTTTTAAAGTATGAACTTTTCCTTTCTTTTTGTATTTAGTTTAATTTCAAAAGATAGTTTTATGATCCAGTGCTGAGTTTGATGAATTCCAGTTTGAGGGAAAAAATTTGCAAACGAAATAGATCAAACATCTAACTTAGTTATAAGTTCTTTTTAAAGATGTTGCACAAACCTTGAAAGCAATCTCACTCAACATAGCCTGTATGGTACTTTCAAATTGTTCATTCTGAATCAAATAAATCTTTATCAAGGCCTGACTTGAGCTCTGTAATAAAAGTGAGTAAAATCACATCTATAGTCATTCATTAATTTACTGATGGTTGCAAAAGGTTCTGCAGCAAATTTTATACATGTCAAATTAATGATATATATATATATATAAGATATAATACAGTTAAAAGACAACATATAAAGAAATTGACCATTTAAAGAAAAAATTTGGTTGCAACATAATTAATTTCCTTCAAGCTTTGAAAAATCCATTTATTTTATTATATAAAAAGTAAAAGAATATTTTGGAAAATGTAATTCATTATTTTTCTTTTTCTCTTATTTCAATATCAACTCAACCTATCTACCTAAGCATATTTGACATTGCAGTACAATACAAGTCTATGTAAAAAACAACTTTACCACTCTTTGTAACTCCATCTTCAATTGCTCCTCCACATATTTCATGTAACTGTCTTTAATATTCCCTTTAGGTACTTTGACTCTTAGGGCAGCATTCCAACGCTTAAATGTAAATTTAAAAATACGGACGGTTTTTTTTCTTCTTGTACAACACATCTATGAATAAAATGCTCCGCAGGGCGCAGCTTGATACGACCGCAGAGGTCGAACCCTGAACAGTTGGGGCAAGTATGGACACAACATTCAAGCTTGATACAGCTTTGCATTTGGATTGTGATTAAATATTTGACACAGCATAGGTTTCTGACACAGAATGAATGTGGTCTAAGAACTTAAAAATTTTAAATTGGACATTCACCTATTATGGTCCAATATCCAAAATCTAAATACATGGTTAGATTCAGCATATCAAAGAACCCCAAGAATTTAATTTTTGATGAAATCAAACAAAGTTTAATTTTGGATCCTTTTGACCTCAATGTGGACAAAGTTGATAACGGTGCCCAAAAAATCAAAAATCTAAATACATGGTTAGATTCAGCATATCAAAGAACCCCATATATTCAATTTTTGTTGAAATCAAACAAAAAAAAAAAGTTTAATTTTGGACCCCGATTTGGACCAATTTGAAAACGGAACCAAAAATTAAGAATCTAAATACACGGTTAGATTCGGCATATCAAAGAACATCAATAATTCAATTTTTGATGAAATCAAACAAAGTTTAATTTTGGACCCTTTGGACCTCAATGTGGACCAATTTAAAAACGGGGCCCAAAATCCAAAAACTAAATACACGGTTAGATTCAGCATATTAAAGAACCCCAAGAATTCAAGAATAAAACCCCATTGAAATTGGTCAAGAAATAAGCAATTTATACGAAGTATCTTCTTTTGCACAATACTGTGCAATTAAATATTTCTTGCTATTGCGCAATACTGTACAATTGACAATTTCTTGCTATTGCGCAGTATTGTGCTATTGGATATTTCTTGCTATTGCGCAATACTGTGCAATTGAAGATTTCTTGCTATTGCGCAATACTGTGCAATTGAAGATTTCTTGCTATTGTGCAATACTGTGCAATTGAAAATTTCTTGCTATTGCACAATACTTATTATATAATAATTTACACATCCTGTTTGGTGTGTATCTCCTACCACATCATTATTATTTGCTTTTAAATATAAATCAGAAATAACCAACTTAAAATGGAAAATTTTAAAAGAAAAAAAAAAGGAAAAAAAGAAAAAAAAGGAAAAAAAAAAAAGCCCCCCCTCCCAAAATTTTTGAACCTCCTTATGATTCATCACCCCCAAACTCAATCCCAGCCTTCCCTTTGTGGTATGGTACCTTGCAGTACAATTTCAGAGAGATCCATACACTTGAACACAAGTTATTGTCTGGAAACTAGAAAAATGTGTTTTTTGGCCCCAAATTCCTAAACGTTTAGGGCAATTACCCCCAAACTCAAACCCAGCTTTCCCTTTGTGATATGGAACCTTGTAGTACAATTTCAGAAAGATCCATACACTTACACACAAGTTATTGTCCTGAAACTAGAAAAATTCTTGTTCTTTGCCCCTTTTTGGCCCCTAATTCCAAAAATATTGAGGCAATTACCCCCATCATCAATCCCAGCCTTCCCTTTGTTGTATGGTACCTTGCAGTACAATTTCAGAGAGATCCATACACTTGAACACAAGTTATTGTCTGGAAACTAGAAAAATGTTTATTTTTGGCCCCTTTTTGGCCCCCAATTCCTTAACGTTTCGGCAATGACCCCCAAACTCAATTCCAGCTTTCCCTTTGTGATATGGAACCTTGTAGTACAATTTAAGAAAGATCCATACACTTACACACAAGTTATTGTCTGGAAACTAGAAAAATGCTTGTTTTTTGGCCCTTTTTTGGCCCCTTATTCCAAAAATTTTGAGGCAATTACCCCAAAATCAATCCCAGCATTCCTTTTGTGATATGGAACCTTGTGGTACAATGTCAGAGAGATCCATACACTAACACACAAGTTATTTCTGGAAGTTACAAAAATTTCATAGAGATCCATTCACTTAAACTAAAGTTAGAGTGCGAAAACCAATGTGTCTTCGGACAACGACGACGACGACTACAACGACGACGCCAACGTCATACCAATATACGACCAAAAAAATTTGTTTGCGGTCGTATAAAAACAAACCAATGTAAAGTAGGTATATAGTATATTTTTATGATTGAATTGCACTGGTTAACTTACTGTGATAACATTAGCATTGTGCATTGGTAATGTATAGAAAAATGCACAAATGAGAAAGTGGTCTATTAATTCATAAGTTTAAATTCAAAATCATGACACAAAAACTGATTCAAAGTAACAGCTATTTAAATGCTGTTTTTTAACCGAAAGTTAAAGTGATACCTTAAACAGGGAGTCAAAGATCATGCCTCACTGTACGATCAAAACAGTCCCTAGTACCAGTGTAAGAGTATGTCATGAATCCTGAATTTGACTCTTAAAATTATATTTTGTCCTAAATCACTCCCATTCCAGGAACTGATACTAATACACTTGAATACATAGAAACAGAGAATGGAAACAGGGAATGTGTCAAAGAGACAACAACCCAACCAAAGAGCAGAAAACAGCTCAAGGCCACCAATAGGTCCTCACCGCATGGTTAGATAGAAATTATATTTTTCTATTAATACAAGAGTTGTATAAAGATTTGTTAAAAGATAAATAAACAGCTGCGCCATGAGCGCATAATACGCCCGTCGTCTTGTGTGTGAATTTTTATGCAATAATCATAAATAGTTTCTGACATACAGCGCGACATGCGAAAACCCCCCTTTTTTTACAAAAAAACTCAATATCTCTAAAATAAAACTTTGATTCAAAACCAAAAAGTATACAGATCTTTAGATTAATATAACTAAGAAGTGTGTAAAATTTTAAGCAATAATCATAAATTGTTTTTGAGATACGGCGCGACATGTGAAAAACCCCTCCCCCTTTTTTTACAAAATACTCAATAACTCAAAAATAAAATTGTGAATCATCACCAAAAAGTATACAGATCTTAAGATTAATATAAGTAAGAAGTGTGTAAAGCTTTAAGCAATAATCATAAATTGTTTTTGAGATACGGTGCGACATGTGAAAAAAAACACACACCTGTTTTAGTTACTAAGTCCCGTAACTCAAAAAGTTTTAATCTTATTTTCACCAAAAAGTATACAGATCGTTTGACCATCATAAGAAACAACAATGTTAAGTTTCATGAAATATGGATAAGTCGTTCTCAAGTTACGGTGCGACATGTTTACGCCGGACAGACAGACGACATTTGTATACCATAATACGTCCCGTCAAATTTTGACGGCGTATAAAAACAGATCATTTTAACAGGTACTATATAGTACTTTCAAATTGACAGAAAAAGGCTGGAAATGAAAAATTTAAAAGCAGATATCCAGAGATCCTCTGTAAAGAGGAATAATTCTTTCTCAAATATAATTCTAGAAGCAATCTAAAAGCTTTTTTTTTTTTCTTTTGATAAAAGTTGATGGATTACAATTTGAAGATACGGGTAAGTAGGTAGGAAATCTTCTCTATACTGGTAATTTTTTCACCTTGAGTGTATGAGCAGCCATAAAAGTTTTTCATAAATCAAAACTAAAAAAAAAAGGCCAATAAAAACCTTGGATAGGCATTTTGAGGAATAAAAAAATATTGTCATTAAGTAGTAACATGATAAACACCACTGCATTGAAAAATATATCATTTTCAGATATTACCAGCTTGCCTAATTACCTCCAGATAAGCTAATTCCTCACTATAAAATGTTTGATTAGACAGATATTTAGAGATATCAAATCTCATTCGTTCAAACATCTTCAAATGACTGTCTTGTGATACTTTTATATCTTTTATTTCCTTTGATTTCCAATCTATTTTTTCCTGTGCTTTGTCATACATATCTAATGACACAAGGAATGCTTCAATGGCAAATACAGCAATATCTCTGTTCATCCTGTACTTTAAAGTTTCTTGTAGAACATCACCGGATATCCTGCATGATCTCCATGCATCAGCAAAAGTACTGAAAATTAAATAGAAACTTAATTACTACAGCAAACATCCTGGCATTGAATAAAAGGTCAGCTCTGTTTTAATACTATTACTTTGATTGGATTGTAAGTGTTGCTGTCTATTGCAGTTCATTCAAAATTCTGACCAAATTGACTGTGGTTCTACAATGGCAACACCAGGGGCGGATCCAGCCAATTTTAAAAGGGGGGTTCCATCCATATGTCCCCATTCAAAAGCATTGTTCATCAAAAAGAAGGGGATTCCAACCCCCTAAATAACCCCCCCCCACCCCTGGACACTGAACACTTAGAATCAAGTCACTGTAAGAGCTATTCAAAACTAATTACAACCATTGAACCATTGAATTAATACTTTCTAGAGTAGAAATTCTTTTTATCAAAGGTAAAACCATTTTGTAATCTAGATTTTCATCTAACTATTTAAACATTGGTATCCTAATTCATTGCTATGCTTTTGTGCCAATTGGCATTTCATTTGCGCCAAAATAATCTTTCATTTGCGCCAAAATAATCTTTCATTTGCGCCAAAATAATCTTTCATTTGCGCCACAAACCATATTTCATTTGGCCAAAATTAATAATTTCATTTGTGCCAATAATACAGGTAAATACAGGTTAATAGTATAACAAGATTGCAAAAATGTCTCGCCTTCTTTACTAAACCATTGATTTTATGTTTATAGTGCTATCACATAAACTTGATCCAAGAAAATGAGGTCAAGGTCAGATAAACCATATGAGAAATACATGTACACCTTACGATCATTCAATAAACCAAATATAGTTGACCTATTGCTTATAGTTTCTAAGAAATAGACTTAACCAAGAAAACTAAACATTGACCAATGAACCATGAAAATGAGGTCAAGGTCAGATAACCCATCTCAGACAGACATGTATACCTTACAATCAATCTATGCATTAATAATAGTTGACCTATTGCTTATAGAACCTAAGAAACTAAGTTAACCATGAAAACTCAACATTGACCAATGAACCATGAAAATGAGGTCAAGGTCAGATAATACCTGCCAGACAGACATATACACCTTACAATCCTTCCATTCAACAACAAAAATTGACCTATTACTTATAGTTTATGAAAAACAGACCAAAACACAAAAAACTTAACACTGAGCAATGAACCGTGAAAATGAGGCCAAGGTCAAATAAAACCTGTGAGACCGACATGTACAGCATAAAACATTTCTATACATCAAATATTGTTGACCTATTGCATATAGTATTAGAAAAAAAGACCAAAACTCAAAAACTTAACTTTGACCACTGAACCATGAAAATGAGGTCAAGGTCAGATGACACCTGCCAGTTGGACATGTACACCTTACAATCATTCCATACACCAAATATAGAGGACCTATTGCTTATAGTATCTGATATATGGACTTCACCACAAAAACTTAACCTTGTTCACTGATCCATGAAATGAGGTCGAGGTCAAATGAAAACTGTCTGATGGGCATGAGGGCCTTACAAGCTAGGCAAATACTAAATATAGTTATCCTATTACTCATAATAAGATCGAAATTAACATTACAAAAAATCTGAACTTTTTTTTCAACTAGTTACTGAACCATGAAAATGAGGTCAAGGACAATGGACATTTTACAGACGAAAACTTAGTAACATAAGGCATCTATATACAAAGTATGAAGCATCAAGGTCTTCCATCTTCTAAAATATAAAGCTTTTAAGAAGTAACAGACACCGCCGCGACACCGCCAGATCACTATCCCTATGTCGAGCTTTCGGCGACAGACGTCGCAAGCTCGACAAAAACCAGTTTTATTTAAAAGAAACTTTTAATGACAATTTTAAAACACAGTTTTTGATTGCATTATAAAACATATTCCTTCGAAATCAGTCATTGTAACCATATATAAGAAAACTGGTAAAATTTGAAATCTATAAATACAAAAAGGCAAAAAAAAATTAATCAGTTCCTTCAGCTGGTTGATAATGTATTGACTTTAAAGATACCTCAATTTATTACAAATTTCTTCAGTGGTTTAAAAAGAAATTTTCAAAACAAAAGATTACAAGATTTAGAGGCAGTGAAAGATTGAAATAAGTTGCATATAGATATAAGAAGATGTGGTATGAGTGCCAATGAGACAACTCTCCATCCAAGTCACAATTTGTGAAAGTAAATTATTATAGGTCAAAGTACGGTCTTCAACACAGAGCCTTGGTACACACCAAACAGCAAGCTATAAAGGGCCCCAAAATGATGTAAAACCATTCAAAAGGGAAAACCAAGTGTCTAATCTATATAAAAAAACGAGAAACACTTATGAACCACATCAACAAACGACAACTACTGACCAGGGCTTCCAAAATTATTTTTAGCCAGCCGGACATATTATATATTATCCCGATTTTAATCCCTTAAGACTAAATAAACAAAAGGCAATTATGGTAATCAGTTGCCGAGTTGGCCATCCCAATGATTGACATTAAAAAAAAAACGATATTAAACTTTCTTTGATTCAAATACGAAGTTCTGACATAAGCTGTTAAATTGGCAGTGCATCATTCGAAGTGTGCAACATCAGCGTACTTATATCTGCCTTAGACTCTTTATTTGTGCAAAATAATGTTGTTTAAAACTTTACTTTCGTTTTAAAATCTAATACTGGATGTTATCGTGAAAATGGTAAAACATGGACCAGAGACGGTTATGTAAATTCCCTGTACGTTTGCAAAGCATGAATGAGTGTAAGTAGCTCTTTCTACGTTATTTCTTCAAGAAAATATTCAAAATAAACGTGAGATAGAGGTATCGATGACAATTTAAGCATTTTTTGAAGAAATTAGGATGCATAATTAAATTTCACAACTGCCCACATGCGCACACGTGTACTAGTTCAAACAGAGACATGTCTCTGGTTCAAACAACATGGTTATGACGATTTTTCATTTTCACCTTTTTAATTTTTTATCAAATCATATTTGTAAACGTATTTCTGATAATTTAAATCTTTTTGACTAAATTAATTAGATGCAAACTACTGAAATGTAAGAAAATAACTTTGAATAGACTGATCAATGTCCGGTTCAAAATAGTTTACCTGTCACCTGAACAGGTAAATTTCAGCTGTTTGACAACTAATTAGCCTTGATTAAAATGAGAAGGTATTGAAGTAGGGGTTGTTTTGATAGTACTTAATGATCATGTCACTTTTATGACCGGAAATGTGTGGCTGTTAAAGGCAAAAGGTTGGGTCAAAAAGATTGTGAATTATGTTAAAATGACTGTCTCTTAAGAAAGCCTTGAAAACTAAAAAGTAGATGATCGTTTCATGCTTTGCCCAGCCTGACTTTTACCGAACATTATACAAATGTCCAGAATATATGATCGTTTTGGAAGCCTTGTTACTGACCATCAGATTCCTGACTTAGGACAGGTGCAAACAAATACAGAGGGTTTAAACGTTTTAATAGGTACCAACCTTCACCCTTATCTGAAACAATAGTCTAACATCACAACATAGAAAGATGCACTATAAAATATCTATTGAAATGGCTTAACTCAATCAAAAGACATATTAACACAAGTGAACATACACTGAACGAATAAATTTGATCCATGACACAATGTAAATACAAAATCAATAAAATAAGATAGATTTAAAAAAAATTTCAGAAAAACAACCATAACCTTGAACAAAATGCCGCAAAATAGAATAATGTACACAGGTAAATGAAAATAATTTTGTTGTTAGGTATACAGTATAAATGGAGAACGGAAATATTTTTTACAAAATAAATAATTTTGTTGTTCATAGTATGAGAACAGAAGTGAAAATTTATAGTCATACCATACACTTATCAAAGCTGGTATATATTAAAAATAGAGAGACAAGATATAACCCTAAATAAGTAAACATTAAATAACAAAAAAGCATTAAAAATTGTATCAACAGGTCAAATTAACAAGAAAGTACGATTTGAGAGTACTCACAGTTACTGGAAGCTAGTTAAAAGCCAAAAACAATTAATAATAAAAAATCATGCATCAGAGACTAATACTAATACTAATGCATTAATACTTGCAACAAATGATCAAACAATAAATTACATGCACTTACACATCCTTTGGTTCATCTGAGAAATTCTGAACTATAGCTTGATTGAACAGCATCTTTAAATTTGCCTAGAAAAAAAAAAACAACCAATACTTTCCAAATTATCTTTAACATAAAAACAGTCAAATTCATATGTGAACCTGAGTAGTCATCAAGAAACGTTTTTTTTATTGTTAACTCTTCAAAGGGCTAAATCTGGAACATTTACTTTTGCAAAAGTGAATATCATGCTTTATCTGCATTCCAAGGTACATCATTTTTTCTTTTTCTTTCTTGCCTTCTTTATTTCAGACAGACATACAGCAGTACAATTTGCAGACAGATTGATAAATCAGTGATTCTAAATAGGAAAATACCTCTAACTTTTCTTTTTTATAGCTTGTTGAAGTCTTTATGAAGTAAAAAAGGACTGCAAGAATACAGTCCGAAGGGAAAATCCCACTTGCAATAAGATTAGGTATTTCTTCCAGTTTTAAAGCAGCTATAAATGATCTTGGTAGGTAAAAGTCCATCTGGAAGTATGGTATTAACTTCTTCAATACCAGAGTAGATGATCTGAAAATAAATTATGCTTTTTTATTTCTTTACTATCATACTTTCTTCCTTAATTTTTCTTTATTTTGTTGTGGTCAAGAGTGCCTTTTAGACTATATCCATCCCTAAAAATAGATCAACTTTACCAATACCAAATTTCACTTTTTTAATTGAACCCTAAGTACTGAAAATACATAGAAACGTCACAATTTGTGATGCTCTTACAATTAATTAAGCTTGACTAATCATCTTGGGGAGGTGGATGCACTATTTCTTGTTCCAAAATAAGTTTATGGAAAGCATTTTTATCTAAAAACAAGAATGTGTCCATAGTACACGGATGCCCCACTTGCACTATCATTTTCTATGTTCAGTGGACCGTGAAATTGGAGTCAAAGCTCTAATTTGGCATTAAAATTAGAAAGATCATATCATAGGGAACATGTGTACTTAGTTTCAAGTTGTTTGGACTTCAACTTCATCAAAAACTACCTTGACCAAAAACTTTAACCCATACATGTGATTCTTCCGGCGGGAGTCAAAATCTCCCGCTTTTCAGACCCTCTTCCGTCCCTCCCGTTAAAATTTGAAATCTTCCGCTTTTTGAAAATGTCAACCTCGTAAAATTTTCATTAGACATTTTTGTTTACAAAATCGATACGGACAGAGAAAAAGTCCGAGAAACTCAAAATGATATGGGAAAAGTCCGAGAAAAACGGAAGTTTCCTGTAATGGATTTTGTGTCAAAAGTTAAAATAGGTAAAATTAGCCTGAGGTGTTTAGGATTAAACTGTATATACAACAATAAATAAAAGATAATAGGCAATTACCTAGTGATCAACTAGCTAGTTTAAGACACAAGCTAGGTTGATTAAAAGTAAAATACTGACAAAGGATTAAATTGTACAAGTTGTATAAACAACGATTTAATTTGATGCTGTTGAAAACATGGAACATTTACTGAACCTCAAAGACAAATGAAATCAACTCAAATATGATATTTATGGCTTGTTTTCTATCCAAGCCAATGGAATACCTATATAAGTACAGTTGTCTTGGACTATTCTAAAATTTTAGAATTTGACAAAATGCAAACCGTATTTTTATATCACCAAATACCCCAGCAGCAAATAAAAGAAGACCAAGTATCTAGCCAAATTCAACTCTGCCTGGTGATCTGATTTCAAATGATGCAAATCCAGTACCAAGGGTCAAGACCATGCTTACTACACTTCATGCAAAGCTGACTGTGGTGGCCCTAATGATTTGACCAAACTTATGGGGACAGCTACCCACCAGCAAGCCTACAACTCTATCAATTTAACACCTTCTGTTACAAGCATGATCAGTAGTGGTACCAAAGTTGACAATGTAGCTAAATCAGGGGTACTTTTTGCCAACTCTGTATGATGGCTGATCGCTTTATCTTGAATTATATATAATGAATAAATATTTGAAAACCCCTTATCTATTTTTATCAAGTAAAAATGGATATGGAGTTGTTGAAAGGTATGGAATTATTGTTCTTTTAACAAACAAAAAAAGAAGATATGCAGTTTAAACACACTAAAAAACCATTGCGTACGTCGATAAATAGGTCGATAAAAAATCTCCAGTTATGAAGCCCAAAGTCCAGCTGAAAATTTACAAATCTCCAGTTGTGGCTTGACAACTCTGTCACATGTCTGTTAACCTGAAGCGGGAGAGACGGACGAACGAACAGACGGACGAATGAACGAATGAAGGAACGGACGCACAGACCAGAGAACATAATGCCCATAAATGGGGCATAAAAAAATACTGACAATCTTTAGACTGAAAATATCCTTTTTGTGAAATTCTTTTTTGTTAAATGGTTGAAATGAAAAAGTCAACAGAAAAAAAAAACAGATTTTGGGTATAAATATAGACCTCTTTATCTTATAGTTGAGACTAAAATTCAAATCTGCAAGTTTAAATTACCTGTCCCATGGAAGTGTCTTTGCTTTGAAGTAGTCAATATCATTTCTATATTCTGATATTCCCCACCATTCAGGCCTCATATCACCATGGTTCACTGCTGCTGAGGCTTGTTGAAAAGGTGCACATTTTCCTTGTAGAAAATGGAGAATAGGCAGGCAATATGTCCAGCAAGGATTAGATGTATTACTAGCAATTTGTCTTGACAAAGTCAACACAGATTCGGTTACTTGCCTGAAAATAAATATATATCATTTTTTCCTAATAATTCCTGGAATTATTTTTTCATTATACATGTACCCTCATTTATCTATTTTAGAAATATTTAGGCAATATTGAAAATAATACTATTATTTTGTTAGCAAAGAAATATTGAATAGTGTTAAAAATCTATGATATTTTTTTTAGTTAAATACAATAATCTGCTAGACTTTGCCAAGGTTTTCTAGATTTGGGTCTTTTTTGGAATTCCATTTTTTGTATAGACAATTGTCAGTGATTTTTTTTTTAAATTTTAGGGGTGTATTATTGGGTTGCTGTCAGACTGAAGAAAAACCATATCTCAGTTAATCATAAAATCTATTTTTTTATCAATTTCTTAATTCTATCATCCATTTACTATAAAATTTACTTTTTTGTTGTTGGAAAAAATGATGAAACTGTGTCAAAATCACAGGATAATTTCTTCTGGTCATCAGGCTTGGGCAGCAAACTTTCACATAGCATACTCCTAGCTGAGTCATCTAACACTATTTGGTACTCTGATACAAGGTAAGATATGGTTATAGATGTAACCATATGGAGAACCTGCTCCTCATTGGTTATATTTTCTTTTGTGTTCAGTATTTTCAATAATATTATAATATCTGGATGCAGTATCTAAAATAGGTTGTAGAATCATTTTAACATTTATAGATAATTATAAGTTAACAGTATTCTTTATTGTACATTTGGTCACTTTCCTTTCATAAATGAATGAATTAAAATTATTGTATTTCTAATTTTTCCAATACGTCATTTCTGGAATCATATCTTTTACCGGAAAAGATGGTCAATTTCGCACGCCTTTATGACATCAGTTACCAGATAGAAGGTGCCTTTCAGAATCATCATTCTGTAGGGTAGTATGGAAATAATTAATGTTCCGTAAGTACGTAATCTTAATTCCCGTAAGACTGAGGGAGGATGACCAGCTTATTAGATTTAAATTTAATTCTTTCTTGCAACCAACTATTAGTTTTCTTCCATTCTAAGAAAACCTTTTTTTTAAACTAGATGCATATGAATTTCCTAGCTGCAGCCTTATCAAGAGAAATTTATCTTGCAGAAAGAAACAAATTTGATCAGTAGGTAAAAAAGAACTCCAGATCTGCAGGCATTAACTCATGTAAGGAGTCAATTGACAGTTTTGGCTATGTTGACCAGTAATAGATCTTGTCTTACTGATCATTTTTGCTGATATAAGGTTGTCTCTTTTTATAAAATCTTAAAGATTAAATGCTAAAAAAAATAAAAAATTAGTAAAAATATTCATTTAGAAGCAACTGACAATTTTGGCCATGTTGATTTATTTGTAGATTTGGTTTTGCTGATCACATGGCTGTTTTAAGTTTCTCTATTTTTTATTATAGTTTTTTATAAAAATAAGCAAAGACATAAAAATTTAATGTCAATGCTTTATGCAGCAAAAATACAAGAAAATGTTCTATCAAACCAAACAGATTGTGATTCTATCAACAAATCTGGCAGATATTCTAGCTTCTCAGAATCCAATTTTAGTAAGAATTCATGTCATTTGCAATAAATATTAAACAATGCTCTATAAAGAGGCATTGAGTTTAATTCTAAAACATGCATTCTTTTCTAGAAATTATACCATAAAACAAGATAACATATTTCCTCATGTGGTAAACATTAATCTTTTAGAAAATCAAGTTAATCATAAAGCAATGACAATAAAAGAACAGAGTACCAATGTCCCCTGCTTTGCACATATTTTATATTTCCAAGCGGCATAACTCTTTTAAAAAAAGTCGATCATCCACTATTATAGAACTTGTTAAAGATATTGCTGATATTTTCCTATAGTATAAGTTTTATAACTAGAGGCTCTAAAGAGCCTGTGTCGCTCACCTTGGTCTAGATGTGCATTTTAAACAAAGGACACAGATGGATTCATGACAAAATTGTGTTTTGGTGATGGTGATGTGTTTGTAGATCTTACTTTACTGAACATTCTTGCTGCTTACAATTATCTCTATCTATAATGAACTTGGCCCAGTAGTTACAGTGGAAAATATTTTGTAAAAATTTACAAAAATTTACAAAAGTTATGAAAATTGTAAAAAATTTTGTACATTATTGCTGTTTACAGTTTATCTCTATCTATAATAATATTCAAGATAATAACCAAAAGCTGCAAAATTATCTTAAAATTACCAATTCAGGGGCAGCAACCCAACAACGTGTTGCCTGATTGGTCTGAAAATTTCAGGGCAGATAGATCTTGACCTAATGAACAATTTTATCCTTGTCAGATTTGCTCTAAATGCTTTGGTTTCAGAGATATGAGCCAAAGACTGCCTTTTTCCCTATGTACTATTTTTTAGCCATGTCAGCCATCTTGGTTCGCGGGCGGGGTCATCGGACACATTTTTTAAACTAGATACCCTAATGATGATTGTGGACAAGTTTGATTAAATTTGTCTTAGTAGTTTCAGAGGAGAAGATTTTTGTAAAAGATTACAAATATTTACGAAAAATGGTTAAAAATTGACTATAAAGGGCAATAACTCCTTAAGGGTCAACTGATCATTTTGGTCAAGTTGACTTATTTGTAGATCTTACTTTGCTGAACATTATTGCTGTCTACAGTTTATCTCTATCTATAATAATATTCAAGATAATAACCAATAAAATGCTCCGCTGGGCGCAGCTTGATACGACCGCAGAGGTCGAACCCTGAACAGTTGGGGCAAGTATGGACACAACATTCAAGCTTGATACAGCACTGAATTTGGATTGTGATTAAATATTTGACACAGCATAGGTTTCTGACACAGAATGAATGTGGTCTAAGAACTTAAAAATTTTTAATTTACCTATTCAAACCATATCATTATTATTTGCTTTTATATATAAATCAGAAATAACCAATTTAAAATGGAAAATTTTAAAGAAAAAAAAAGGGAAAAAAAATCCCTCCCCCAAATTTTTTGAACCCCCTTATGATTCATCACTCCCAAACTCAATCCCAGCCTACCCTTTGTGGTATGGTACCTTGCAGTACAATTTCAGAGAGATCCATACACTTGAACACAAGTTATTGTCTGGAACTAGAAAAATGCTTGTTTTTAGGCCCTTTTTTGGCCCCAAATTCCTAACCGTTTAGGGCAATTACCCCTAAACTCAAACACAGTTTTCCCTTTGTGATATGGAACCTTGTACAAAATGTAGTACAATTTCATAAAGATCCATACACTTACACACAAGTTATTGTCATGAAACTAGAAAAATGCTTGTTTTTTCCCCTTTCTGGCCCCTAATTCCTAAAATTTTGAGGCAATTACCTCCAAAATCAATTCCAGCTTTCCCTTTTTGATATGGAACCTTGTAGTACAATTTCACAAAGATCCATACACTTACACACAAGTTATTATCATGAAACTAAAAAAATGCTTGTTTTTTGCCCCTTTTTTTGCCCCTAATTCCTAAAATTTTGAGGCAATTACCCCCAAACTCAATTCCAGCTTCCCCTTTGTGATATGGAACCTTGTAGTACAATTTCATAAAGATCCATACACTTACACACAAGTTATTATCATGAAACTAGAAAAATGCTTGTTTTTTGCCCCTTTTTTTGCCCCTAATTCCTAAAATTTTGAGGCAATTACCCCCAAAATCAATCCCAGCATTCCCTTTGTGATATGTACCCTTGTGGTACAATGTCAGAGAGATCCATACACTAACACACAAGTTATTTCTGGAAGTTACAAAAATGCTTATTTTTGGCCCCTAATTCCTTAACTGTTGGTACCATAACCCCCCTTCCTTTTGTGGTATTGAACCTTATGGTAAAATTTCATAGAGATCCATTCACTTAAACTAAAGTTAGAGTGCGAAAACCAATGTGTCTTCGGACGACGACGACGCCGGATGACGCCAACAACTACGACGACGACAACGCCAATGTCATACCAATATACGACCTCAAAATTTTTTTTGCGGTCGTATAAAATGGCAAAATTTCCTTAAAATTACCAATTCAGGGGCAGCAACCCAACAACGGGTTGTCAGATTCATCTGAAAATTTCAGGGCAAATAGATCTTGAGCTGATAAACAATTTTACCCCATGTCAGATTTGCTCTGAATGCTTTGGTTTCAGAGATATAAGCCAAAATCTACATTTTACCCCTATGTTCTATTTTTAGCCATGGCGGCCATCTTGGTTGGTTGGCCAGGTCACCGGACACATTTTTTAAACTAGATACCCCAATGATGATTGTGGCAAAGTTTGGTCAAATTTGGCGCAGTAGTTTCAGAGGAGAAGATTTTTGTAAAAGTTTACGGAAGACGGACGCAGGACGCAGGACATCGGACGCCAAGTGATGAGAAAAGCTTACTTGGCCCTTTTGGGCCAGGTGAGCTAAAAATCTGGCAAGAATTGTACCTGTGAAAGCACTAACGAAGCCATTTCCCATAAATTTAATATTTCCAAGGGGCACAAGTCTTTTAAAAAAAGTCAGTCGTCCACCATTATATAACTTCTCCGAGATATTGCTGATATTAAATATAACCTATAGTAAAAGTTTAATAAAAATCTGGCAAGAATTGTACCTGTGAGAGCGCTAACAAGACCAGACATACGTTTGGACGGATGAACGGAGCTATGCCCGGTATTTCCATGTCCCCCTGCAACACAATACCTGGGGGACAACAAGCCACTAGTGAGAGGACATACACATCTGACTTTAACAATACTTACAACAGAGCCTACAACTTTTTGGAAGTCCATTGGATACCACAGTGATGCATGTCTACAATAGACTTCCTTTAAACCATCAACAACAAGACTTATATGATTTATCAGTTCTTCACCATTAATTCCATCTGAACTAAATGAGGTGAGCTGCCATGCAGGTTTAAAACTTTTTCCTGCCAACTCAGCATCTTTGAATAAGACCTTCTTATAATCATCTATTCCAATAAACTCTTTGAATGACTGCCAGGCACCTTTATATTTACTGGGATGTTCACGTACAACCCCATCATATCTATGATAGACTCCTAAAACATAAAAAGATATTTTTCAAAGTGTTCCCAGTCACTTACATCGGGATCACACTTTTTTCTTATTGTAACTTCAAATTCTTACGCAGTTCTAATGTTAAAATCTTTCATGAAGTCTGGACCAAAAGAAATCAACATTATCATTTTAGTTCCCTTTGTAATGTCTAAGTTTAAGTAACTACAGTTTTATTACTGTTGTTTAAATATTCAAATAGAAGTTTTTTTCATAGAAACTCGAATGACATGTTTACTGAAAAATAGTCCTTAATGTTAGATTTGGTAAACTAGTAATGTAATGTTTTCTCATCAAATTTATACTTAGTAACCTTTTATTATATGTGTATATATAATTACTTTTACTTATATACAAAAACAATCAACACAAATGGGGGAGCAGAAAAATGTGGAAGTGCATGCTCATAAAAATGAGACCAGTCATATTTTGTATGTCCAACAACATTTTTTTTCCATTTACTAAATACTGTAGATGTATCATTAATAGGTACTGAAGAATAAACCATTTATCCAACAGCTTAATCTGTGTAGTGTTTTTTTACTGTATTTTTGTCATTTTTCTTTTTGACAATAGTGTTGTGTGTTCTTTTTAACACATTTTTTTTTATTGCCCCTTGGTCCCTTTTTTTTTTTGGAACCTCTTGTGAAAAAACAGTGTAAAGATTTATTCAATCAAAAAAGTTTAAGGAATCCATATAAAAGAACAGAAAGGACATAAAAGGCTGTACCTTGACCTATAATTGTTAAATTTCTATACATTGTGACTTGGATGAAGATTTGTCTCATTGGCACTCATACCACATCTTCTTATCTATATTGTATTGTAATATAATATATCCTAGGCAGTTTTGTTTGATGTTAAACCAGAGAAAATGCATACCTTTTACTAAATCACTGTTCTTAATATTAAGACATCTGTACATTGAACTCCCACTAAGTGTACCAGAATAAACATATTCATATGTATCAGTTATTCCTTTCCCATGTACCATGATATAATTGTAGAAAAGTCTTTTGTGTAGAATAGTTTTGGGTACATTCACTGTACCTGAATAAACTACATAATTATCTGGTAATGTCCTGAAAAAAATTAGAATTTCATAAAATTTGTCAAGAAAACTGGTTTACATCTTTAAAACCATGCAAGTAAAAGTTCTTTAAAGGGGCACTAGCTATGAAATATATAAAAAGTATGATGTTTTTTGTTCAATCATTAATGAAAGTGAAATAGTGAAATAATAATTCGCCTTTGGCAGCCAGTATGGTTCAATTTTGTCAAATTAAGCTGAGAAAATTGATGATGAATTATTCACTTGCAAGTGAATAATACGACCTCATTGAATCCTTATTCATTTGAACTTCAATTTAACACCTTACCTAGAGATGGATAATGCATGCAGTGTGCTTGATCGGTTATATAAAGGAAAAGAATGTCAACATTGAAATTGAAAAAAAGGTAAATCATTTGATTGACTGATTCGATCCACAAAAAATCATTTGTATACAGGTAAAAACGATGATTTACATATATTTTGAATCTATAATATGAAATTAAACAGACCTAGAAAAATACACTTGCACGAGTTCATTTCTATTTAAATCTATATTTATGTTTATGTCGCTTATATGACCATCAGAGGTCTTCGGAAGGTCAACTCCATAGTTAATTAGATGGCGTCAAGACTAAAATACACACGAAACGAAGCTACATATAATCTAGCCCATGCCCTGTAAATTGTTTATTTTAGACTTTTTATAATTTGGATAAATGTTTTACATGGTTATATAAGAAATATGAGAATTTGAGTCAAATCTGTGAACATGAATTTGACAGCTAGTGCCCCTTTAATATTAATTTCACAGATATATAAATTACTTCAACCAAGTCTATATGAGTCTTCAAGACTTATACTATCAACAGGGTAAAATGAATGTGCGTGAAAAATACCTGGTAAAATATATGTGATGGTACATCTATCTACCAAATATCCCTAACTTACCATAAGTGGTTCCCCTTAAACTTATCTAATCGCAAACTTTAACAAATTGTTGACACTACCCCTGCAGCAGAAAATAGCAAGGCAATTGTAAAGAAATACTATTTATAACTAGTCAAATTTATATGAAAGAAAACAAATCTGTTTACCTTTCACCTTTCATTAAATATCTCCTTGACTGCCATCCTCCGAGAGTTGAGTCTTCAAATATTAGATACAGTTTATCCCTTTCTAGATTGGTCCACAGTGAAGGAGAAACTATACAATGGAAATGTACCTCTGCAAACTGCTTGTTCTTTTCTTTTGATCTTAAACTGGAATAAATTTTTAAATAAGACAAGGTTACCTTTATATATATAGATTCAACCACTGTCTGGAGTGTGATAAGATATTTATCAACCTGAGACAGTTAAATTTTCATATTTTAAAACAAGAGGCTTGCCGTCACAATAGGAAATTCAGAGGAAAGCAAGAAAATTTGACGTCATAATCGAATTCTGACCTGAGATCAAACGAACCACACGTTGATTATATAAAAATAATCAACAGGTTAGGAAAAGGATAAATCGTGTAAGAACTAGAATAATAAGTTTTCATTGTCTAATTTATGTTTTATCTGATACTTTTTAATCAAATCAAATAAGTGAAAATCAACTGGAATGTTGTATTTCAAATTTTATCTGAGGGTGAAATGGTTGCTTATTAAAAGGTACTTTTTACATATCAGAATCAAATTCATTACAGGAAAGTTTTTTTTTAGTGAAAAAGGAAACATGAGTTTAAAGCAAACCAATGAAACAAGTAATTTTGGTGCATATGTTTGCAGATGCTCTTATCTTTTAATATGGGTACTGTTAATTAATTCATTTTCATTGGAGAATTTCATACTTTAAGAAAGTCACAATCATGGGTACTAAATTGTATGGTTGACAAATTTTGTACACAGGACTATTAAACTTTATCATAACTGAACATGATTTATGATTTTGTCATGTCAGGGCCTTTTATAGCTGGCTATACAGTATGATTTTTTCTCATTATTGAAGGACATACTGTGACCAATAAATGCTGAACACTGCATATTTTAACTGATTTTAATGTTGTCTCATTGGCCATCATACCACATCCTCTTATTTTTATGTAATCATCAATGAAACCAGTATGCCAGCATAAAATTTTTAACATGATCTTGTTAAATTTTTAATTTCCTTAGCATAATTCTGGAAAATGTTGAACAATATTTTGGTTGACTATCTTTTAAATGCATCTGTATCTTCATATTATAGTGATATGTCCGTCCTTCAACATATAAATATGTCATATTACCAATTCAATTGGAATAACTCAAATGTGTCAAAACAAAAACATAATCACTGGATCTTACTTTGTTGATACAGCATCTGCATAGCTTGGACCTGATGCTTGAGTACCAGCATTTGCAGAATTCGAAGGTGGCTATTATGAAATAAAAAAAAACACAATAGTTATGTATTCACTTTTCAATTTTTACTAGCAATTTACAATTCTACATTCTTAAAATAAATGAAATAAATCAGTTTACCTAGTCAGCAGTAAAACAAAAGAAAAGTATATGATGGACTATCATTTAGTATTTTTCTAGTCATGTATAATCCTAAAAAAACGATCAAAGTCTCACATGACTGGGTTGCACAGACCATACCTGCCAACCTCTGAAACCTTCAAAGAGGGAGATCTCCACCTCAGCTATGACAGCTGAGGGGAAGATTTTGCGGTGAACGACATTTTCAAGTTAAATATATGACCTGTTTACTTATTCATCTGCAAAACACCAATAAGAGTTAATAAATATACTTTATTTCTTTAATTCATGGTTATAATCTATACCAGGTGGGTTCTTTTTTTTTTTTTTTTTTTTGCCTTTTTTCAATACCTCTGGCTCTAAGTCTCATAACTCATAACATTCCATATTTTGATTTTGTTGTGAATCTCACACTAAGCATACTTTCAAAAGTCATACAGACCACCAGAAGAAAGGAAAAGTTGATTGAACATTATATGCAAAATGTGTGAAGATTCATTGTCTAGTGAACTTGGTCGTAAAAATCGAAAATCTTTTATTCAATCTGCTTGACATTTTGATTTGCAGTTATCTATTTCTTCTTTTTTACTCTGCCGCTGGGTCCAGACAAAGAACTCTATCTTGTTGGAGTTGATATAGCAGAAAGGAATTTCGATTACTTAAAAATCGAACATAAAAACTACTGACCAAAGTTTTCAAATGATCGCCGATTATTTATTTATTTCTATTGACAGTAAATGAAAAAGCCAGAGAATTAGGAACGCGGGTCATTCCAGGTAAAATATCTGAAAGCAGGGGATTCTATACTCTCGTGCGGGAGCCGACTGGCAAGCGGGAGATTTCCGGAATTTCATCGTTTGCGCGGGAAACTCCCGCTCAAAACAGGAGGGTTGGCAGGTATGGCATAGACTGTTTCTTAAAATTTAGAATAATCTATACAAAACATTTAAACATTAAAATATAAAATGGGAAAATGGGATGAAAATCTTTAAACAACTCCATTATCAAAGTTGCACAACATCAGTAAGATTACAAACTCTCTGTGAAGTCTCAAATATCTGGGCTGAAAACTTTTAGAGGAATTGATAACACAATTTTAGAACTGTTTTTTGTAAATTTTGCTGAAAAATGACCAAGTTCCCAAGTCTTAAAAAATGGGAAGCATTCCTAAACAGTTCCATAGTATCAGGTGCTAAACTTATCAAAAAAAAAAAAAGTATTCATTCTTTCTGTGAAGTTTCAGGGATATGGGTTGATTACTGTAGGAGTTGATTACACTAATTATGTATCCCCTTTTCCCTGCCTGCCATAATTTAAGCTGGTTTTGGACTTTATCCAACCCAGCCAATAATAGAATGTTGCACAGCAGTCAGCCTGTAGCTTGAAAACATGCACATTGACTTGGACTTTTCATCATTTTTGAAAACATAACAAGATAAGCTACTTTAAAAGATTTCTGTTTATACTTCTAATGTATATTACCTTGACATTTCAATGATAGATGTAAAATTATAAGGGGAATTTTACTCATTATACAAATTTTCATGTGACAATCCTGTGTCACTGTGTGATTTTTTTTCAGCAATAAAACACTTGATCATATACAGGGGTTTTCATTATCTTTCATGTTGACTGGTACTTTCCCTGTTTGTAGGTGGTACTTTTCAATTTATTCCATGAATACCTTATATAAAAATTCCTACATTTAGGCGGTAGCATAGGAGTGTAAAAGTACCGGGTACTGCCTCCTAATGAATGGCCTGCATATAGATGTAATAAACCAAAGAAAATTTAAGATTAAAATTAAAATAAGTATTGTGTATAGGTTTCATAATGTTTGGTTGGGGCAAACTTAAGTTACAGAACGTAAACTAAAAATTTTGCAATTTTTCGAATTATAAAGGGGCATAACTCGATAATGGTTAAAGTGACGCCACCAAAATTCAACTTGATCTGTGTATTGTGGTAATGAGCATTGTGTATAAGTTTCATAACATTTGCTTGAGGCAAATTAAGTTATAGAACGGAAACTAAAAATTTTGCATTTTTTTTTCATTTATAAAGGAGCATAACTCTGGAATGTTTAAAGTGACGCTACCAAAATTCTATCTTGATCTGTATTATATGGTAATAAGCATTGTGTATAAGTTTCATAACATTTGGTAGAGGCAAACTTAAGTTAGAGAAAGGAAACTAAAAATTTTGTATTTTTTTCATTTATAAAGGGGCATAACTCTAGAATGTTTAGAGTGACGCTACCAAAATTCAAACTTGATCTGTATTATATGGTAATAAGCATTGTGTATAAGTTTCATAACATTTGGTTGAGGCAAACTTTAGTTAGAGAATGGAAACTAAAAATTTTGGAATATTTCCATTAATAAAGGGGCATAACTCTAGAACGGTTAAAGTGACGTTACCAAAATTCAAACTAGATCTGTATTTTGTGGAAATAAGCATTGTGTAAAAGTTTCATAATATTTGGTTGAGGCAAACTCAAATTAGAGAACAGAAGATATCATATACCAAACATCTAAGCGACATCTTGCGAAACAAAATTTATACGCAAGAAATAAAAGTGGCAGAAGAAGAAAAAAAAAAATAATAATCAGAACAAATACAATAGGTCTGTCCACAGAAAAGTGGAAAGGCCTAATAAATGGAGAGAAGAGGAAAAAAAAGAGGTGGGTGTGTGCCAGTGAGACATTTTATGATATATATGGTATATTAGAATGGTTAAAAGTGCACATTTATAATATAAATCAATTGTTTTAAAAACAATTGTTAAACGGTCTTTCCCCTCTGAAACATGATTAATTGGTGTTTTGGTTGGTTGGTTGGTTGGTTGGTTGGTCAATTGATTGAAACCAATTTTGGGACATACGTACGTACAGAAGTACGTAGGTACGTACAGACGTACGTAGGTACGTACAGACGGACAAGGGTAAAACTTAATGCCCCTTCTGCTACGGTGGGGGCATAAAAATATGAGAATGCTAACAATACAAAATGACCAGTCGAATATAACACAATGATATATTTTCATGCTATATATTGAATATGCTGTTGACACAGATATATGTCACACCAATATGTAATTTTTATAGTATATTGCAATTGTTGAAATTAACTGGCCTCATTTTAATATGTAAACTATGCAAAATCTTTCAAAGCAAATGGAAGTTGGAAATGGAAACAGTACACCTAAGTCTTGCTTCACATACAGGTGTAAAATTGTATGTTTCATAAGGGTTCCTCTATTTTGCCTTGTGTTTTTGTTTGTGTGTTTTAAAGTAACTCTTTCTTGTACGAATAAAACATAACATCCATCATCCACAGCTACATGTGCTCTCCATGATATCATTAAATCAATGCATAGGAATATCAAAAGCAAAAGAAAAGATAAATATAGATTCTTACATTGATACCAGTGAATTATCGGATTTATCCAATCGAGATAGTTAAATTATCAATTTTAAAGTCCGAGCCTCGGCGAGGACTTTAAAATTTATAATTTTACTATTGAGATTGGATAAATTCGATAATCCACGAGTAACTATGTAAGAATCTGTTTCTCTAATGATTAAAAAATAAAATTTTCCTTTTTTGCTAAACTAAAATCCCCTTCGAGTGCCTTCCACTTTCCATAAAGTTGTCAATTTCATTAACACCTGTTAGCATATTTTGATGCATCCAGTGAGCTGAGAAAGGTTATGACCCTTAAACTCATCCAATCATCTTCTGAGATCACTGGCAACCACACGTTGATTAAATTTTTTTATACAATGGGTTCGGAAAGGGATAAATTTCCATAGAACTAGAGAAACTTAATTTAGCTCTAAATTTAACCATATTAGCATTCAAATCAAAGTAAAGGAATCAAATTGTTCTTTTTTTGTTGTTGTTATATTTGGCTATAAAAGCTTTGCTAATATGAAGCCTTCACACCCTTTAAACCAATCGTGCCCTTTTCAAGGCATTTACATCCCATTATAACCACAAAGTAATCAATTCTTTATTAAAGCAAGACTCTGGAAGCAGTCCTTTATTTATGCAAGGAAAACCATATTCCAGCTAAAGAGATACAGGTATAGCATCCCACTTTTTATCTTACCTCTCCACTCCCTGAAGCAGTGGCATTGTTAGACCTATCTTTGTTCTCTTTATCACAAGGTCTTGTTTCTTCATTTGTTGGTAACTGTTCCATGTCTTCTACCTTCCTATCTTCACTGTGATCAGTCTGCATTCTAGCCTTCTTTTCCTTCCTGTCTTGTTTCTTGGAAACATCAGATGCCCCATCAGTTTCAGTCTTGTTCTTCTCTTCTTTACGTTTTTTCCTGTCTTTCTTCTTTTCTTCTTCTTTTTTTCTTCGTTTTTTTGCCTTCTTTTTCTGATTTTTTGATTTTATAGAAGGATCTGGTTTTGCACCTTCTTTTTCTTCTTCTTCATCTTCTTCATCTTCATCATTCTCACTACTTGAGGACTCTGGAAGAGGTGCATTCTTCCCTAAAATTCAATGATAAAATGAGACTAATGACAATATACTCAACTGAATATGCAAACTGAGAAAGTGTTCTCTATTAGGCTATCTATCCCAAATTAATTGCCTCACATTCTATTTGTAAACGCAAAGAAGCATTGATGTGAGGTTGTTGCTGTAGTAAAATGTGAAGTTTGCCGTCAGCCAAATCAAGAGAAGACTGATAATGGCAAAGTATCAGAATCTGTTATAAACAAATAAGGCAAGAAAAAAAACATGAACTTGGCTATATACTTGGGTAGAGTGAAAAATACAGGAGGATATTAACTCCTCCACATGGAATATGCATGAATTTGCAACCACAGAAATGCAAATGGGGAGTTCATCACCCATTTTTTAGGTCTTTCCACCTTTCCGTGGAAAGACCTATTGGTTTTCTTCTGATAATTTTTTTTTTCTTCCGCTTAATTTTTTTCTTGCTGTGTATTTTTGATTCAAAAGATGTCGCTTAGTTTTTTGATATAAGATATCATACAGTCTATATGCTTTTGAAACTGACCCTGTTTAACCGAACACTTTTCTTTGTAAGAGTTATCTCCCCAAACACTGTTTTTCTTGTTATGAGATCTCCTCCGCAACCGTAAAAGAAAGCGACAAATTTATTTTTTAAAATTGCTCGTTATATCCTCAGGATGCTAGGTTTTATTTAGACCGAAGCTTTACGAAGACTCCATATGAGAGTTATTTCCCCTTTTGTATTTGATATATGTGAAATGTATTTGTAACTGGAAAACCATAAGTGATAGAGGCCTAGGGTTTTTTTATTTGAGGTCCTTGGACCATAAAATTGAAAATGAGGTCAAGGTCAAAGGTCAAGGTCATGTTAAAAATTTTGATTTTGGCTTGTTATCACTAATTTTCAGAAATCTTATAAGATATCAACAAAATACTTTTACAGAATTGTTAGTTGCGACATGACGGAACACGTAAATTTGAGTTAAAAGGGTACGGAGACATTTAATGGGAGTTTTCTCCCCTATCATATTCAAAATTACACGTATGGTGATATAACTCATTCATCTTATATAATTGAGACCTAGGGTATTTTGATTTGAAGCCCTTGTTTCATGACCTTGAAATTGGGGTCAAGGTCAAAGGTTGATTCGACGTTCTATATTTTCACCTTTGCTTTTACCTCATATATATACATGATAAAGCCATGGGACTTTTTGCATTAGGTTGCAAGCCATTTGACCTTGAAAAAGCCAACTGGAAGTGACCTTTTGTAAACCGGAAGTAGCTATTTATTGTTCTAAATAAATGTAAAAGTATATGGAACTATATATTTTTGGAATCAGTGTCAAGTAAACTATCAAACAATACCGGAAGTGACATTTTTTAAACCGGAAGTCAGAAATTATCTCCCTTATTTATCTTTTTTTGTATAGAAACCATATATTTTTTGGAATAAGCGTACATTAAGCTGTCATTTGACGCTGGAATTGACATTTAAAACCTAATTTTAATATTTTTCATATCAAAATAGATCCTTACTGGTGGAAAGACCTTCAATTGTTCTCTGAACAATTGGTTTTTAATTTCTATCTATTTTAGTTTTTAGGATTTTAGACAATTACTTGCATTTTACCCATATGTTCTATTTTTGGCAACAACAAGACTCATTCAATTTATACCAGATACCTGTAAAGGATCATTAGATCGAGTTTGGTTAAAGACAGTCTAGTGGTTTCAGTGGATAAGATTCTCTTGAGATGGACCATGATGATGGATATCAAGTGATGGGAAAACAAAACCGTTACAAACATATTTTTTTTCCTTTATGGGGGACCATATATATTTGAATTAAATCATACATACAGTCTTGACTATCTGAAGTGTTGTGGTCTTCTGTAGCTGGTGGTTTGATATTTCCAGTTGTATCTACATTTCCTGGTCCAACTGAGTCAGGAGGTACATTTGCATTCTTGACATCATCCCTATTTTGTTCCTGATCAGATCCTGTAACTGGTTTATTAACTTTCTCAGGACTTCTGACACTGACATTCTTTTCAAAAGTTTGAGCTAGCAGCTGCACCTTATTTTTTGCACCTGTATTACCCATACTATTAGATACAAAACTATGAGGAGGAATTTCTTCATTCCCAGGGGGAGTTGTGACTAGTTTTTTTGTTGTAATTTTGTCAGCCTCTGTCAACACAGTTTCTGTTGCTGGTATTTCCATTAGCTCATTAGAAGTAACTGGATTACCTGATTCTGAAAAAGAAGGTCCTTGAGGAGGACATTCTGGTTTAGTAAATTGGTCATTCAAGTTATCATCCTCAGTAGTATTGTCACTTTTAGGAGTTGCATTTTCTTCAGTCTGAGTTTCATCAGTTTCCATTGCCTCTGATTGTTGATTGTTCTTGTCCAGATCATTAACTGGTGACTGTGAAGGCTCATTTATAGCACTAGCGGGAAGCATGGATCCAGTCTCTTTGGTATTTTCTACAATAAACATATTATTTGATATTTTTACTCACTTCATTAATTTGAACCTCCAAATGATGTCTTGAATAATTATAGCAGTATTTTCAAAGCAAAAGTATGATATATGACAGTTGGTTGTTTGGCCAAAACATTATTTACCATAAATCAATTCTGATAAACTGTTATCACAGAGATATGTCTCGCCTTTTTGTTATTTTGATAATGCAAATGTTGAAATTAAAATAGCAATACTTTAACATGTTAGTTATGCAAATATTCAAAGTCAATGAACCATGACTGAAAGTACAGGGCTAAACGATCTCCATGGAAATGAGATGTGCCAATGCTAATACAATTGCATACCAAATACCATTGACTTTTCATAAGTCATTCCCTTTAAACAAACCTAAACACAAACATTAACTTGTAAACTATGTAAAAGTTTCAAAGTCAATGAACCATAATGAGGGGGTGGGGTTATATAATCTCATTAAAATATCATTGACTTCACAGCAGTGGTTCATCTTAAACTTCTGTAATCACAAACTAATACATGTAAACTAAGCAAAAGTCAATAGACCATGACTGAGGGGTAAGGATCAAATATTCTCCATGGAAATGAGATGTGCTGATGCTTATTCAGCTGCATACCAACTATCATTGACCTACCACTAACGGTTCCCCTTAAACTGACCTTATCACAAACCATAGTTACCAAGTGACATGATATTCGCGTGTAATACACGCTTTTTCAACGGTTTACACGCGAGGATTTTGTCACATGGCGTGTACACGCTTTTCACCACTTTACATGCAAATACACGCTTTTTCGTTTTGATTTTTTGGTCGTTAGTGATATCGCGATTCTTTGGATTTTCCGTTATTAGACGATAAATACCGAGAATTCCAAAGTAATTGTTTGGTCGCCATTGTTTTAAATTCTATCATGATGGACGAACAGCAAAACCCTTTAAGGTAAGTAGTTAGTGCTTAGTTTTTATGATTTTGTGACAATCTTTCTTTCAAATTAACTTAGGGGAAATGTCCACAGAAAGAGGTCGCTTTCAGGGCTTGTACCGTCGTCTATAGATAAGATTGCTAAGCGAAAACGATGTGTACGTACCAAGATTCAAGATTTATAAGTTTAAATGACCAAGGGACAAGTAACGCATAATTTGTGCACCCTATGTTGCAATCATAACAATACATGTGAGAGGGGAACAACAATGTAGCTATTTGATTAGGCATTTAACATGTTTAATCAATAATGGACTCATTTTGGTAATCAAATTATAAAATATTTTTCTTTTTCAGTTTCAAATCTGGCCAACAGATTTCAACAGGTCATTGGAGATGGAAATATAACTGAACTGTTGGATCAGTTCTCATAATACCAGCTGTCTTCTGATGAACTACCCAGTCTTGACCAGGCAATAGCAACATGTATAGTTTGTTGGAAGCAAAGGCAGTGATTAAAGATGACATTTTAGATGGCAAAAAAATTGTTATGACACTTGTTCAAAGCTTGATAAAGCTATTTTAGTTCAGCCAAATACCAATTCTGACTGTGAGAGAGCATTTTCAATTATAAATAAATTTTCACTGAATTCTGATCAGAACTTGACAATTGTGCCTTGTTATCAAGTAAATGTAACCAAACTGGCAGTTGTTTTGAATATATATGTGCCTAGTGATGTTGCTTCAAAAGCAACAGTTGAATTCAATGAAAGTTTACAGTAGACTCTTGTTTATTATATTGACAAATTTGTATAATGATTACTGTGAAATTATGAACATTGTTCATATGAAAAAGTCCGCATCTACGTCACGCGTTTTCACACACTTTTTAACATGTCATGTCATGTCATGACATGATTTCTCATTGTCAGAGGTTGGCAAGTATGTCACAAACTAATACATGAAAACTAAGCAAAAGTTTTAAAGTCAATTGAGCATGACTGAGGGGGCAGGGCCAAATAATCTCCATTGAAATGAGATATGCCAATGCTTATACAACTGCATACCAAATATCATTGACCTACCACTAGTGGTTCCATATAAACTGACCTAATCACAAACTAATACATGTAAATTAAGCAAAGTTTCAAAGTCAATAGAGCATGACTGAGGGGGTGGACCAAATAATCTCCATAGTAATGAGATGTGCCAATGCTAATACAACTGCATACCAAATATCATTGACCTACCAATAGTGGTTCACCATAAACTAGACCTAATCAAAAACTAATACAATGTTGACACTGATGCCGATGCTGCCACTGCCACCGCCGGAAACAGCCTACCCATGTCTCCCTTTTTGACTGTCAAGGCGAGATAAAAATCTGGGAAGCATTGTGCATGTGAGAGCCCTAACAATGCAATTTTCCATATAATTAATATTTCCAAGGGGCATTACTCTTTTAAAAATAATTGATCTGCACTGATTTTCAAACTTGTCTGAGACATTCCTGATACATACCTATGATATAAGTTTCATAAAAATCTGACAAGAATTGTACATGTGAGAGTGCTAACACTGAAATTTTCTATACAAATTTTCCATACAATTAATATTTCCAAGGGGCATAACTCTTTTAAAAATAATTGATTGGCACTGATTTTCGACTTGACCGGAAGACATTGCTGATATAAACCTATGATATAAGTTTAAAAAAAATCTGGCAAGAATTGTACACGGGAGACAGCTAACAAGACGGGACACTCGGTATTTCTATGTCCCCCTGCAACGTGTTGCACGGGGGACATAAATAGATAATTCCTTTTTTTATATTTTAATATTGATTAACTTTACTTTATGTCCTTTGCATATATATAAAACTATATCTAAAACATTTTCAGACATCAGCATGATCTGACCTAACCATGATAATGATGAAAACATAGTTATACTGCTTGGAACATTTATAAGAATGTGCACACTCAATGTAAAAGTACCTCTTAATTCTTACTTAAATGGATAAGAAATCATATTGTAAATTTATTTCTTACCCTCATTCCTGACTGCATCACCTTGACCTTCGTCATTCTGTACTGCCATGTCCCTTTCTTCAATATGTTCTGATACTTCAGGTTCATGTTGAGGACCACCAGTGTCTCTCTGCATGTCACTTTCCACTGTGTCCTCTTCCATTGAGTCAGGCGTGGACGATAACATACCAGGTGGTCTCCATGCATCTGGACTACCTGAACGACTTGAAGAACCAGATCCTGAACTCTGTTGTGGTGAGCGTCTTGTGTATACAAGGTCATCTTTCCTTGAACTGTCTTCTTTTTGTCTTCCTATAGGAACAGATTCAGATTCACCTCTTGCAGCTAAAAAAGGATAAAAATAAAGACTGCAAAGTAATACAAATTTTTGCCTGTAATAATGAGAATAAGAAGTTAGAGGAACATATTTTGACAAAAAATTGGCAGCAATTTTTTCTTCTCTTAGGGGGGGGGGGGTCAAGCACCTGGTGCGCCCAGTCTGAATCCTCACCTGGATGCCATGCAGCACAATGGGGTAAGAAAAAGATACTAAATGTATATGATGCCATCAGCATGATCACAATAAGCATGGCAAAACAAACCATTTAAACATATAACTATAAAACATGTGCTCTAAAATTTTCCGAAAGTTTATCATCATTCAACCTGAGAAAAGTATTTATTCAGTATTTTGGAAAAGGTTACATAATATCAGAAGTTAAATTCTCTGCCTTACTATTCATAGTGTTTATCATTTATCCATCTAAATTTTCATATACTGTAATAATATATAAAAGCTGTATTTGAATAAAGCAAAAATTACTAAATTTAATCTTCTAACATTGTCTAACATGTCTAATGGCATGAATAAAAAAACAAAAATTTCTATACCATGTTTACCATTTGCTTGTTCATTTAACTTGCTCTGGTCATTGCCACATTCTGGACAAAATTTCACTCCCGGTATTAATTCTGCTCCACATGTATTTCCATCATCATCCTTCCCAGCACATAAAATTTTAGGGGCCAAAAATATGGTGGGATCTATTCTCCATCCACATCCAGAACAGAATTTTTGTCTTTTTGTTATCAAAGATGAACATTGAGGACAAGCTTTTGTAGTGGTGTCCTCTTCATTGGCTACTTTACCACCACAAGCCAGACAAAACTTTGAAGACTGGGGGATTTCCTCTCCACAAATTCCCCCATCAAAAGTGTTTTTACACTTCATTGTATATGATTTTATATCATGCCTTTATTTTTAATCTGAAAAATTAAAAAAAATAAGCATAATCTTATGTTTTGTCAGCAGGCACTGAGGCAGTAACATAATTATACAAAAACCAGTAAAAGTTGAGTATGCTGTAAGGATTTTATTTAACAATCAAACAATTACATTCACCAATTGATAATCTTTAGAACCTGCAGGTTCCATTTGTCTGCAAATTTGACCCTGCATTGTTGTTGTGTCATTATTTTGAACTGTTTGTCCGAAAATAATACACTGCAAAGCAACATGTCCATTTTCAGTACATAACTGGCATATATATGTTTTGAGGATAGAGATTTCCCGTGCCGTTCCAATTAAGTTTCTTTTGAAATGTCCTATTCCATTACATTTATAGCAGGGCAAATTTCGGTATATTGCGCTTGGAAATGTGTTTTTAGAAAAAGTATTGAAGCCCCCTGGTGGTTTTACATTGTTGTCTGTTTGTTTTTGTGTTTTCATGTCATTCATGAGCTCTGTCAGATGATTCATTTGATGTTTAAACTAGAAATTTCGGACTGGCTTGTTGAAATATTTGTGCAGCGGCTACAGTATTGTCACATTCCCTATATCTATATGCCTCGCCTGTTTTCACTAGTGTCAAAGCGTCTGATGCATCATTTGGTTTACATGCCCGGATATAAAATGCAAGTTTATCAGGCAACCCATCAACAAATTTCGACATGACTTCATGTTCAGGTTTGGAAAGCAATTCTGCTTTTTCTACGACCTTACAATAAAAATCTTCAATTTCAATTTATTGAATAACTGATTTTTAATAACAAATGATGGATTTTCCCAATTTAAATTCAACATATATTTAGAGTTAATAAAACTATAAAAAGACAACAACATCCTGGAATACTGCAAGGCAATGCTTTATTCTGGTCTACATTTTAACGTTGTCAAACTAATAATTGTGACGTCACATCTTGTTAACCTTTTTGTAAACCCATATGAACTGCATTTTGTGTACTTCAGCACTTGTTTCCTATCATTAAATTGTCCTGAAGACGCCACCGTAAGTGGTGAAACCTGTAAACCAGAATAAAGCATTTCCTTGCAGTATCACAGGATGTTGTCTTTTTATAGTTTTATTTTCTCAAGGTTTTAAGACAACCGCAGCATACTTCTATATCCATGCTGATTACTCTACCAGCCTGTACCATAAGAAGGTGTTGGTTCACTTGTGTAGATGTCTTAATTTGTTTTTGTGAACCCCTGCATCCATACGATCCACCTTTGCCAAACAAGCATTGTACTATACAACCACACTGCATGGATAACATTACAAACCCATTTCCGAGATTGCCGACCCATTCAAGAAAGAAAACGATTAACTACCACACACAAGGTCCAAAGAAGATTACCGCAAAATGGAATGAACCGCAGAAACACACAACTCTATTTTCAAAATGAACTTGAAACATGCAAAGTATACCATAACCGCAAATACCATACAGATTAAAAGCAATTTCCACAATGCCCTACATGTGCGACTACCATACATCCCACACTAATTCCTACACAATTAGAAGTAGTACCTCAGTAAGAGTGAAGACAGTTGAAATGGTACCGAATGTCCAGTGAGGTGTTGTCGATTCATTTTGGAAAGATACTGACAATTCATTATTAACTTTTACTTTCACTTTCATTTTAACGTTGTCAAACCAATAATTATGACGTCACATCTTGTTAACCTTTTTGTAACCCTATATGAACCGCATTTTATGTACTTCAGCACTTGTTTCCTATCATTAAATTGTCCTGAAGACGCCACCATAAGTGGCGAAACCTGTAGACCAGAATAAAGCATTTCCTTGCAGTAATCCAGGATGTTGTTGTCTTTTTATAGTTTTATTTTCTCGAGGTTTTAAGACAACCGCAGCATACTTCTATATCCATCCTGATTACTCTACCAGCCTGTACCATAAGAAGGTGTTGGTTCACTTGTGTAGATGTCTTAATTTGTTTTTGTGAACCCCTGCATCCATAAGATCCACCTTTGCCAAACAAGCATTGTAGTATACAACCACACTGCATGGATAACATTACAAACCCATTTCCGAGATTGCCGACCCATTCAAGAAAGAAAACGATTAACTACCACACACAATGTCCAAAGAAGATTCCCGCAAAACGAAATGAACCGCAGAAACACATAACTCTATTTTCAAAATGAACTTGAAACATGCAAAGTATACCATAACCGCAAATACCATACAGATTAAAAGCAATTTCCACAATGCCCTACATGTGCAACTACCATACATCCCACACTTATCCTGATGCAATTGGAAGTAGTACCTCATTAAGAGTGAAGCCAGTTGAAATGGTACAGAATGTCAAGTGAGGTGTTGTCCATTTTGGAAAAGATACTGACAATTCATTATTAACTTTTACTTTCACTTTCATTTTAACGTTGTCAAACCAATAATTATGACGTCACATCTTGTTAACCTTTTTGTAACCCTATATGAACCGCATTTTATGTACTTCAGCACTTGTTTCCTATCATTAAATTGTCCTGAAGACTCCACCATAAGTGGCGAAACCTGTAGACCACAATTAAGCATTTCCTTGCAGTAATCCAGGATGTTGTTGTCTTTTTATAGTTTTATTTTCCTGAGGTTTTAAGACAACCGCAGCATACTTCTATATCCATCCTGATTACTCTACCAGCCTGTACCGTTAGAAGGTGTTGGTTCACTTGTGTAGATATTTAGAGTTAAAAAGATCTTTAATTGTGTGCGTCTAAATCAGAAGTTAGTCCATTGTACCATGTAAGTGCGGGGCCCTGAAGATGGAGGTGAAATGCAGCTAAAATTTTGGCATCATCAAGCTCATGGAGCGTAGCGAAGGACTCAAATTCTTTTACAAATTTTGAACCATTGTCTTTGGGATATCCTGAAAACTTTTTATAGGAGGCTAATTTATCCATTATATTTTCTTTGGTGGTTTAATTTTGGGTGGTTGTACGTCGCATATAGAATAAGCTAAATAATCGCAGGCAGGTAAAGAATTATTATTTTCGGAATCATGGTATATCGATAATTGATCCGTCAGGTATTTATTAACAAAAGTGTCGTCTAGAATAGTTATTTCTCGATACGAGGGATTTGTGTACAAGTCTCCATCCCTTCAATTGTATCTTAATTTATCATCATCCCAATCGTAATACATCGAAACTACAATTAAAGTTTACCAATGCATAGAAAAGCAATCTTTTCTAATTTTCCGAGGGAGACAAATTTACACAAGGACAGGCTGTCTTGTATGTTTTTTAATTTTAGTTCATTTATATGTTTTGGAGTTTAGTGTGACATTTATTTTCATTGAACTAGTTTACATTTTTGCTTAAGGGCCAGGTGAAGCCCGCCTTCAGGTGCGGGATTTTCTCGCTGTGTTGAAGACCCATTGGTGGCCTTCGGCTGTTTTCTGCTCTTTGGTCGGGTTGTTGTCTCTTTGACACATTCCCCATTTCCATTCTCAATTTTATTTCCACGTGTTCAACTGCATGGTCGTCTACATGCTGGCGATAAGTTCACAGGACTGTAATCCGCAATATGCATAACCCAATAGCTGGCAAAGGAGAGATAACTCTCTTAAACATATGCTAACTTTACCAAAAGTCTTGACCAAACCAAACTGACATATAACAAAGGGTGCAATGATGTCAATGTTACTCAAATATAAAGTGGTATACATGATGCATGTATATCATCCTGCAAATTTTTTAAACATTATGCAAAAAGATAAAAAAAAATTGTGTTAATGCTACCATTTAACATGTTTAATACAGAAAGCAATTCTAGAAGTTCTTAAAATAATGGCTAAATGTGTGCAATTTGAGTATGAACATGATGAAAGTTTTATGGTATCCTGGATGATTAGAAGTTCGTTACCCTAACTTAAAATGAAAGAAAAAAATCACAACCTTAGAGAAAATTTTATCCACAGGGAATGCAAATATTCTTTACTTATTTGCAAAAAGCCTGATACACTTAATTGATGAATAGCTTCAGAAACATGGTCAATAAGTCTATGTTTCGGATTGTGACCTGACTCCGTAAAATAAGTATACATGCTTGTAAGTTTGAGATCAAACAACAATTAAATATCTTGAAAAAAAGAGAAACTGGGACTTACTAGCTTTAATTTTCTCCCTACAATAATAATTCCAGAATTAAACCCTTTAAACATGTTTGAGATAAATATAACAATGCTCAAAATGTCACTAATGCATCAAAGTTTTTTTCATTCAATTTGCATTCCAAGTTATAGGATTAATTTACTCTTATGAGCCAATATTCGACAGATTTTGTTTTATAAAAATATATCAAAACCATTTTCTGATCTAAAAAAAGTCCACTCAATTATATACTTTAAAAAAATAATATTCTTGGCCTTATGAGGGAAAAGATCGAGTGCCACATGACATAAAAATAGATGATGACTCATTGTCCAGATGTCAATAACATTGCTGAAGGGATTTTACAAAATTTCAATGAAATTCTAGTACAGGAATATTACAGTGATCATAATTAAATGAGCGGAAACAGACATTTAAACAAATAATATGCAAGAACATACAAAACTTCTCTTTGTCATACCGATATAAGTAAAATTGCAATGAAAATATGCATGACTTCACAAGTGAAGTGAAAATCCCCAAATGTCACGAATCATTGACCATACAAATTATGCTAATCTTATTCGGTGTCAAGAATAATTTCCTTATAACTTACGAAAATGAGCATTACCTTTTTGAACTGCATATTTTGTTTAGTAAAGTGCTTATCAATTTCAATTCAACATCCTACTGACAGGTGGATTTTCAAGAAATGTTATTTCTACTTTCGTTTTTGTAACAACTGTCAATGGGTCAACTGAATCATTGAAAGTTTCGTTGAAGACGTTATAACTAACGTACTCATACTTTCTTTTCTATACGAAATTGGATGTTCATTAATAAAATAATAATGTGTTACACTGTCAATGACAGAATGTCCTTATTAAATGAAAGAAACAAACTTTCAAGGTTTACCTTCGAAACCATTCTGCGAAGAAATTCCAAAGGCGGTAAAAGTGAATTGCTAAAACACGGTTACATATCCCGAACGTTTCAGTAAGTTTTAAGGGGAATCCTTTATAATATAATTAAATCATAATCGTCAGAATAAAAAATTTGATCTCTTTATAATAAATAGATTAAATCAGGTCTTCCCAAAAAAGAAAACTTTGCCGAAAGTCAACAATGTTTAATGGAATGCGTCCGGAAATGTAGGACATAGCTTGTTAAGACTTAAGCCGAAAACGAAAGTAGAAGTTTTTGAAAACGAAAGAAGGAAAATATGAATGTAAAATCTGGTCTGCTTTCTCTTCCTGAAATTATGAGCAAACGTGTTGCACCAATGAGTGACTCATCGTACTGCTCATTCACTTCATCACAATGAAATGTAACACTGGCAAATTATTTTAAATATTTGCATAAAATTTCCAAATTGGTAAGCCCATTCACAAAATTTATCTTATTGTGATAATAATTTTTACCCATAATATGGGTGCACTGATCCGTGTCTTTGTACATTTTCGAAATGGCCAATCTTACCATTGTGTCTGTTTTGAATGGAAGCTAGAAGGAAGCAAGTTAACTCGTACCATTGTAAACTCGTACCACGTAAACTCGTACCAAAAAAGTTAACTCGTACCAACGTAAACTCGTACCACTGGGAAGTCGTACCAATCAGAACTCGTACCACTGCAAACTCGTACCATTAAAAATATATTCAAAAATACGAATGTTTTATGATTTTTTTTTTGGAAAACTAAATAAAAAAAGTTGAATTACTTGAATTTTATACTAGATTTTAATGAAAACTTAGACAAAAATACGAAAGTTTTATGATTATTTTTTTTTTAAGCTTTATACAAAAAATTAAAATATCTTTGAAATTTATACCAGATTTTAATGAAAACTTAGACAAAAATACGAATGTAATTTCTTAATTACCATGCTAATAAATATATTAAATTCCTTTGATTGTGTGATTATTGGTTGATTATTAACTAATCAACTTGTTTTTTTTAATCTTTAACTATTCAACTTGTATAATCATATAAGCATGGTCATATTCTGCTGAAATGTGCTGAATATTGTATAAAAATAAATTTCATACTTTCTAACTGTTGGTCATAAACAATTTTAAACCTTTAAAACACAATCAATAAATTCTTTCATTAAATAAAATTCCTTTTAGAAACAATAGAAAAATACCCAAATCTATTCAATGTTACTGATTTGGAATGATTAAAAATTAAATCAAATAGTTGTCAGTAAAAGTTTAAAAAAGAGTCTATTCAAGGGAGACAACAAAGCCAATCTGCCACGGTTTTCTCTATCCAATTAGACAAGGAAAATTAGCTACAAATTGGTTATTGTAATTTCAAATTATATACATTTTACAGACTTAAGAGGTATTGAGTGAAATTAAAGTATATATTCATCATTAAACACCATTTTATTGCATTTAAATAAGTTGGTACGAGTTTACAATGGTATGAATTTACCGTGGTACGAGTTAGCAGTGGTACGAGTTTGCATTGGTACGAGTTTTTGTTTAGTGGTACGAGTTGACATTGGTACGAGTTTACAATGGTACGAGATAACTATAATTCAGCTAGAACATCATATATTCACAGAAGAGGATTCTTGAACAAGACAAGTTACATATTATCATGTATATTTAAGCATAGATATATAAAAGCCATTGATAAAGTACTCAGAATATGTCCCACTAAGCCCCATGTAGTTTCCTTTGAAATATCAAAAGCACAGCACTGCGCATAGTGGCCTGTGATGTAGATGATATTTGCCGACATCCTCCCAATAGACCAATTATACTTATCATAATTATATTTAAATTATCGGGCACTAGTCTTATCAGCCAATAATTTATTTGCATTACCTGTCTCAAGTAAAAATATGCCAGGAGGCGGAAGCAATAAGAAGCGTCTGCTTGTAAAAGTTGTTTGGATTGTAATTTATTTGGGGAAAATCGGTCAACAAATGAGAAGGTTTGTATGCTGTTGTCGAAATAATAAAATAGAGAAATCATGGAAAATGGACTTAACAGGTATATACAATAAGATTGTCAATATAGCACTTGCATCGGTTGTACTCAGGGAAATAAGACCTGTATGATTGACAAGAGGAGACATATCGTTTACTGATGGTAATTGCGTGGTTAAGAGGTCGAACCGTGTCAAATTTGTCTATGGCGATTTAAAAGAAAAAGTTTTTATCAAGATTCAAAATAGTGAAATCCTATATATATGTTATTCCAGAAGGAAGAAATGGTTTTTTTTTCAGAAAAAAAAAAAGATTTTTTACAAGTGTTGAAAATTTCTGTCGTTACGGTAACACGAAGTTTTTGAAAATAAAGAGAGAAAAAAGGACTACATTATAAACTTATTAAATGTCTGCACTGTGGATTATAAACGCTTGAGCTGGTTGCTTAAATATACTTACATCAGAAATTTCCATGTCACTTGATTTTATTGAATGTCATTTGTTTAAATCTCAAATTAGTGATATTATTGTCATGTCAAAAATTTATTCTTACTGAGTTTCAGCTTAAATTTACAGTGGAAGAGGGTATAAAACAGAAACTCGACTTGACATAAAAAAAAAATTTGCAAATATATTATTTGTGTATATATAATGTTGTTTTTAATATATCAGTAAAACATTTATCAACAACATCTTTTAGTATATCTTCTTGTATGTTTTGCCATGTAGTTCCTCTTATTCAAATCTTAACATCGCGTATTTCAATCTTTTAAACGTTGGTGAAGAAAACGTATGTGGTGGACATACTGAAATACATTAAATAATTGGGAAATAGCACATGCACATGTCTCTGAATTTTTTTCTTCTATATGCATTTCCGCTAACCATTTTTTCTTGCTTGTTTTGCAATTAAATAGCTGGTGGTATATTCTGATTGTCGATTTCATTTTTGAAGTAAACAATATATATTAAACGTTATAATGGCTATGAGAAAATTAAAATATAGGAGTTTTGTCCTGTGTTTTTCATGGTTTATTTTCCCTTCCTTCTTACAATTGTGCTAGTGGTATTATTCGTACCATAAATAAGCTATATATACATGTATATATATCCCTCTGTAAGTCTGCCCATTCAATTGTCAACATACTTTTTGTGTACTTTATTTATATCAATCCTTTGGTTTAGTATGAAACCAGTTGTGTGTATTTTCGATTACAGTGATTGCATGATTACATGACCATTGATTCACAACTTTCAGCGGCAAATATTTGATGCATAATCAGGACAAATAAGAACCATGTAAACATCTGTCATCTTTATTTGCATTTGAAGCACGTATATAAACATTCCAAACAAAATGCCAAGGAATTACACCTTGTATAATGAAAGGTATATACAAAATAAAACTTTATCAAATAACCTATTTTTAAAAAAATAGTTTTACTCGCATATCGAGTAGTCTTGTATAAATACAAAGAGATAAGGTGTTAAGTGTCATTTGTATGTATGTATCTCCTTCTTTTTTCTTTCTCGCATTGCTTCATAATAAATTTCAACTTTCAGGAACTACCATGTAAATGATGTACCGGAAGATTACGATAACTACCGAAGAAAAACATATTACTCTCCCAGTCACAATTTATTAGATATCAATCAACGGCAATTGCCAATAAATGCTAATTAACACCAAGTGTGAAATGTATATAATAAGAGGATGATAAAATTTCGGCAAATATCATCTGCTTTTGATGTTGGTTTAGTACTTTATCAATGGCTATTATATCTATGATTTAAGAAAGCAGAAAACACTGATAGCATAAGGGTACACGACAACTCATACCTTCGCCAACTCGTACTCAACCAACTCGTACCCTATTTTTACCAACTCGTACCCATTTTTTCCTTTTTTTAGCTCACCGTTCCTTTGGAACTTTGGAACGGTGAGCTTTTGCCATCACTTGCAGTCTGTCGTCGTTCGTCGTCTCCCATCTGGTGTAAACTATTTCAAACATCTTCTCCTCTGAAACTGAACTGAACCAATTCCAACCAAACTTAAGCTGAATGATGCTTAGGGTATCTAGAATAAAGTTTGTGTTTTATTTACTGTTTCGTCAAATAACATGGCCACCATGACTAAAAATAGAACATAGGGGTAAAATGCAGTTTTTGGATTATATCTCAAAAACCAAAGCATTTAGAGCAAATCTGACATGGGGTTAAAGTGTTCATAAGGTGAAGTTCTATCAGCCCTGAAATTTTCAGTTGAATCTGATTACCCATTGTTGGGTTGCTGCCACTAAATTGGTAATTTTAAGGAATTTTGCAGTTTTTGGTTGTTATCTTGAATATTATTAATGATAAAGATAAACTGAACAGCAAAAATGTTCAGCAAGGTAAGATCTACAAATAAGTTCATATGATTAAAATTGTCAATTGACCCCTTAAGGAGTTATTGCCCTTTAAGGACAATTTTACACAATTTGTTTATCATGCTTTCTAACTTTAAAAAATCTTCTTCTCTGAAACTACTAAACCACTTCCAACCAAACTTAAGCTGAATGATTCTAAGGGTATCTAGAATAAAGTTTGTGTTTTATTTTCTGTTTCGTAAAAAAACATGGCTGCCATGGCTAAACATAGAAGTATGAGTGGTAAAAATGTTTATTAGGCCCAGCTCTGTCAGCCCTGAAATTTTCAGATGAATCTAACAACCCATTGTTGGATTACTGCCACTTAATTGGTAATTTTAAGGAAATTATGCAGATTTTGGTTATCTTGAATATTATTAATGATAAAGATAAACTGTAAACAACAAAAATGTTCAGCAAACTAAGATCTACAAATAAGTTCGTATGACCAAAATTGTCAATTGTCCCCTTAAGGAGTTATTGCCCTTTAAAATCAATTTTTCACAATTTGTTCATTTAGTTTGCTTACTTTGAAAAATCTTCTCCTTTGAAACTGCTGAATCAATTTCAGCCAAACTTGGGCTGAATGAGTTTCAGAGTATCTAGTATAAATTTTGTATTTTATTTTCTTGTACGTCAAGAAACATAGCCACTATGGCTAAAATGAAATATAGGGGTCAAATGCATTTCTTTGATTTTGAAGAAAATATGACAGATACAAAGAACATTTCAATGGAAGTTTTAAGCCATTCATTAATATATATTGAAAAGTAAAAATAATCATTGATGAAAGATTTAAGCAAAAAATTCCAGGTGAGCGATTCAGACTCTTGAGAGCCTCTTGTTGTTTTTTTTTTCTTTTCTTTTCTTTTTGTTTATATACAATTATCCATAAAAAAATTGATGATTATTGATTTGTTTTTTTGTCAATAATTGGGTCAACATGACTTACATTTAAACTTTTGTCAAGTATTGCTTTTAGGTCTATATCTAAGAAACCTATGTGAATGATAAATCACAGATACATCCTCATTTATTTTGCAAAGTCCATCATAGTTTGATCACAATGACCTATATTTTAAGCTTGAATGACAGTATTATTAGTAAAGATCTACTTGAATCTACATCTGCAAATTCATTTTAAGCAATATATGAATGATACTTTATGATTGCATGTCTCATTTAGGTCACCATAACCTGCATATATGCAATTGTATAAATGAATAACTTAGTATAGCATTTATATGATCTCTTTTTAACTTTATGTATTAAGTAGCTTGTGATTTTTTTCCAGATTGAAATGCATGTTAAAGGATAGTTACAGTTATTCAATGACATGGTCGAGTGAGCTCTCATTCACCTGCAATGGATTTAGAATCTCCCTTTGTTGGCAGAAGTGCATATTTTGAAGCTTTGCTAGAAAGATGGAAGGACTTAAGATGTGTCGGAGTGTATGGGATGAGATCTATAGGCAAATCCAGATTTGTGAAACAATTATTACATTTTATATCAAAACACTTTAATGACAATGATTATACAGCTGCATGGGTGGATCTCAGAAATCTTCAGTCACTCAGACAAATTTTTCTCACTTTAGCTGAAAAATGTGAAATACATCAATCCATAGATGAAGATGATGATGAACTCTGTCAGGCCATTTTAACTTATCTTTCAAAAACAAATAAATCCTTTTTCATTATATTTGACAATGCTGAGGATGCAATAGACTCAGATTTTAATCCCGAATTTATTGATCTCATAAAAGATATATCAAATCAAAGTGTAAAGGTCAAGGTTTTAATAACATCAACTTCTCACTTGCAAGATCATGACTTTTGCCATGGAGATATATACCAGTATGTTGAGTTACTTCCCCTGTCAATGCAGGAATCAAGGGAATTGTTGCATACGTCAGCGCCATCTGTTGACTTTGGAATTTACCTGGATAAAATTGTAGAGCTTTGTGAGGGTCTTCCTCTAGCTTTGCTGTTGACTGGTTCTGAGCTAGAGCAGGATGATGGGTTATTAGAGCCATGTGATATGGTGGAACTACTAAACAAGTGTCGTCTGAAAGTTCTTAGTCAAGATTTATATCCAATCCAAGAGAGAATTGGTATGTAGATAAATGTTCTAATAGAAACAATTTCGAATTTGAGGACCCTCAAAGGGTTTTTAATGATTTTAGTACATGTATATATGTACCTCTTTTATTATTCTAAAATTTTGTGATAATATTTACACCTTAAATTTCGCATACTTACATACTATATGTGAAGATCTAAATGGCACTGAGTGACTCAGTCTGAGTCTAGAAAAGAAATGAATCAATTTTTTTACATATGAGCTGCGTCAGATAGAAGTCAACTTTTTATGCAAATGAGTATCAATACAACTGTTAATTTAACCTATTTTGGGTTAAAAAAAATCTCTATGGGAAGTCTGTAACTGTTTTAAAATTGATTTGTTATAAAAACACTACAAAACAGACCAGAATTCATTTTTATGCCCCCTCCGTAAGTAACTGGGGCATTAAGTGTTACCCTTGACTGTCCGTCCGTCTTTCCATCGGTCCCTCCCATTATAGTTTCGGCACTCTAATTGAAGTTTGCCTTGTGCAAATTTTATGAAACTCATACACAATGCTGAGAACCAAATCTCCCAGACAGAGTTCCAATTTGGGCAGTGAGGCACTTACCATTCTAGAGTTATGCCCCTTTATAACTTAGAAAATTACAAATATTTTCGTTTCCGCACACTAACTTAAGTTTTACTCATCCAAATTTTATGAAACTCATATACAATGCTAAAAACCAAAACTAGCAGACAAAGTTTGAATTTGGGCAGTGAGTCACATACCATTCAAGTGTTATGCTCCTTTATAACTTGGAAAATTGCAAATTTTTTCATTTCCAAACTCTTACTTTAGTTTGTCTCATCCAAATTTTATGAAAGTCATACACAATGCTAAGAACCACAACATGCAGACAGAGTCCAAATTTGGGTTGTGAGTTGTTTACTGTTGTAGAGTTATACCCCTTTTTAATTTTGAAAATTGCAAAGCTTGAGAGGGGGCATTCGTGTCCTCAGACACATTCTTCTCTTATTTTCTATTTTGTATTTGAATGTTCCAAAATCAATCAAAGTCTTACACAAGTACATGTATACATGCACTTGTGTAAGGTCAATTTCTATCTGGCGCAGCTCATATCATAGGTATGAAAATCATTATTGCTCAGGTGAAGCAACTTGCTTTGATATAAATTAGTTTTACTTGAGCAATTTTGATTTGAAGGCCTAATCATGCTTATAGTTTTCAAAATGACTCCTGTGGATTCATTCATTTTTCACGGGAACCAATTTTTATGGAAGATTGAAAAATTGTATTTTCGTGGATATTTGAATTCTTGATTTTGACAAAGTCTGCATACAAAACTATAGAAAATGTTCACTTTGTTGAACATTTAAGTTCATGGTTCAATTGTACCCACAAAATTCATGAAAGTTGGTGTCACACCAATAGTAATGAATTCACAGCACTCTAAATTTAGAATAGAATTCTATTATAAAGTGACTTCATTGCATAAATCTGCTTCATTTGAACTATCTTGGATAGTTGTCTCATTGGTAATTATACCACATCTCCTTATTTTATATTAGGCATGTTAGGTGACAGTACATGAAGATATATGTTAATTAACCCATGTAGGGTTTTAATTGTAATATATTAAGCACTACGTGTATTACCATAGATCTATGTTTTTTCCCAGTATTTTGTATCTTGTACATACATTCGTATTTGTCACCTTATATAAATATATTCTACAATATTACAACAACAGAAAATTACTCAGTTAATTTATATGGAAATTTTATCTCCTGGTATTATTTCTGCGAATATTATACTCTTGACAAGGGAAAATGGTGATTCAGAAATATTTCATGTAAATATTTGTTATATATTTTTTATTTCAGCACCAATGTACAGACAGTTCTTAAACAGATTATCCACAATACTAAAAGAGAAGCTAGGAATACTTAGTTACATTCCTGGGACGTTCTCTGCAAAACAGGCAGCAAGGTTGTTGGGTAGGTTTAAGCAACATGTAAAATTTAGTTTCTATATATAAAGGGTTCATGTTTGAAGTTTTTTGAATGATAAAAGCAAATGTTTTTAGGAAATTTACCTGAGACAAAACATTTATATACCGTAGATTAGTATTGACTGATAAAAAAAACAACAACAATTTGTAGGATTATAAGGTACTTTTCATATCCAAGAGTGAGATTTCAGTTAAAGTCTAAGGGAAATTAAAACAATAGTTGTCCAATTACACAACCTATAACTATCTTTTATATCTTCAGCTTAAAGGAAAAATATTTATGAGTATGACATCAAAAGGTTTTACACATAGAAAAAAGGGGGATGAGGTCCTGCCTAATTTTCACAGAATTTATGAGATAAAAAAATGAAATCCAAAGAAAGGGGGTTGGCAAACCTGTAATCCCCTCTGGATCTGCAATTATAAAGTAAAAATATAATTGATAATTTCAGATGAGGAGAGTGAAGACTTAACCATGACAGAAACACTGATTCCTATTGTTCAGCGCCATGTGGTACAGTATGACACACCTACAAAGAGATTTGATATACATGGCATATTGAGAGACTGTATTTCAGAGTTCTTGAAAATACAAAATCTACCAGGTATTTCCATTTTCACTGAACTAGCACACAATTTTATTTAGGGGCCAGCTGAGGACCACCTCCAGGTGCTGGATTTTCTCGCTGCATTGAAGACCCATTGGTGGCCTTCAGCTGTTGTTTGCTCTTTGGTCGGGTTGTCGTCTCTTTGACATATTCCCCATTTCCATTCTCAATTTTATGCATGCTCCTTTGAAATATTAAAGTAAGTTGTTGTCTTTTTTTATGCCCCACATAGGGGCATTATGTTTTTCGGTCTGTGCGTGTGTTCGTTCATCAGTCCGTTCGTCTGTCCGTCTGTCCCGCTTCAGGTTAAAGTTTTTGGTCAAAGTAGTTTTTGATGAATTTGAAGTCCAATCAACTTGAAACTGAGTACACATGTTCCCTATGATATGATCATTCTAATTGTAATGCCAAATTAGAGTTTTGACCCCAATTTCACGGTCCACTGAACTTAGAAAATGATAGTGTGAGTGGGCAGGTTAAAGTTTTTGATGAAGTTGAAGTCCAATCAACTTAAAACTTAGTACACATGTTCCCTATGATATGATCTTTCTAATTGTAATGCCAAATTAGAGTTTTGACCCCAATTTCACGGTCCACTGAACATAGAAAATGATAGTGCGAGTGGGGCATCCATGTACTATGGACACATTCTTGTTATAACAATGTTAAGAGAGAGAGAGATTTCATTCGGCCATCCATTTAGATTTTCCTACTTATAATATGTATGGCTTATAATAATTTGAATTAAGAAGTAACAGTTTTTTCTCACAATTTTACCAAACATTGGGCAGCAGCCATATATTGTGTCACCTATCAGCCTTGCAGTAGTTGCTAGCGATATATAGTGATTTCTTCTATCATCTGTGTCACACTTTGTGTTAATCAGCTATTTCCTAAAAACAACTGACCAGAATTCAACCAAACTTGCACAGATTTCTCTACAGGGCATGCAGTTGTTTGATTTGAGTGATTTTTGGCTTTCCCATGCCAAACTATGTTATAAGCCATTTCTGCTTATATTATTTGGAGACGAAGGCAACACACATCTTCCTTGGAGGACTCACATTTTCCTTTAATAGATGTGAAAACTTTTATGTTCAACCCCAAGCTCAGGTTTTTTCCTGTAATGTAAACAAATATGTACCAAGGGTAACCTCCCAGTCAACTATATGGAACACATTTCTGTTCATAAAATTTCATTAATATTTGTAGGGGTAGTAATATATTATTATGGATTTGTTGGTATAGGCAAATTAAGAATTTAACAAAATACAAATTTCAGTATTTATGCATACATCTATTTAAAAGCAAATAAGCCAAATTTGAAAAAACAAATCTAACTTATCCATAGGTTGCTTAAACTTCAAAATATCTTATGATGGGATTTTACATTATAAACCATAGTTTTACGATGTTTGATCTTAGTGATTTTGGGGTTTTTCAATATTCAAATGAATCAATATTAAAAATATATATGTAGAGTATATGTAAGCAATACAGAATCCCGAAAACCTATAGTTTTAAAGTGATGAATTTTCAGAAATAAGGAAAAGATATTGCAAAATGTTTGCTGAGCTGATGCATGACATATGTGATAAGATGGAAACTTCACAGTATGCAGAGGCCCTGAGTATGTATAATATGGAACAGCAGAATTTTCAAAAACTGATGACAGATGTAATGTACACCACTGAGGACACTTACCCAGTATATATAGACCTGGCCACAACGGCATTCCCTACCATGACTAGATTTGTTGGAGGTTGGTTGGAGCTTTATCATTCTAATTTTTTATAATCTTATTATTTAATATGAGGAGGGGGGTGAAATGCTTTGTAGATGTAGGATATAGGGGATAAAAAAGTGGGGATATGGGATATAGGGATAAAAAAAAACTTGGATCTGGGAAAATAAAGGGAAAAAAGTGGGAAGTGGTAAAAAATTTCCCAAAAAAAGGTAGGATTTTGGAAATGAGCACTCGTTTGTCACCCCTCTAATATGATCTCAGATTTTTCTGTCATGTTATTATATGTTAGAGTTGTAGTTCTTGTCTATCTACTTCTTTTTATCATGTTGAGGTACATATTTGTTTCTACAAAAGTCTTCATATAGTATAAAGAGGGGCGGAAGGACCTTTTTCGGGACATTGGGATTGGGCCTTTATTTTTGCATGAATTCTGGATTAGGCCTTTATTTTCGCTGGAATTCGGGATTTACACCTAAAGAGACTCAAGAATTAATGATTTATTTTCAGGATCTGGGAAAGAATACTTCTTTTTTTCAGGAATTGTGGATGATACCCATCCTATAGCCCCTCTATATGTAAAAAATGTATTTACACACAGGGAACTAAACCAAATTGGTCTGGCAAATGTTTGCTCTTTTTTATGATTTAGTTATTGTTTTATAAATCTTTTGTTTTATGCATACATTTGTACTTAGGAATTTTTTGCTATGACTTGTTAACATTACAAGACTTTTGGAAGTAATTTTTGTGGCAGATTACTATGTTGTGTTCACTGGAATACCTTTAGGAAAGGTATTAGATGTAAACAATATTGAGGCTTGAATTCATAACGTGTAGACATTATTTACAATCAATACATTTGTAGTTATATTGAAAAACAAAATATTAAAAAAAATTAAGAATTTACTGGTAACTCATTTTTTGTGAGTTTATTTGAACAGGATAGAATCATTCACAAACTTTTGATTTATTCATTGGAACAAGTCCTTATATAAATTGGTTCACCAGTAAACTGGTTCATTTTACACATCAATAAAGTCTGCTGTTATGTGTATACTCAAAAGGCATCATTATGGAATAAAGGGGGAAGCATCAAAATGCCTCATTATGGAGTAAAGGGGGAGGCATCAAAAGTCATCATTATGGAATAAAGGGGGAAGCATCAAAATGCCTCATTATGGAGTAAAGGGGGAGGCGTCAAAAGGCATCATTATGGAGGAAAGAGTTAACATGGAATAACAATCAGTCAAAGGTACATGGTTAAATATATAGCCGACTATATGGTATTGGTTTTTCTCATTGTTGAAGGCTGTATAATAGCCATGATTGCTTGCTACCACTTTATTTTAATTTTGGTGGATAGTTGTCTCATTGGCAATCATACCACATCTCCTCATTTTTATATGGATAAAGTTTAAGATTATAAGCAATTCATTACAGACAACAAGTACTTGTGTAAGTACATTATAACACTGTAATAACAATGTTGTTACAAGCTTACTAAGAAGTATACATATATACTACTGAATTACAATTTAATACTTATTTTCAGTGTCTTATGTTTTTTTCTCATAGTTATATGTCAGTAACATGCAAGAAAAAGTTAACATTTTGTTTTAAGCAGTATATGGAAGAACAATTCAAGAATATTGTTGACTGGTGTTTTCTCTAATAATGTTGTATATGTATCATAGCACTGGTAAATATGGAACATCTATTACCCATATAACAATTTACTGGTTTATATTATATTCAGAAAAAAGATTGACTGATGTTTGGCATATTGACAAATAAGTAACATATGCATGCTGTATTGACAACAAGATCAACTGGTGTATGTAATATGGACAAAGAGGTTGATTTGTGTATACTATATGACATGGTTGACTAGTGAATGCTTTATTGATGAAAACGTTGACTAGTGAATTTTGTCTTGACAAAAGGTTGACTAGTGAATGCTTTATTGATGAAAATGTTGACTTGTGAATGCTTTATTGACAGAAAGGTTGACTAGTGAATGCTTTATTGATGAAAATGTTGACTTGTGAATGCTTTATTGACAGAAAGGTTGACTAGTGAATGCTTTATTGATGAAAAGGTTGACTAGTGAATGCTTTATTGACAAAAAGGTTGACTAGTGTATGCTATATTGTCTGATGTAAACTGTATTGATGTTTGGCATATTGACAAATAAGTAACATATGCATGCTGTATTGACAACAAGATCAACTGGTGTATGTAATTTGGACAAAGAGGTTGGTTGGTGTATACTATATGACATGGTTGACTAGTGAATGCTTTATTGATGAAAATGTTGACTTGTGAATGCTTTATTGACAGAAAGGTTGACTAGTGAATGCTTTATTGATGAAAATGTTGACTTGTGAATGCTTTATTGACAGAAAGGTTGACTAGTGAATGCTTTATTGATGAAAAGGTTGACTAGTGAATGCTTTATTGACAAAAAGGTTGACTAGTGTATGCTATATTGTCTGATGTAAACTGTATTGATGTTTGGCATATTGACAAATAAGTAACATATGCATGCTGTATTGACAACAAGATCAACTGGTGTATGTAATTTGGACAAAGAGGTTGGTTGGTGTATACTATATGACATGGTTGACTAGTGAATGCTTTATTGATGAAAACGTTGACTAGTGAATTTTGTCTTGACAAAAGGTTGACTAGTGAATGCTTTATTGATGAAAATGTTGACTTGTGAATGCTTTATTGACAGAAAGGTTGACTAGTGAATGCTTTATTGATGAAAAGGTTGACTAGTGAATGCTTTATTGACAAAAGAATGATAAGTGTATGCTATATTGTCTGATGTTAACTGTATTGACAAAACAATTGATTGGTATTTTAATATTTATATATTCTATATTTACTAGTGGTGTGATACACATTTATGAGTAAACACAAATCAATTTTTTTCCCTGATTTTTAACAAAAAGTATTTCTTTTTTGCTTTTTGTATTGACTTGCTGTAAACACTTAATTATTATGTTGTGTGCTTATACATACTTTAACCATTCAAAATATTTAGTTTGTGTTCTTTTATTGCCTCTGAAATTGTTTTTGATATATTTTATTTTATTCTCTAATGGTTGTTGCCTGGTATCTATTTCTTGCATGAAGAGATATTTACTGTATCAAACTGCAGATAGTGTGATACTAAAAATGTATACAAAAAATGTGTTACTTTGATAGTCTTATCCAGCATCATGAAATAATATTGCAACATTTCCATTGGGTATTTGTTCAGTCATTGGTGACTTTCAAAGGTCAAAACAATGTGAATTTCCTCCATGGCAATGGAGAAATGCGATGTCTTTAATTTTATACAAAACACTCCCATGTTTCACCTGAAAATCTTCTTTTTGTCAATTTTTATTACATTCTAAAGGGTACAAATACATGTAGCTTAAAAATGTTCTGATGTTAAAGTTTGACGTGTAACAGGACAGATGATGTCATACTAAAATGTGCAATAAGAAGATCAACGAGTCAAATACTTTTCTTTTTAACACAAAGGGAATGTTAACAATAAGATAAATAGGTTAAACAACTCTTGAGAAGTTTATATCAAGCAATATCTTATTCTCATTTATTATGAAAGCTGTAAATCTAGGCAATTTTAACAGTTGATGTTTTAAGGGGTTGAAACGGAGTATCTATAAAGGGGGGGGGGGGGGGGGGGGGGGGGGGGTCCATATACATCAGGATATAGGAATTCCAGTCTTATTTTCACAGAGTTCAGTTGTGTCTTCCCTTTTTAGGGGAGAAGAACTTCAGCAAGTGTGCTTAGATTTTTGTCTCATTAACAATACACATTTTGCTTGTTATAGTCTTTTACTCACAATATCTTAAACGCACATATATACATATTATATATGCATTTACTTTCACAGAATATACAAGTTACAATTAAAGATAATGTATAGTGATTCATGAATAACTGTTGTTCCCATATTTTACCAATATTAAAACAAATAGTTTTATTCTGCTTATGTTTCAATCACTTTCATACAAACTGTTAATATTGTTTTAAGTTTGTAGTTAGTAATAGATAAAACAAAAAAGACAAATTTAATAAGTTTTGGTAACAGATATCAGTTGTTAACTACTACGCCATTTGGTCTCTGGTAGAGAGTTGTCTCATTGGCAATCATACCACATCTTCTTTTTTTTATATCAAGTGTGTGTTTTTTAACAAATAATTAGAATAAAACTCTTCATTTACTTCTTCAGTGGATACTTTTACCTTCATAGAGCAAGTTCTACAATTAACTAGAAGAAATAAGGAAGAATTAGATGAGGCTTTTGTCAGTGTGACTTATGGTAGTGTTCTTACCAATCTTAAGGTTAGTGTCAGATTCGACCATTTTCTTACTTATCTCGAGAATAATTGTAACCTTTGATAACGTTCAGCATTGAAATTCTGTAAGGTTTGTTCTGTGCCTACCAAAAGATCCTGTCTTCATGTACTGTTTATGACATTGCTGCATTTTGTATGAACTTCAGCAACCAATACTAGTGTGTAGAAAAGCATTGAACTTGCTTTCAGTAACTGCAAGCATTCTCTGAAACAGTATACTATTCAGTAATGATATTGTTAATTAATTTTTGTTTGAATATTTCTTTTTATGCCCCACCTAGGGGCATTATGTTTTTCGGTCTGTGTATCCGTTCGTTCATCCTTTTGTCTGTCCGTCTATTCGTCCGTCCATCTGTTCATCCATCGATCCCTTCGTCCATCCGTCCCTTCGTCCATCTGTCCCGCTTCAGGTTAAAGTTTTTGGTCAAGGTAGTTTTTGATGAAGTTGAAGTCCAATCAACTTGAAACTTAGTGCACATGTTCCCTATGATATAATCTTTCAAATTTTAATGCCAAATTAGAGTTTTGACCCCAATTTCACAGTCCACTGAACATAGAAAATGATAGTGCAAGTGGGGCATCCGTTTACTATGGACACATTCTTGTTGTTTTCTATTATACCATTATTGTACAGTTTTAAGTGCTTTTCCTGTATTTTTCTTTTATTGTATATTCTTTATTGTAACTTTTTTTATGTTTATTGATCAAGATTAAACGTGGGAGGTTTAAGATCCTCAAAAAATTGTTTATACCAGACACATGTTCCTGTGCCTGTCCAAAGTCAGGAACCTTGTCAGTACGTAGCTATCTTAAAAAAAAATATTTGAGAATTTAGCATTGATGGTAGAACTTTCATAGTTATTAAGAGCTTGACATATTGTATAGACATGTCACACCTGTATATTATTGAATACTGTGTGTTGCCTTTACCTGACTTGGAATTATAACAACAAGATTGAAAATGGCAATTTTATTAGCTTGGTACCCTCAAGCTTAAACCACGCTTTAAATAACTACTAATTAAACAATCATGTCATATATCCCTATATACAATAAAATATAAGCACTAACTATATGAGCAATAAAAGTGGTAAATAATATGTCCCGGTGACTCCTCAGTGATGCTACTGGGAGGGTGGGATAAGGAAAGCAAAGAACATGACATGCTGCAATGATGTGAATAAGCACGTGAAAGGATTATGGAAGAGAGGCTGTGGGTAGGTGGAGCTAAGAACACATGTAGTTGAGACAAGAGAAGTGGTTAGGTCCCGGAGTAGGTGGAGCTAAAGACACTCGTGTGAATGGAAAATACAAATGACGCAATAATCTATCCAAGTGGCTAAAACACAATTTATTCTAAATAAATGCTCAAAATTTACGTCTAGATATCAAATATCTATTTGTGTTTTTGGATTGTTGTCTCATACACATGAACCCAAAATCTCCTGTTATTCATTATCATAACTTAATAATGGTAACATATTGGAATAACTAAAAATTATCAGCAACAACAAGTAAAAAAGATACAATTTATTTTAAAAGTTATTAATAGCAGAGCTAAATTAGGCCACACCAATTTAATTTCTTGTTCTACGGATTTTTCCACTCAAGAAATTGGGGCGAGCGAGCGATTTGAAAATTTTAATAAAAAAAAATATATTAGATTCAGTTCATAAATCCCGAAAAAAGAAGTCGCAAAAATTTTCAGGTTTACAATTCTAGTTCTTTAAATCACCTTATTTTTGTCTTGCCTGGGATGAAAGTTGCGGAAAGCGAGACATAGGGATTGCTTTTTTCAGTGATGACGACAATGACGATGTCGTCGTAGTTGGTGTCAACAATTGTTATGTTTTCTGCTTAAGTGAGTTTGGTAGCAACTACTCGTGATAGACCATTGATATTTAAGATAAAGTTGCATTACTATGAGTACATATCAGATTGACGACTATTTTGAGGCCTTGCCCCCTAGGGGATGGTCCAGCAATGTTTAATTAATGAGCAATTTTTAATGTTAAGTTTTCTGCTTAAGTCAGTTTGATAAGAACTACTTGTGATTATTCAATGATATTTTGTATAAAGTTGCATAACTATCAGTCCATATCAGTTTGACAACTATTTTGAGGCCCTGCCCCCTAGGACATGGTCGAGTGACTTTGAATTAATTAGCAATTTTCAATGTTTAGTTTTCTGCTTAAGTTAGTTTGATAGGAACTACCGGTACTTGTGATAGATCAATGATATTTAGTATGAATTTGCATTACTATCCGTTCATATCAGTTTTACAACTATTTCGAGGCCCTGTCCCCTAGGTCATGGTCCAGCCGCTTTCAATCAATGAGCAATTTTTCAACTACCGCAAAAATTAAAAATTTTTTGGTCGTATATTGGTATGACGTTGGCGTCGTCGTCGTCGTCTGGCGTCGTCCGGCGTCGTCCGAAGACACATTGGTTTTCGCACTCTAACTTTAGTTTAAGTGAATGGATCTCCGTGAAATTTTACCATTTATAAGGTTCAATACCACAAAAGGAAGGTTGGGATTGATTTTGGGGGTTATGGTACCAACAGTTAAGGAATTAGGGGCCAAAAAGGGGCCAAAAATAAGCATTTTTGTAACTTCCAGACATAACTTGTGTGTTAGTGTATGGATCTCTCTGACATTGTACCACAAGGTTCCATATCACAAAGGGAATGCTGGGATTGGTTTTGGGGGTAATTGCCTCAAAATTTTAGGAATTAGGGGCCAAAAAAGGGGCAAAAAACAAGCATTTTTCTAGTTTCATGATAATAACTTGTGTGTAAGTGTATGGATCTTTCTGAAATTGAAGTACAAGGTTCCATATCACAAAGGGAAAGCTGGAATTGAGTTTGGGGGTAATTGCCCAAAACATTTAGGAATAAGGGGCCAAAAAGGGGCCAAAAATAGCATTTTTATAGTTTCCAGACAATAACTTGTGTTCAAGTGTATGGATTTCTCTGCAATTGTACTGCAAGGTACCATACCACAAAGGGAAGGCTGGGATTGATTTTGGGGGTAATTCCCTCAAAATTTTAGGAATAAGGGGCCAAAAAGGGGAAAAAAACAAGCATTTTTCTAGTTTCAGGACAATAACTTGTGTTCAAGTGTATGGATCTCTCTGAAATTGTACTGCAAGGTACCATACCACAAAGGGAAGGCTGGGATTGAGTTTGGGGGTGATGAATCATAAGGGGTTTCATAAATTTGGGGGGGGATTTTTTTTTTTTTCCTTTTTTTTCTTTTTTTCCTTTTTTTTTCTTTTAAAATTTTCCATTTTAAGTTGGTTATTTCTGATTTATATTTAAAAGCAAATAATAATGATATGGTAGGAGATACACACCAAACAGGATGTGTAAATTATTATATAATAAGTATTGTGCAATAGCAAGAAATTTTCAATTGCACAGTATTGCACAATAGCAAGAAATCTTTCATTGCACAGTATTGCGCAATAGCAAGAAATCTTCAATTGCACAGTATTGCGCAATAGCAAGAAATATCCAATAGCACAATATTGCACAATAGCAAGAAATTGTCAATTGTACAGTATTGCGCAATAGCAAGAAATATTCAATTGCACAGTATTAATTGCTTATTTCTTGACCAATTTCAATGGGGTTTTATTCTTGAATTCTTGGGGTTCTTTAATATGCTGAATCTAACCGTGTATTAAGTTTTTGGATTTTGGGCCCCGATTTTAAATTGGTCCACATTGAGGTCCAAAGGGTCCAAAATTAAACTTTGTTTGATTTCATCAAAAATTGAATTATTTGGGTTCTTTGATATGCCGAATCTAACCGTGTATTTAGATTCTTAATTTTTTTACGCCCGTTTACGGGACGTATTATGGCATACCGTCTGTCCGTCCTTCCGTCCGTCCGTCGTCAACATGTCGGACATTAACTCAAAAATGCTTGTTGGTTCCGTTTTCAAATTGGTCTACATTAAGGTCCAAAGGGTTCAAAATTAAACTTAGTTTGATTTTAACAAAAATTGAATTCTTAGGGTTCTTTGATATGCTGAATCTAAACATGTATTTAGATTTTTGATTATGGGCCCAGTTTTCAAGTTGGTCCAAATCGGGGTCCAAAATTAAACTTTGTTTGATTCAACAAAAATTGAATATATGGGGTTCTTTGATATGCTGAATCTAACCATGTATTTAGATTTTTTATTTTTGGGCCCCGTTATCAACTTTGTCCACATTGAGGTCAAAAGGGTCCAAAATTAAACTTTGTTTGATTTCATCAAAAATTGAATTATTTGGGTTCTTTGATATGCCGAATCTAACCGTGTATTTAGATTCTTAATTTTTATACGCCCGTTTACGGGACGTATTATGGTATACCGTCTGTCCGTCCTTCCGTCTGTCCGTCGTCAACATGTCGGACATTAACTCAAAAATGCTTTTTGGTTCCGTTTTCAAATTGGTCTACATTAAGGTCCAAAGGGTTCAAAATTAAACTTAGTTTGATTTTAACAAAAATTGAATTCTTAGGGTTCTTTGATATGCTGAATCTAAACATGTATTTAGATTTTTGATTATGGGCCCAGTTTTCAAGTTGGTCCAAATCGGGGTCCAAAATTAAACTTTGTTTGATTCAACAAAAATTGAATATATGGGGTTCTTTGATATGCTGAATCTAACCATGTATTTAGATTTTTTATTTTTGGGCCCCGTTATCAACTTTGTCCACATTGAGGTCAAAAGGGTTTTAATTAAACTTTGTTTGATTTCATCAAAAATTGAATTCTTGGGGTTCTTTGATATGCGGAATCTAACCGTGTAGTTAGATTCTTAATTTTTGGTTCCGTTTTCAAATTGGTCTACATTAAGGTCCAAAGGGTTCAAAATTAAACTTAGTTTGATTTTAACAAAAATTGAATTCTTAGGGTTATTTGATATGCTGAATCTAAACATGTATTTAGATTTTTGATTATGGGCTCAGTTTTCAAGTTGGTCCAAATCGGGGTCCAAAATTAAACTTTGTTTGATTTCAACAAAAATTGAATATATGGGGTTCTTTGATATGCTGAATCTAACCATGTATTTAGATTTTTGATTTTTGGGCCCCGTTATCAACTTTGTCCACATTGAGGTCAAAAGGGTCCTAAATTAAACTTTGTTTGATTTCATCAAAAATTGAATTCTTGGGGTTCTTTGATATGCTGAATCTAACCATGTATTTAGATTTTGGATATTGGACCATAATAGGTGAATGTCCAATTTAATAAAAAAATTTAAGTTCTTAGACCACATTCATTCTGTGTCAGTAACCTATGCTGTGTCAAATATTTAATCACAATCCAAATTCAGAGCTGTATCAAGCTTGAATGTTGTGTCCATACTTGCCCCAACTGTTCAGGGTTCGACCTCTGCGGTCGTATCAAGCTGCGCCCTGCGGAGCATTTTATTAATGTTAAGTTTTCTGCTCAAGTCAGTTTGATAATAAATGCTTGTGATAGATCAATGATATTTTGTATAAAGTTGCATTACTATCAGTACATATCAGTTTGACGACTATTTTGAGGCCCTGTCCCCGTGGACATGGTCCGGTGACTCTCAGTTAATCAGCAATTTTCAATGTTAAGTTTTCTGCTTATGCTAGATTGATAGGAACTACTTTCAATACACAACAATATTTTCTATAAAGTTACATTACTGTCTGTACATCTCAGTTTGTCAGCCAATTTCAGGCCCTGCCCGCTAGATCATGGTCCAGCGACTTTGAATTAATAAGAAATGCTGCTGTCCATCAGATTGTCTTTTTTTTGCTGAATTTAATGCCGACAGGCGAGACATATCTCTGTGTCAACAGTTTATCTTGATATATGTTTCTTTTGTAGGGAGATTTTCTGGAAGGAGAAAAAAGTTACAATTATTCCATATCAGTGATGGCTAAGTATAATGTGTCCACTTGTTTGATGAAAATTAGAGCTCACCAGGGTCTGGGATGGAATCTTGGATGTCAGGGGAAATCAGCAGACGCACTGAGGTAACTTTAAATTTCAATGCGATTTTGATTTTAATTGATTATGATGAAGTACTTAAAACATTTGAAATTATGTCATGAATTACCACTTCATTATATTACTTTAAAGTGTAGACAAGATACATTGCATTCTAACAGTATTATAGACAAACTCAGATATAAATCAGGGAAAAAAGGTTTTAAGTTCCATTTACACAAACTCAAATCCTTTGAAATACTGCGAAATAAACAATATATAAAAAAAAGTACTTTTATATAAGATTTCAATGCAACCCAACAATATTTTGTCACATTTCATGCTTGTTAGGTTCTAATTCCCCACCTTTAGTAAGATTCTGGCATTATGTTTTCCGGACTGTGCATCCAACTGTTCATTCCTTTGTTGGTCCGGTATCAGGTTAAAGTTTTGGTTTAAGGTAATTTACCATGAACTTATGGTTACTTCAACTTGAAACTTTGAAGACATGTTTATTGTGATGTGAACTTTTCAATGATATGCCAAATTATGGGTAAGTCCTAAGTCAGGAGCCTGTTGTTCAGTGGTTGTCGTTTGTTGATGTGGTTCATAAATGTTTCTCGTCTTTTATATAGATTAGACTGTTGGTTTTCCTGTTTGAATTGTTTTACACTAGTCATTTTGGGACCCTTTATAGCTTGCTGTTCGGTGTCAGCCAAGGCATCGTTTTGAAGGCCGTACTTTGACCTATAATTGTTTACTTTTTACACATTGTGACTTGGATGGAGAGTTGTCTCATTGGCACTTATACCACATCTTCTTATTTATATTGACCCAGATTGCATGGTTCACTGAACATAGAAATGTGATGTGATAAACAGGGAATGGTTTCGGATGGATACATTTTCTAGTTGTTAGAGTTGAGGTCCACTTTTCAAAAAACTATATCAATGACATTTCACCTTTAGTCCTTTTGGATATGTACATTACTTTTCAAGTATCTTTTGGCCATGATTTGGGTCATTTTCAATGTGATCCATATTTCATGCTGTGGCGACTTTGGTGAAGTTTTGGTCCATTTCATAGAAAACCTACTGTGTTATATAACTGATAATTTAATATCATCAATACATTCATTTGTTTTAGCGCAGTGCTGTTCTGCAATATTTAAGGTCACTGTGACCAACCATTTTCTCATATTTGTAAGCTTGGCCAACTGTGTTTATCAGTTATGTCACAAAGTTCAAATTTGACGTAAATAACATTACAATTCATCAATCATTACAAAGTATAAAAAAAATTATGACCTTACAAAAATAGTTTATTTATACATTTTATTTATTCTTAATGACCAAATATACTTTGTACTTAGGAAATGTATAGTGTCGTTTGATACTTATGTAATGATATTTCAGTAATTTTTGGGGATAATTTTGTTCACAGTACTCTGAAGAAAGCTTTTCAATATGAAACAGAAATGGGCATGGAGAATGAAGAACTAATTCTACAAACATTACAGTGTTTGGCTCTCTTCAACACATTTGCAGGTGAGGATCTGATTAATTTATTTGAGGTTCAGACGGTCAGATATGTCAAGTCACTTGGATGAGCAGGTAATGCTAAATGATCTAACCTTTGACCAAATATATATACAAAAAACATAGTTTTTCAAGATGAAGACAAAGATTTTTTTTTTTTAAATTCTTAAGGAGTACTACAAAAAAGCTTATTTTAGGCCAGAAAATTGCTTAATTTAGTGTCTTTAAAAAAAAGGGCTTTGGGGCAAAATTCCATAGATATTAAGAGGGGACATGAACTCGTATTCACTTTTTATGTGATTTTGTCCTGTTTTATTGATTTTCATTGTCATGCCTTAAATATCATACAATCTGTTCCCATTTTGCCTTCACTGCATATTCCAGTTAAAAAAGTACTAAAGCAAGATGGAATTTGTATGAAGGCAAAATGGAAATTTATCTCTTTCATGATAATTTGATAGAAAATATTATAGTTTGAGTTTTTTACTGTAGGTCTAATGCTTTACTCCACTAATGAAACATTTTGAATACAATAATTTGTTGTGATTCTGGGAAAATATTACAAAAAGTATTTAATAGTCCACACAACAGATTCAAGATGGCTTCTTGGTTACATAGAATGTATATATATCGGTATTCATATAAGAACAGATTAGTTTTTATTCTTTTAGACAAAAAGGTATAAATTTTTGCGATACCTTTTTTTTTATAGTTTTGAAAGATGATAATGATGATGATGATGATGATGATGATGGGTTGTTTTGCTTAATGTCCAGTGTCAAATATCACATGAATATCAGGACAAGGAACATGTTAATGATATATGAATTATATGTAATAGTCTGCAGGAAGACATGTCACCCTTCCTGGACACATCATACTGAGCTAACCAGTCTTTGGTCTAACTCCTTAATGCAGTGTGCTTTAAGAAGCAGCAAATTCCCAATTTCAAAGTCTTTGGTTTGACCTGGCATGGGATCAAACTCACTACCTGCTGCACTGTTGGATTATTAAGCTATCAGACTGAATATGAATAAAAGGAAATGTTGTGTTACTGCAGTGACACAGTAATCATACAATAAAAGTTTTTAATATTTGACTTGTAGAGTTAAGACACAGCTTTAAAAAGAGATTCATTATTTTGATTATTAGATTTAAAAATATTTAACATTTTAGGATTTTTGGATGAAGGTGAGTTTTACCATTTGAAAGTTCTGAAGAAAAGACGAGATCTTTATGGCACAGATGAAAACCCTTCCATTGGAGCCTGCTTCAATAATATGGGGATCTTATACAAACAAAAGGGAGATCATTCCAAAGCTTTGGAGTATTATCAGGCAGGACTTGATATTAAAAGAAAAACAAAAGCGATAGACAAATCAATAGTCATATCAATGAACAATGTAGCCAGTACATTGTCTGAGCTTGGTCGCCATGACGAAGGCATTGACATTTTAAACGAAGCATTTGATATTGTTGATAAGTACCCTGGTTTCCTGTCTGACTGTCGTGATCTCTCTAATGATACAATGGGACTGGTTTATTTACACAAAAAAGATTTTTATAATGCGATTAAATATTTTAATAGAGGATTGAAAGGGAGACTAGAATCGTCACCAAAACATATTTGTGTATTGGAAGAAAAAACAAGATTAGCCGAAGCTTATGTTGGACTGGGACAATATGGTGTCGCTCAAACTGATTTGGTGGAAACTTTGAAGTGCAAAGAGGGTTTCATTAAACAAATGCCACAAAATACCTTTATATATGATTCTTATAAAATATTAATGGAAGTCTCCCGTCGCCTTGGTGACAAGAAAAGTATGGAATCTTACTTTACAAATTGTAAAGTTGAGATATATAGGCTAACTGACTTCTTTGAAGATTTAGGTAATTTGACTAGAGCAAAAGAAATGGCAGATAACTTGAAATTCGTTCAAAAGATATATCATGATTTTATGAGGGGAAGGAGAGGTTAAATTTTCATGTGCATTTAAAAATTCATCTTTATCATTCAAGAGTGGATACTGTAAATTAACTTATTTTTGCTATTATTATACCCCTGCTTTAAAAAAGTGGGGGTATATTGTTTTACCTCTGTCTGTCTGTCCCTCCATCCGTCCGTCCATCCATCTGTCCATCCGTCCATCCGTCAGTCCGTCCATCTGTCCCATGAATATTTTTCGTCGCAGCTTTCTCAGGAACTACATCATAAGGATTTCTGAAATTTGGTTTCAGGGTTTATATAAGTCAGCTATACCGTGTGATGCGTTTTCAGATTCATCACTCAACAACTTCCTGTTTACTGAACACTTACATATTTTTACACTATTCAAATTATCCAGTTGCGGCGGGGGTAATATCAGTGAGCAGTAGCTCGCAGTTTCACTTGTTTTTTCATGTTTAATCCTTTCTTACTGACGTCACTGCAATTTATTTTTATGATTTTCAAAATCATGTTATGTGTTCATCTAAGATAATATCCTAGTTTTATATATTTATGAAGATTTATATTCATCCTATTTTTATTTTTTTTTTAATCTTCAGAGGTTTCAAAATACATTGAAGCCTTACAAAAATGTATCTTTTACATGCACTAACTGTATTATTAGTGTAACTGAATTCAGAGAGGTTTGTTTTAATCACATGACATATACACTGACTGTACTATTTGTGTTACAGTATTCAGAGAGGTGTACTTTAGATTTTGCCTTAATCACATGACATATACACTGACTTTTCTATTCTTGTTACTGCATTTAGAAAGGTGTACTCCAAATTTTGCTTTTATCACATGGCATATATGTAGCATACTTTATTTTCTAATCTTTGTATCAACATTGATGTGACTTTTGAAGTGATTTTAATAATTCCAACTTTATTGTGGACAATGAGCTCTTCCTAATTATTCCAAACATAGTGTAAACAATGAGTTGTTCTTGAGAGTCTTTTGTAGACAAAACGCGCATCTGGCATACAAAATTATAAGCCTGGTATCTTAGATAAGTTTTTTTTCGAACCATAGTGTGAACTATGAAATGTTATTAATGATTCAAACCGAAATGTGAACAATGAGCTGTTCTTAATAATTCCAACCAAAGTGTGAACAATGAGCTGTTCTAAATAATTCCATATAAAGTGTGAACAATGAGCTGTTCTAAATTAAAATAATTCCATACATAGTGTGAAAAACAAGCTGTTCTTAATAATTCCAACCATAGTTTGAACAAAAAGCTGTTCTTAATAGTTCCATATATAGTTGACCAATGAGTGTTTCTTATTCATTCCATCATTAGTGTGACCAATGAACTATTCTTATTCATTTAAACTTTTTTGTGACCAATGAGCAGTTCTTATTCATTTCAACATTAGTGTGACCAAGGAGCAGTTCTTATTCATTTCAACATTGGTGTGACCAATGAGCTATTCTTATTCATTCCAACATTAGTTTGGCAAATGAGCTGTTCTTATTCATTCCAACATTAGTGTGATTAATGAATTGTTCTTATTCATTCCAACATTGGTGTGACCATTGAGCTCTGATTCATTCCAACATTAATGAGACCAATGAGCTGTTCTTATACTTTTCACCTTTTGTGTGCACGATAAGCTGTTGTTATTCATTTCACCTTTTGTGTGAACAATGAGCTGTTCTTATTCATTCCAACATTAGTGTGACCAATGAGGTGTTTTTATTCATTCAATCAGATGTGTGAACAATGTGCTGTTCTTATTCATTCCACCATTTGTGTGACCAATAAGCTGTTCTTATTCATTCTAACATTGGTGTGAACAATAAGCTGTTTTAATTCATTCCACCATTTGTGTGACCAATGAGCTGTTTTTATTCATTCCACCATTTGTGACCAATGAGCTGTTCTTATTCATTCCACCATCTGTGTGACCAATGAGCGGTACATTTTCATTCCATCATTTGTGTAACCAATGAGTTGTCCTTATTCATTCCACCATTTGTGTGACCAATGAGCTGTTCTCATTCATTCTACCATCTGTGTGACCAATGAACTGTTATTATTCATTTCTCTATATTTGTGACCAATGAGCTGTTCTTATTCATTCCATCATTTGTGTGACCAATGAACTGTTCTTATTTATTCCACCATTTGTGTGACCAATGATCTGTTCTTATTCATTTCTCAATTTGTGTGACCAATGTGTTGTTCTTATTCATTTTTCCATCTGTTTGACCAATGAGCTGTTCTTATGCATTCCACCATTTGTGTGACCAATTAGCTGTTCTTATTCATTTCTCAATCTGTGTGACCAATGGGTTGTTTTAATTCATTTTTCCATCTGTGTGACCAATGAGCTGTTCTTATTCATTCCACCATTTGTGTGACCAATGATCTGTTCTTATTCATTTCTCAATTTGTGTGACCAGTGTGTTTTTCTTATTCATTTTTCCATCTGTTTGACCAATGAGCTGTTCTTATGCATTCCACCATTTGTGTGACCAATTAGCTGTTCTTATTCATTTCTCAATCTGTGTGACCAATGGGTTGTTTTAATTCATTTTTCCATCTGTGTGACCAATGAGCTGTTCTTATTCATTCCACCATTTGTGTGACCAATGATCTGTTCTTATTCATTTCTCAATCTGTGTAAACAATGTGTTGTTCTTATTCTTTTTTCCTTCTGTTTGACCAATGAGCTGTTCTTATGCATTCCACCATTTGGGTGACAAATTGGCTATTCTTATTTATTTTTCAATTTGTGTGACCAATGTGTTGTTCTTATTCATTTTCTGAATGTGTGACCAATGAGCTGTTCTTATTCATTCCAACATTAGTGTGAACATTAAGCTGTTTTCATTCATTCCAACATTTCGGTGACCAATGAGCTGTTCTTATTCATTCTATCATTTGTGGGAACAATGAGTGGTTTTTATTCATTCCACCATTAGTGTGAACAATGAGCTTACACTATTGATTCTAGCATTTGTGTGACCAATGATCTGTTCTTATTCATTCCAACATTTGTGTAAACAATGAGCTTTTCTTATTCCTTCAATCATTTGTGTGAACAATGATTTGTTCTTATTCCTTCCATCATTTGTTTGACCTATGAGTTTTTCTTTTTCATTTTACCATTTATATGACCAATGAGTTGTTCTTATTCTTTCCACCATTAGGTGATCAATCAAATGTTCTTATTTATCAAAAGCATAATTAACCAATTAAGTGTTCTAATTTAACCAAAGCATAGCATGATCTATGAAAATTGCTTATATATCAGAAGCAGTGTGTGTCCAATGAAATGTGCTTATTTATCCAAAACACAACATGAACAAAGAAATTTGCTTATTTTATTTTCCAAGAATAGTGTGACTAATAAAGGATGCTTATTTATTCAAAAGATTGTGTGACCAGTGACATTTGCTTATTTATCAGAAAAATAGTGTGACCAATAAAACTTGTCTATATATCCAAAAGCATAACATAACTCATGAAATTTGCTGATTTATCCCAAGCATAAAAAGTGACCAATAAATGTTGCTTATTTATCCAAGCATTTTGTGACCATTGAAATTTGCTTATTTATCCATGGCATAGCATGACCGATGGACCTTGCTTATTTATCCCAAGCATAGTGTGACCAATACAATTTACTTATATATCTTTAATGCATAGTGCGACCAATGAAAGTTGTTTATTTATCCAAGCATTGTAATGACCAATTAAATCTGCTTATTTGTCCATAGCATATCATGACCAATGGAATTTGTTTATTTATCCCAAGCATAGTATGGCCCATAACATTTGCTTATATATCCATAGCAAAAATTGTCTGAGATTACTTTCACGCCTGACGGCATTTTTTTTTATATTTTGTAATCCGTATACAATCCATTTTCAAGTAGGTTATCATACATCTTTCGATTATTATTCATTTTACTCCATGAATATGTTACTTTTCTTCACGTACTACTTTTTTGTAGTCTTTTATATATTTCCGTTGCTGGGTGTGAATCATAAAGTGCTCTTAAATTACATTGCTTACTTTTTTCCTTTGAATTGAGTTGTATGTGCAAGTTCATCTCTCCAAAACTAAGTGATGATATTTCTTTCCTAAAAATGTCTTTATCATTGAAGTTAAATTCCACTTCAATCAGTTTATATATTTAGTTTTTCATACCAATTTGGTAATAATGCTATCTTTTAAATTGCTGACTCTTTATTTATGATGTATATTTTAACAAAACTCTGCTACAATTTCAAAATCCAATTAAATATTAGAAAGACTGAGGACAAAATAAAATAATTCTGAACACAATTGTTTACAATGTTGTAAATCCATTTTATTATTTTTATTAACGTTCTGTAAAAATTAAACAATTCAAATTATATTTTTATTATATTTTTTAACATTTTATTGTATGTTTTTCTTGTTAATGCTGTGATATATTATATTGTTTTGTGTGCTGTTATTTATGACCTTATATCTTAATAAAAGAAGGTGTTGTTGAAAAATATGCTTGTGCAATTAATCATTTGAGCTACGCAGTTTACAAACAAATGATAGAGAGCTCATTAGTGGTATTTTTCTTTACATAAGATTATTATTATTCCAAGATCTAAAGGAACCTGGGGTGATACTAGCAAGTTCAGAGGAGGGGTGGAACGTAGCCTATTTATCGGGAAATATAATATTTTGGCACAAAAATACGCTCAGCGTTTCTTTTACTATGCCCCTCCACCCTTGCCCCGCTTGCTTATATATCCACAAGCATAGCATGACTCATGAAATTTGCTGATTTATCTCAAGCATAGTGTGACCAATGAAAGTTGCTAATTTATCCAAAGCATAGCATGACCTCTGGAATTTGCTCCATTTATCGCAAGCATACTGTGACCAAAAAAATACACATCAATTACACAATAACACAATAAATCAAGAAGGCACTAGCAAATTCAGGGGAGAGAATGGGACTTTTGATCGAAAAAATATAATTTGTTGGCACAAAAAAACGCTGAGCAGTTTTGAAATTCGACACACAGCTTTAATTTTGAATTATAGAGTTTAACAAAAGGAGATGAGTTGTATACATGATTGTACAACACGCTTACACCAGAAATCAAAGCATGTAGATTTCGCTAGTTCAGGTAGTTCGTGAACAAGAATGTTAGTTGATCTTGGGGCTGATTTTTCCATTTCAAAATACCCTATTTATTCTATTCTCACTTTAGCCTGGTAAGGTATATTTTTTGAATACCACATGATGACCCCTAATCAGTCAGACATTGCCACCTCACATAAACGTCAGTTTCAAGTTCCAGTGGTCAGGTTAATATGTCACAATGTGGTCTTTTCTGCAGAAACCATAGGTAAATGGTAATTGGTATAATGATTTGTTGTGAGAAGTACATGTACATGTTTATAAAAAAAAAATAAGCAGATGGTGTAAGATGGTCTCGAGAAGATGGTCAATGGGACAACTATATCTACATCAGAATAGTCGTCTAATTAGTTATCAAAGGTACCAGGATTATAATTTAATACGCCAGACGCGCGTTTCGTCTACATAAGACTCATCAGTGACGCGCAGATCAAAATAGTTATAAAACCAAACAAGTACAAAGTTGAAGAGCATTGAGGACCCAAAATTAATCCGCAATATTTAGGGTGCTGCATGCATGCATGAGGCGCTTATCCCGGTCGACGCATCCGTTTTCGCTTTTTATTTAGTTCATGTGATTTCCTCAGTTTTTGTTGGTAATTTGATTTGTCTTCTATATTAATTTATGAGATTTGCACATCGGTAAACTACGGTTGCCTTAACTACCCTCAATTTCACATTCATGAGGTATGTTTTATCACAAGATTTTGAAAAAAAACTGTTTTCCAATTGTTTGTTGAACTGGGCATGCATTTTTTACAGAGGATGACCTTCAGGTCATTCCGATGTATTGCTATCGCCTAAATTTCCATTATGCAAATTAGTTTTGGGATTTCAACCGATCTATAAAAATTATAGATCCGCGGTCATTACAAGGGAAAAAAGTGCATTTTTATACCTGCGATTCCGTTTTCCGTTCGTACGATGTTTCATCAAAAAATGGAATCATTTCAGTTGTTGATTTAGTACTGAAAATTTGACTGAATTATCTCCTTTTAAATACGGTTTTATATGTTTAATTGGTGTTTAAGAAAGAGGTCAGGTGCTCATGTTCATTCATAAAATTATCGTTCATTCATTCATGAATTTATCGTAAAATCAAAATCACTACACAGGTCACACAGGTTGTATACGTAATGTCAAATGATTACCTGTAATCTAAAAATAAACAAACTTAACTGACTCCCCTTACTATAGTGTGTGATAACATTTTGTGAGGAAATTCGATGTTTGCTATACCACTGTTCATTTCAACGCACTTTATGACGATACCACTTTATCAATATGAATGAAATTTTTTGCAGTGTTTTAAGAAATAATTTTACTTTAAAATCGCGTATCATTTGTGAACTATTAAATGTTTTACAAGGACGAATTTTCTGTATAAAGTCAATAATTGTGTGAACTTTTGAAGCCCAAACTTTTTATAGCCTTAAATACGCTAATGAAAGATCCGAAAACTATACCCATACAGAACGACATGTTTTTGAAATTGTAGCAAAACTTTTGGTTGACAAATTTTAATTCGTTATTGCATAAATATTAACTTGAAATATCTGTCATTTTCTCCCTACCAAGTTTACCCCTATTACTCATTATGATGTGGACTGGACATTGTTATTGAATCTTATGCAATTTGATTGGATTAAGTTATTATTAGATTACCTTCAAACTGTTCATGCTTTTTCGTACGAGTATATCGATTAAATCAGAGCGTGCATGAATGTGTACAGTAAATTAAATGACCTGCAAACTGGACACTGGACCAGTCCATATTACGTTTTATCAATGAATAGATTTTTTTTTTGTATTTTCCAAATTACAGGGCCCATAAAGGGCATAAAATCAGATACAATTGATTTACATAATTGGTAACAACAACAATAATAGCGGCATATGAATGAAACTTAAGGTATGAAAGGTAACAATTGCCACTTTTTATCTTTTCACATAATTTTCCACATACACATTAGATAAATTATTTTTGATAGCCTATTGCGGAGAAAAAAGAGAAAGTTTACTGTATTAACGTTCTATTCCATTAAATACGCCATTTTTCGCAGAAAAAACATTTTATGCACGGCTACGCCAGGTAAAATTGTTGTTTATCCTAACAAAAAAATACAATTTTCAGTTTCATTAGAATATTATAATAATAATAAATCCCAAATTTATGTAGTCATTAGATAAAGTCCTTATATGTCCGATCTGCCTATTTTTGGACATCAAAAGACAATACGATCGTTTTAAGGTCAATTTCGTCTACCTCACACAATCTTGTTAGGCACTATAATGAAATGGACCTGAAATTTATTTCACGTTTCCTGAAAATTGATAAATATCAAAGCAACATAGAGCTGTTTGTTCTAGTTCGTATAATGACAATTTAATGTCATGTTTGTTTGTGATGACCCCCCTTTTCGGGATTGCATCAGAATTATAGTTATCTCGTATCGCATGAGGATGACACATATCAACTGAGCAATTATGTTTGGGACTTAGTTTTAAGAAATGATGTCAAAGTAACATTATGAAAATATTTTTAGTAAGCTGAAATATATTTTTATTTTTTACATGTTTATGTCTTGTAAGATATTTTATTTCTTGCCCGTTTTTCAACATTTGCGTCTGGAAAGTTGAAATGTTTTAACTGAATGGTTAATTTAAATTAATTATGAAAATTGTTAAAATTAAATCAATAAAGGAAATTATTGCTCAGTTACAAACATTACCAGGGGACAATCCATATTGATTTTTTTTTTAGTTATATGTTTCAGCACATGTATAATTAACCCCAACTTTAGCCTGGTAAACTTGTTGTCTCCTTGTGAAATATAAAACATATTTAAAATGATTTCCTGCTAAAGTCTTTTATTGATATAAAGTTAAAACCGTCTTGCTTCTCACTAGTCAACACTCCTGTCCTGTCAGGTTTAATTCTTATATATACGGATAAAAAATAAAAGTCCACAAAGCATTAACATGGCAGCAATTGCTTTTACAGCCTTTAAGGCTTTGATTTTTTTTACAGAAGAGTGTCCACCATGCACTTGCACTGCACTATAATAATAGTAGAATAGAATGATATACAAATAGATGAAAATTATATATACATGCAACCGTATTATTAATATAATATATAACAACAAACCAGTGTATTCTCTGGAACTATTATTATATTAGTATAATAGTCTAAGGTATACTGATTTGTATCACTACAATATAATAGTTATTACGGTGAGGTTGAATTTCCTGTCATTTATTCATCATCCAAGCAGGAACTTGTATCAGAAAAAAAAATCTCTGTAAATTAACCTCAGTTTCAGGTATAGAGATGTGATCTGTTTCTGTGACATGTGCTTTTGACCATACACAAGAACCTGCTGTCATCCGATGTTCAGTACTTCAGTACTTTGATTACAATGTTCATACCATCTGTACACAATGCAAATTTATATTCCTTGAATATATTTACGTACAGTAATTCAACCGAGTTTATTAAACAATTGTCAAACTGTGCATGGTTATACTTGATACTACTATCACACGTGTTACAGCTTTCACGCGTAAAATGCTTCTGAATTTTACAAAAAATTGTAAACCACTGCTTGCTTATACATGTACATGTAAGTAATGCTGCTGAGCTCGTTAAACAATTGAAAAACTTTGCATGCTTATACCCGTAAATGAATGCTGCTAAATTCATCAAACAATTCTAAAACTCCATATAAATGTTTGTTGAACATTGCCTACATTGTTTAATCTCAATGAGTTATGTACACTGCATAATGAGCCTGGCTCACTGTAGAGTGAACGGGATATATACACGTTAAGTTATGCTACTGAGTTCACCAAACAATTTTAAAACTGTGCATGCTTATACACGTTAAGTAATGCTGCTGAGTTCATTATACAATTGTAAAACTGCGCATTCTTATACACGTAAAGTAATCCTGCTGAGTTCACTAAACAATTGTAAAACTGTGCATACTTATAATTTGATAAGCATTGAGGACTCATTAGTATTTTGAAAAATTCTAAATTTTATAAACAGATAATTAATAATTATGACCATATCAATGATAACTCATGTCAACACAGAAATACGGTAAAGTAATGATACAGAGTTCATAAAAAAGTATTAACACGGCATAACAAAAATACCGAACTCGAAGGCAAATTCAAAAAGGGGAATATAAAAAAAGAAGATGTGGTATGATTGCCAATGAGACAACTCTCCACAAGAAACCAAATGACACAAAAATTAACAACTATAGGTCACCGTACGGTCTTCAACAATGAGCAAAGCCCATACCGCACAGTCAGCTATAAAAGGCACCGAAATGACA